GTGACTATAAGAGCTGCAGCAAACCACAGCTCATGTGGTAGAATATGTTTACAAGGCAACTATGTGTTGTGCACTCCAAAAATCTGATGTTTATAAAGATACGCCTGCAAAATTGTTGAAAGACAGCCATAATGTTTTACTATGAGGCCTGTAGGAAACATAGTGAACATGTGAAAAAAAGGGATCTGATCAGATTCAACCACATAGAATGTTTTGTCTTACATGAAAAATACTAAATTGTGTCACCTTAAAACAATCCATTCCCACAGTGAAATATAGTGGTGGCAGCATCATGCTGTGGGGATTTTTTCCTCAACAAAGACAGGGAAGAGCTGAGGGGAGTATGAATGCATGTAAATAAAAAGGTTCGAGGAAAAACTGCTAAAAGAAACATTTGACTTCCAGAAACTCTCCTTCCTACAAAACACACAGCTAAAACTGGATCTATTGTTTTTTGAAAACAGATGTCCATAATTAAATAAATAAATAGAGCATTGAGAATGTAAATAAATCTATTCGAGAATGTACAAACATTATTATTGAAGATTTTAAATAAAGCCTGTTCCATGATGCTCTTCATCAAATCTGACTGAGAGTGAAAGCAGGCGAAAAAGTATATTTATAAAACTGATGGATAATACAGTCCCTCCCAAAGTTGCATCTCTAATAGCCCAAAAGGAGAAAAAAAAACTCTATGAATACTAACTGAATACTCAGAGAACTGCTGAATGTTGTGTAAAATGGGATATTTTATTTATTAAAAAGAAAAAAATGTTAGAACTGTAAAGTCATATGTTTATATTACAATCTTTTTATGTATTTATTACTGTTTTCAAGGCTGCAATTTAAAAAATGAAATTGTCTAGAGCTGTTTTAAAATAAATTTCATTTTGTTTACACTCGTCTGTACAAAATGACCAAATAAATCTGTCTTATTCTAACAATTGGAAGCCATGAATTATTTTTCTTTATTGCACTTACTCTATGTTACACAAATGAAATTAAAAACAAAACACAATGAGATCCATGGCTGTAGTCTGAGAAAAACTGTAGTGTGGGGATGAACTTTTAACTGCCACGTAAAATTCTTGGTTATATTTACTTGAGACGTTAAAAATAAAAAGTTACATTGTTTAATTGGATACACCAAACCAACTTTATGGAGAAAAATACGTCATACTGGCATCTTTGGGATGTGACAACTAGGCCTACTTATTTCTTTAACTACCAGCTACTCAATTCAGGATCTTTAAATCAAACTTCCTAAAACAAAAAAATCATATTTGCATCTAAGTTTCTCTGACTCATCTGTGTCGAAGTGGGACCAAAACGCAGCTAAATGAAAGCAGACATTTGAAGCATATTTGAGTAAAAAGACTGACTTATTCCTGACTTTAACGCTTATCTGTAAAAGAGGAAAAGTAAAACTTCTCACTTAAGTGCAGCTCGCTGTGCGGCTGCGTAAAATTACCCTTAAAAACAGCCCATCTCCCCCCCTTCGCTTGCTCCTCTATCCTCTCTGTCTGTGCGCTGCGCGCTCCTGCAGCCGCGTTCACGTTTGGCAGCTCCACGTCGACATTCTTCCAGCTGCATATAGTGAACCGCTCAGCTCAGCGCTGAGGGAAAAAAAGGTAAAAGCGGCCGCAGTCACCTTAGGATCAGAGCGCTGCAAGTCCCTGCTCGGACATGAAGAAGGCTTTGCATGCAGACAACCTGAACCAACCGCCTATAATGTCGTTTTCCTTTTTCTAAGCTCTTTTTTTCCCTTATGAGCTGATCTAGACCACCTCGTGTTGGACTGCAGCTGGTTCCTGGCGTCTACCTTTTTCAGGTACAGTATTGCAGAAATCAATTACTGCATTATACACTTTGAAAACCATTGCCACTGTTTCTGGTGGAAACATTCAGTTGTTTGTTTTGTGATATCATTTTTGCATAACTAAAGTTCCTGCCAGCTGATAAGTCTCCCAACTATCCTCAAACTGATACAACTTGATACTCTTGACCTTCTTATGCCTATTTTCCTTCTCTCTGTCTGCATTGTTTGTGGAATATCTCCCTTTCAGGGGACTTTTTAGTCTAAATAGTTGAGAGATTCAACAGGTTTAGCCGAGGAGGATGATAATAATGATGATAAAGACATAAGCAGAGTAAAATTTCAACTATCACAGATGTTAGGTTTGCACCCTCCCAGATGTCCAAGCTTGAGGCGATATGAATGATTAAGGATCATGATAATTGCACTATTTCTGTAAAAAGATTAAAACTGTCCAGTCTAATGCATGTATGCTCTAAAGGCCCTGCTTCACCAATGGCTTAGCTCTATTTTGTTCCATATTCATTCACAAATTACACATTTTACCAGTATAATCAATATGATTTTCCTACATTCCTCTTGCTTTTTTTCTTGTTCTTCTTTTTTTTTACTTGCAGGTTGAAGGAGCACCTAGTTGCAAGAAGTATAATGTTCCAGACAAGGACAAACCTGTGAGGTGGCACTGCTGTGGCTTTCCAAATAAAGTTCTGTGATACACTCAGACTCTAACTGCCTGCAGTCAGTGCATTACAGAACTTTGTTTTGGGAGTGAATGCATCTGCAAACATTTGGTTTATAGTTTACACAAGGCTGCTGTTTTTTTGTTTGTATTTATTTTTTATATTTTTTAACAAGTTGACTTGTTAAATAAAGTTTTTTCCCCCCTGATGTTTCATGTCTTTTTCTTTTCCTGACTTCTTCTTTTTATGGAGAGTTGGGGTGGTGCTGTGGTTTGATGTGTGTTTCATCACTTAAGCTCTATAAGCTTATGTTAAAGTATTACTTAGAGGGGAAGAAAGGGTGCCATATGGAAACACTAGTCATGCTGCTCAGGTGACTGAAGGGAGGTGAGGCAGAAAGGTAAACAGGGCTGCCACATGTCTCACAATCTAATGATTCAGCACTAATAAAAACAAATTCAGATTCATGGGTTTATTTGAGACTCTGTTTTCATAATTTAGCATTACATGTCTCATTTTCCATTCAGTTTTTTAAACAAATGTTTCCACAAATGCACATGAACTTATCAAACTGAGACATCTGTAGTAAAATATCCTAACAACTGCTCACAGGTTGTGATAACAATACCAGTTTCCACGGTCAGTGGAGCATTTGCAAGAGGTAATAAGCAGCAAGGCATGCTGGGAAATGATGCCTTCAATGGTCTGGCTCGTTTACTGTTTAAACAAGGTGTTAGTTTTACATCAATGTGCAAAATGTTGCTTGGCAGAGGAAAAAAAAAAAACCTGCAATTTGAATTCTGATTTTTGGGAGCTGCACTGATTACAGGTACAAACGAATTTCTGACAGTTAAATTAAAAGGGCTTTTCAAAATATCTACAAAAGGGCTGCATTCTGGCTTTAATTCTTTCTCTAGTGTTACTTTTTTATTTATTTTTTTAAAAGAATGCTCAAGCTTTGAGATAATGCTTAGAGCTTTATGGTTTGCCGTTTTTGTTTTGTTTTTTGTGAAAGGATGATTGTTTTCCAACTTGATGTTAAGGCAATTAAGTCCCACAAATTTTTGTCTTTATATGTAAGATTTCCAGTGTTTTCTCTAAATGCATTGACTAAAATAGTATAACTGGACTTTTCATATATCCATTTGTAGTCCTCCCTTTAATGTTCTAAATATTTTCAACCTAAATTAAATAAAAACTAAAGAGAAAATCCAGATGTCTGTTTTTCTCACACAGAGATAATAAATTTTATACAAACAAACTGCACGCTAACATTCTAGCAATTTTGCAAATATAAATTACTTTGAGTTCTAATTGAAATTCTGAATTTCTCATAATCTTTAAAGACACAAAGAACAAGAAAATTAAATGTATAAACAGATAAAATAAAAGTTATAGTGTTGGTTTAGCAGACTAGTGGTGCTGCTCCTTACCATCTCTGGTGAGAAGGTTCCAAAGTTGAAGAACTGTTCCTGGGTAGACCTAAAGTTTTGCTGTTTTCTCTCTAACAAGCTATCAACATTTTTGTATCTTTATTATATTTCACAAAACAAAAAGGCCTAGATGTTGAACAGCCTTTATCTTCAGACATTTTTTAAGTTAAACCACATTAATAACAATCATTTGTCTAGTTATATGCTATCCCAATGTTCTTTGTTGATAAACTGATATTGAATTTTTAAAGTGAAACTCAGAATGGGCTAGTCTGGTTAGACCAACAAAGGTTGGAATCTACCTGACTTGCTCACTGTTCATACAAGATGTAAAACAGCTTTAGCACATATTCCCATTTGTGTTAGCCATAAGATAACACGTCACTTTGTCTAGTAAAAGTGTTTTTATAATTTTAATTACCTGTAAGTCATAAAGATCTGTTGGATTTTTCTTATTATTCTTTTTTCACTGTGGAATAAATACAGCAAAAGATAATGAAGCAGAACCAGCAAAAAAAACATACATATTCTAATAATAAATGGCATTTGTCCATGATGCTTCAATTTCTTGTATAAAAGAGACTGCTAAATGTTATATAAAATGGGTTATACAAAAATAAATAGAAAAATGAATGTTTTAACTGTAACTATGCAATTGTATGTTTACATGTTTTTTTGCTCTTTAAAAAAAATGAAAACGAGATAGCTGTACTAATCGAAACTTCTTTTTGTGTATACTTATGTGTACAAAATGACAAAATAAAATCTAAGTCTAAAAATGAGTGGGAGATATTTGAACAGTTTGTTAACATTTTTCTGATCAAGTAAAATTTGAAACAAATGAAGGATAACAAAAAATCTGTTAAAGAGATTGCAAGAGAAATAACAAACGTTATAAAGTAATCAAATATATTATTTTGTTTCATAAACATAAGTCGTGTATGGATTACAAGGTTTTATGGGGAAAAAATACACCTGTAGCTCTGCAATAGCAGCGCAAACCTTTGTGAAAGCGAAGTATCCTACGTGCCGTGAAGGCAGCACTCTTTCTGTGGGCTGACCTCTGACAGGCTAGCTCAGATCAGTCCCCCCCTCCTCTTCCACAACACGGAAGCAGCATGGCGTCCAACAGCAGCTCCAGCAGGTACCAGACAGCACGGCACAGACTGAGCATCATCGCTGGACACCTGCAGAGACCTGCGGACAGTGATGCTGCCCTTCTAGCCGTTGACTGCAAAGCCCAGGCGAACAAACCAAACGTCAGCGCCGGTGACAGGAGCGAGGGGAGGACAGTGCCTAGGAAGAGGTACAAGGCTGTGATGGATCGGTCCATTATGATTACCTTTTGCTTACTAACTGGCTTATAACATGGTAAACTAGAGCTCCATGTGTAGCACGTGACCACAAACTGACAATACCTTAATTTAAAGGTTTTATACAAATCGGTAAAGCGGATATGGGTTAGCTGGTTAGCTAACGCTCCCTGCCTACAGTTAGCCATTCATTTAACAGTGGGTGGGTGCGGCTAGGAGTTTGGTTTGGTCCACTTTCTCAAAGTCAATTCTCCATTAGCATTTTATACAGTTTAAGTGTCGCTCAGTGTCCGCTAAAAGCCAGGGAAAACGTTTACATAATTGCTTTCCGCTGTCTTCGGCTCTCCCGAGAGCAAACGTTATAAAACAAAGAGGCGGCGCGTGAGCTAAATCTTACCAAAGGATTGCTCCTCTAACAGCAACCTTAGAATGTTACCGCCAACTTTGCTTTATTCTGTTTGTAAGTAATTCACGGTTCGCTGTGTGATTAGTGTATTGACATAAACTGGTTCCATTATGTTCAGTGAGAAGTGGTTATCAGAATAATAGAGAGAAACTGAAAAAAGTATATTAGACTGATGTCAAAAAGTTTTGTCCTTTCCAGTGATCTGATTGGTCAGGACTAATGGTGGCCTGACTTTCAACCTATTATCAGCTTCTGCTAAGAAAATGCAACCATGGTGTGCTGACATCTAGTGGTGCGTTTGCATAATAGCAGCTAAACTGCACAATCTGACACTTTGGCCTTGGTAGGCCAAATCTATCATGCTATGACTAATGTCAGAATAATTTTTCTTTTGTAATATTTTGTCTTCATCATTATCTGTTTTCTTACTGCAATGTCTTCACTATAAAGTAGCTTGATTAAACAGGCAGCAAATGCCTTTGTTTTTTTTATCACTGAGTTACACTTCTTAAAAACAAGATTTTACAAAGCCTTGACATTAGATAAACCTTTAAGCAGCATTTTATTTTTTGCAGTAGATGTATGGCTGTGTTCTCTTGAAGTATACTTAAAATAATTATGAAAGTCAGATTAGTTTTAGGCATACATTTTAATAGTTCATTTTTAAATGGGGAAATGAGGATGCAAAAAAAAAAAGCTACAGTGTGTTTCAAAAACTATAATTGGCTTTACAAACCCATTTCACTAAAGTTGTAAAATGTAAATACAGGCTGGTACTGTTGGGAAACTGGTTAGAAACCACATGCTTTTTCAAGGGTTTGGCATTATTTAACAAGATCTTTACTCTCTCTTCTTGGCAGATTTGATATAGTGCATTGGTTTGTTTCCTGGCTCTGACTTAATTCAAGTATATTCCATACGCTTAAGAGTTTTAGATCAATCCAAAAACTTTTATCTTAGCTTTCTTTGCATCCAACACTTTTTTTTTTTTTGCTGGGGGTTTTCAATCGTTTTATTTTTCAGTGGCCACTTTTTATCAAATTTTCAGCCATCTTATCCAAAATATTACCGGAGATTTAAAAACTTGGTGCATTATCTGAATTAAATGTTTTATGATCAAATCAGAGAAAAACTGAGCTGTTGGGTTATAATAGGAAGAGGCTCAGTGAGGCTTTCAAAGCTAAGAACAGTGAGCAAATTGATGGCAGCATCATCCTAATTGCCTGTTATAGTGATAAAGATTCATTTATTTAATTAATTAAAATTAGTTATGTATTACTGCTTCTCTTCATGTAGATTTTTCTAGATGTAAAAAAAAATGTAAACATAAACCTGTTTCAAAACTATTTAGTCACAAAAAAATATATGTATATTGATGGGGGGCTACCTCCAAATTCGCCTTAATCAACAGGGAGTCGAAACTTTGACACTGTCAGGTTTTTCAGTAGAGCTATGATCCCAGACACACATCCAAACTTGTTTTGGATAAACCAATCTAACATCAGGCTGTGGAACTAGCCCAGACCTCAGCTGTTTCCAAAGTTTATAAACAACGTTTGAAAGCCAGTTCCACAGCAATAAAAAAAAAAAAGTTTTAAGATGGTCTAACTCTCTACCAAACTAAAAGTGGTAAAATGTGCCAATGCCCAGGAACCTACAAACACTGCATTTGTTCTGCAACTTGCTGCTGGAGATTTTAATAAAGAATAGTTGGGCTGTAGCTGTATGTATTAGAGCTTTGATTACTATTTTCCAACAACATTGCATTCATATATGTCTTTTATTACTGTTTTTTTAAATTAACGATTTTTTTGTTGTGTGCTCATGCATAAGCGAAGGTTCCAAGCTTAAAAATCAGAACTGGCTTTATTGTGTACAAAGAAGGGGTTATTTGGTTGTCATCTTTCACAATGCTGTCAACAACCACAGTATAGAACCCACAATAAAAACAATAACATGAATAAAGACGAGTTTGTGTAAGCCTTGGACTGGAAGAACAAAAGTGTGTTATGAAGATACCATCTTCACTTTTCAGTCTTTGCATAAGTTTCCATAACCACAGACCTCGCTGTAATCGTAAAATGCATTTTGAGAGCCACTAAGATCCTGACTGTTGGCCTCTGAAAATTTGTCGACGTTCTTTGCCTTCTTGCTTTGTAACGTAGAAGATCCTGAATTGCAGGATGTGCTTGCTCTTCAAGCACTGGTACCTCCACAGATGCAGCGTTAATGTGATACTTCCTCTGCTAGAGTCCAGGGCTGAAGGTGGAGATATGAGTTTAACAGCAGCGGCTTGCTTGAATTGAATTACATCACTGTAAGCTTAGCAGACAGATGTAGCGCATGCAGAGGAAGGCTTCATTTAACTTCGGCGCTAACTGCAAAAGAGAGTGGTGAGAAGCGACTCGGAAAAGATCCTTCTACCAGATGCTCATGCTTAGCTCTATTTGTTAATGTTCCTTCATGTAGTGGTTAATGATTAATCGGTTGTTTTATTTTTTGGGGGTTTTGTCTAAAAAAAATCACGACACCTGGCATTCTTGTTTTTATTGCTTGGAAACAATAAACACTGGGGAAAAAATCATAAACATCAGAAAGAAGACTTCAGTTTAGATTGGAAATTACAGATCTGTGCGATATAAAGCTGCTGGTATGTTACTTGCTGCCACAGTTCCAGCTTTAATTAGCTCGAACAGAATAATCAGCTCATTTTTTATTCTCCATTTTCTAAATGGAAACGCATGTGACAACAGACTAATTTGAAACGCATTAATCATTCAGTCGAGGACTGGAATTTGCCAATTTTTCCTTGATTAGCTCGGATTGTTCAAAAGTTGACGAATCAAATGTTTTCATATTAATTAGATGCTTTAAAAAAAAAGTTTAACTTGACTAGATGCAAGGACCTTCATGTACCCACATTTGACTTTAATTTAATTAGCAGAGGAGCGACATTGGGCATTAACATTTGAAACAACACAAATCTAAATGCACCCAATTATAGCGAAGGCTGGTTTCATTGTTAGTCCCCATGCTACATGGCACGCACTGAATGACCTGAAATTATTCAATTCATATAAGACAAACATAAAGATGGAATACATCATATAAGAGATGGAGTATAGACTAGTTATCAAACTCCAATCTATATCTAAACTTTATGTGCACAATATTGCAATCTTATACTCTAACAAAGCAGCCTATAAGCCTATAAGTTAATTAATAAATGTTAATAAATGAGAGATAAATATATTTGCACTGTTGCTTTGAAATATTAATACAATACACTGGAGATCTTTTTTATCATTGAGATGACTCTTATGTGATAGTTTTAATGGTGTTAATAAAAGACAAGGCTTGATTACATCCATCAGAGTGGAGCAGAGAAGCTGTAATGGTGATCACATTAACACTCTTTGGGGAGGACGGTGCACTGTATCAAATCTGGTGGCCAGGTTTGATTCCCAGCATCATTTACTGCATGTCTTCATTTACTGCTTATTTTCGAGCCATGTACTAACGAGTAAAGATCATTAGAGCCAAAAGAAAAAAGAAAAACAGCTAGGGTACAGAGTCACATTTTGGCTTCTCTGTTGCTGTTTTTGGAGTTCTGTCCACTGGTTTCATGTTGGCATCAGATGGTTTACCGTAAAAGCTCAACTTCATTTCCCTCAGCCTTCGTTTCAACAAACCTCTGCGTGAGCCAGATAAGCAGTGCTTAATAATCTCCCTCTCATCTGTTTTCATAGTCCTTTTTCTTTTTGGCTCTTTTCTGTACATTTCTTATATCTTACTCCAGGCTTTTGGAAAGCATTTTCTTTTTAAGTTTCTGTATATTCTCATGGCCAAGATAGAATCTTGTGAGCCGTGCACCTTCACAAGGGAATAAATAGAGTTTTTACCTCAAAAGGTGAACATCTGTTTGAGAAATAGTTTTTCGGCTGCTGCGGATCATAAACCTTGTCGAGCAAAGCAGCTATTGGTTACTTTCCAGGGTGCTTCCTTGTTGTGCTGAAGAGATATGTAAGATAAGCTTTTTAATGGAATCACATATTTGATTTCAGTTTTCAAATCTAAGATGGTGATTGAGGAATTTATGGCTTGCTGAGAAAGTCGAAAATAGTTCAGCTTCTAGAAATGCCTAATGAGTAGGCGTGGGCTCATGTAAGAATCCCACAGTATGTTGAACAGCTAAAAATTATAAAATTACAGTATGTAGTCAAACATTAGTAGAAGTTCATCTAACTGCTGTTACTTAAGGTAGAACATAATGACCACTAAGGCCTCCCTAAAAAAAAAAAAAGTAGCATTTTAATGACTGTAGTTTAATTATGCTCTGAGTCGAAGTAACCTTTTTTATTAATATTCTCATATCGACCTTGGTTAACGTATACAATAGAATCCTATAGACTAATTTACTGTTTGTGTGCTATGCTAGCCATTATTTGTAAAAAACAAAAAAAAAACATACATATACCAAAACTCTTGATCATGGAAATTAACTTGAAAAATGAACCTCCTTGTGTAACCCTCCAACCATGCCTGCCGACAGGGCAATTGTCCCGGGCCAAAGGTAGAGGGGGCGCACTGAATCAGCCCCCTTCATCTTTTGCCACAAATTTTCTTTTTTAAAGATTTTTAAGGAAATTCAATTCATTTATTCTTAAGTTTCATAAAGTCTTTTTGAATTATTACTTTCGATTTTCCACTAGGATATACGGAAATACTCCCACCAGCCATTCCTTCTAACTGGTTATGCCACTGATGCAGTTTCTCTGAAATTTGTCAAGCTGCTATATAGTGGGCGGGTTGCGCTGCAGGTGGAGACAGAAAAATACAGAACCTGAATCTTTCCTCCGTTCACGGTCAGGCAGCAGTGTCACTAACCGATCCGTCCCGGAAGCACGATCCGTTCTGCGCATGCGCCATCACCTCATTTGCGCATCCAGATATACATCCGTGTCGTCCTCGATTTTATTTTGTTAAGAATACCTAAATGGCCTTTTCTCTCCCCAAAAATATTAAAGGTACTAAAATATAATGTGTTATGGGTTAATAATGTATTTCCTGAGAAAGTAAATGCCTTAAAATCCTTTCTGTTTTATCACTCGTCTCTGCCCAATCTGCACCAGAAATTAGATCCTGCGCTATTTAAAGCGGCTAACTTTTTCGGCTTTGGATTTAAACATAAATCTAATATTTCTGAGTTTTATGTTTTTGTTTCATTTTAACCTTATGCGATATAGTGCATAATTTAAAGAGAGGAACGAGTAAAATGCAGATAAACATGGTTTAATCATATTTTGCCGGACTGCTCTAAGCATGTCTAATGATGGCGTCAGAGAAGCAGTTTAACAGAGAAAATGTAAAACGCATAAAAATTGTCTCACAAAAGTCATAAAACATTTTTTATAGATGTGTATTAGTATTCTTTAGTGAGTTAAGGATAGAAATAAGTAGTTTTAGTACCATAATTACATTATGTATGGACACACGGATGTATATCTATTCGTGCATGCACAGAACGGATCGTGTTTCCTGGACGGATTAGGTAGTGGCAAGCAGCTCCATCACTCTCACCTGAGCGGCTCTCACCTGAAGAAGACTCCTCAAGCCGCAGGAACAGCTTTAGATCAGCCTCACTTGCAGTAGACGGTCATAGCTTGTAAGCTCTCTGATGGAGCAAAAAACAGTTTCTGTCAAGGGTTTGTTCCCTATCTTTTCCAAATGAAGTTGTAATTAAGACTTGACCAATGGTATTTGACTTATGTGACTACATGGCGCATTCGTGGCTGCAACAATGCTGCGGTGGAAGTGAATAAATTGACAATCCCTCTGTACTGCCTTAACAGCAGATTTTGAAGAGAGGGTTTTGTTAAACATGTCATACAAGTAGAAATCACACAAGTGAAAATCTATAAATGTGATCAAATCCAATTGGAGCTGGTATGGAAACCAAATGTTCTGCATATTTTATAAATTAAAAACTGAAAAGATCTCTATTTGTAAATGTAAACATTCAAATATAGTTTTTAATCCTTAATTAATAAATAAATATTTTTTCACTTATTTATTAACTATTCAACATGTTTCTCTTTTTTCCAGAAAAGGTTACTTAAAAAATTGAACATTTTACGGGGCCCCCACTCGTCAATTCTTTCGATTTTGTCCGGGGCCCAGCCAAGGCTGTCAGCTGGCCTGCCTCCAACAACCCAATAAGTAGGGGTGTAAATCACACCCACCATGGCGATTCGGTTCAGTATCAATTTCCTGAGCCAACGATTTGATTATTTTTGATACTCAAGAATACATCACGATTCGATTCGATTAATTGCTACTTTTTTTTTTACCTTATAGGCTAGACAATTTTTCAGATTAGAAATAAATCAATTAAAGCTGTAATATCGTTATGCATTTTATTTGAGAAACAACATCAAATAACAGCATCAAAAAATACTGCAATGAGTGCATAGGTGCACTAGCAGATTAAGTAACAAAAATAGGCCTATACTACATTCACTATAGAATAACAATACTCAACTAAATCAGTGCACTGAGTGCAAAAGTGCACTAGCAGCAAATGGTAACAAGCGTGTGTGCAAGCGCAAAGAGGGTAGTGCAGTGATTCCCAAACTTTTTTGGCTCAAGGTACCCCTACACATTTTTCCACCCAGCCGTGGTACCCCTAAACTTATTATATCATTATTTTTCTGTCATTTTTTTCAAAGTAGTAAAGGGAACATAAAATGAAGCCCCTCGCCTTAGAATATATTTGCTTACATCAAAATAAATTTACAAAATTGTTAAAATGTAAAAATGTACATTCAATATAAAACAATCTATGAAAAAATCCTGCGGCACCCCTGTAGTGACCTCGTGGTACCCCTAGGTGCCACGGCACCCACTTTGAAAACCCCTGGGGTAGTGGATAAAGGAAGCGAGGTAGGAGGGCAAAATAGGTTTACCGCCGACGAAGCTCGGGAGTCAGAATTATGTCCAGGAGCAAATGGATAAAAATCGACCTGAAGAAAAGAAGAAAAAAAAACATGAATCGATACTCATATTAAAGTGTCAATGCATTGGATCATTGGCTGTTTGATTGATGCATCGATACAAAACGATTATTATTTACACCCCTACCAATAAAGTTTTTTTTTTTTTAACATTGAACAGATGCAGTGGCCTGTAGCACAAAACCATCCTTTTCACAGCGCGGCTTCACCAGGCAGATACATGACAGTAGGGCTGCAACTAAAGATTATTTTGGAAATCGATTAATCCTTCAACTATTTTTTTGATTAATCGATTAATAATCGAATGGCCAAGGGTTGCTTAAAGAAGATTTTTGCGAAATTAAATCAGGTGAAACTAAAACTTTCCCATTTATGGAGTTCTGGATAGAGCATATTGACAGACAAAAATGTTTTTTTTTTTCATCTTAAACATAAAAATGTTTATATATTTGTTCACCATTTTTATATAATTACTGCTCTAAGTGGGTTGCTCTGTCAGCTAAAGGCATGTTTTACAGTCTGTATACTCCAGTTAACGATGAATCGATTACTAAATTAGTTGACCATTATTTTAATAATCGATTAATCCCAATAAGTCCTATTAATTGTTTCAGCTTTAATGAGCAGAACAACTAAAGGGATTATTTACAGGAGTCTTTCTTTGGAGCAGTCTCTGGGCCGAGTTAGCATCAGCTCTGCGGCGACCTTTTCTACAGATTCAGCACCGACGCATATAAAACATTATGTATATAAAACCCTGGTGTCTAGTGAAATAGACTCATACCTTTTTTTTAATGGGACATTTGACCACAGAAGACATTATTTTTTTTTTTTATGATAAACTCGCTCCAATAGATTGACTTGAGACCCTGAAGCCACAGCTGCCTTTACTGGTACTGAAATAATCCATAACCTCTCGGTTGTAGTAGAAGTGAAGCCCGTCCTGAGAAGATCGGTTTGAATGACTGGAAATGCAACAACCGGACACTTTGATGCAGGAGGTGCTTATTTTTAATCTTTAGATTTGCTCCTGTTCAAGTACTTATTGCTTAGAGGTTGTTTTTTATTCGCTGAGGATAACAAGGGAAAAAAAGCTGGTATCTTGTTATTAAGCTGTCTGCTCAGCTAGCCACGCTAAAGTCAGCTAATTTACAGACATTGCGCCCTGCAGTGTCTTTGCCTTTCACTACATGAGTGTTGTTTCTTTTGTTTGTATGTTTGGTTTTGATCATACGTCTCTAAACAGCTAAATCTGTCTTTGTTGTCAGCAGATAGAAACTGTTTCCGTATTTCAGCCAGCTTTTTTGGCAGTGCACAGCAACAGGTGGGGGAAAGGGAGTTTTTTGTTTGCCTTTTTTCTGAACAATTGATTTCTTAGGGAAGTCTCAGAGATCATAGAATTCGTCTGATGGAAGATTTGAGCTTTAGAAAACCCAAACTTTTACGACAGCATAAGCTGCTCTCTCTCTCTAGATGGTTGTATTTTTTTTCCAATGTGTTTCCTTGGCATAGTGCTGTTCTAAACCAGTGCAAAGAAATCTTTTGATTTGATTATCTCCTAGAGAATATAAAATGTGTGCCGGCATGGCTACTCGACACTTTTAAATCAATGGAAAATGTGTTTCGTAATTTCCAAGATTACAGCGGCTCAACGTTTTGGTTTCTTGGTTGTCAAAATAGAGATTTATATATTTGAGTTAAAGGTACTGCGTTATTGTTTTCCTGATCCTCCTGAGGGGAGGAAGTGTAGCAGAAATATGCAAAACCTTTATTAAAAAGCTCAATAGTTTAAAACGTGCACAAATACTATGTTAGGTCAGAGCACCTGAAAATAACCTTCAAATGTTTTCCTTTTTTTGATAATCTCTCTGATGTTTCTTGTCCAAACTTAAGAGTACCAGTGGCTTTGCAAACCTGTGCCAATATTTATTTTTCCACAGGCAGGAGATTATGAAATGGAACGGCTGGGGATACAGCGACTCCAGGTTCCTCTTCAACAAGAAAGGCCAAGCAGAATTTACTGGGAAAAGGTGAGGTGACAGAATGACTCTTTAGTCCTTTTTCCTTTTTTAAAGCTTCCCTCTGTCTGTGTGACTTAGAGCAGGAGTTATGCAGTGATCTCTTTCACAGCCCCTGCTTTGAACCCAGCTTGTGAAACTAGTCGAGCTCCTCTGTCTCCTCCATTAGTGTGGTGCTACTGCCCCCTAGTGTTTGGCATTTAAATAGTGGGTGTCATTCGAGAAGGTCACCGCTTCTGATTCTTTAGACTTTCTGTTGCTTATTAACAGAGACGACCTTCCACCCTATTAGGTTACTGATCATGCAGTATTGGGTGGAAATGTAAATTTACATGTGTAAAAAGTACAGAGTTGCTGTTTCACTGGATTGAAATGGTGAGAAATGAATCCTGTTTATTATAAATGTTTAGAGTAGGAAGATAACTTGGTCTACATTCTGCGTGCCTTCCACAATATAAGCAGAAGCTGAGATGCTTCTGTGTTTTTCAGTAAAATGCAGATCAGGGGGAACTAGAGGAGCACGCACAAATGTATACCTTCATGGACTCAACAGGATGTTGCATTACAAATTCTTTCCTCTTTCAAAAGCATGTGCTACAAAATTGCTCTCATCCTGTCAACATATCAAAAGTCCCTTTTATTATTTGTTGCTCTTAAATTTTAAAACCTGTGACTTCCCAGCATATTTGTTAGGGTCTCCATCTCAGTCGTTTTTCTTCCAGGACTGAGCAATATTCACCTCAGTCCATGTTTCCATCCACTCTGATTGGCTTTATTGTTCCTCGTGACGAAAGCTGCTGACATGCAGAGTCTACAGATCTGTGTGTAAAAATGAGAAAGTTCAGCGTAGGCCTCTAATTTGTACAAAGCATGTTTTTCATTTTTTAAATTTGCTGTTACAAAAAATAATAACAAATTTCAGCCTCCCTTCATCAATTTGTTGCTCTTACCCTACTGTCACGTGAAACTACTACAGTATTTGGTTTTTATGATTACAGATCTGGAAAAGTTTGAGCAACATGAATATGCATGCAAGGTGCAATATTGAGATCTGCTCTCCTGCTCCTCAGCTTTTGCTGTAGCAGAAGGTTTATCAGGAAAAAATCTGCTCCCCTGTATCTTGGGATGTAGTGCTCCCTAATGGACTGGCCCAGTCTTTGCCAGCAGCTCAATTATGCAAGGAACAGCGAAGGCGATCATAGGAGCTGCACTGTCACTGCTGTCTAACCTCCCCTGACCCCATACTCTACTTTAATTAGTCACAGATTTCTTTTCCCCCACTCAGCCAAGCCACGGATGTACAGGATTCTAGTGTCTATTTTAGAGTTAATGCAGAGACTCTTTTATCCATCACAGGTATAGACTGAGTGGGATGATCATCCCTGGGCTGAAGGACTGGATGGAAAGCACGTTTGGTGCCAATTTGCAGCATAAAACCCAAGCAACAGTAAGTGTAATTACCCCCCCTCCTGCATTACCCCCTCCTTTCCATTGTGTCTTCAGTGAATAGAAGCACACAGCAGCTGAAGCCACAATGTTTTCGTTTGTTACAGCCTGCTCTGAATAGCAGTGCTGTACAGCCTCCTACATTAAATGAGGTCTTTGTGGAGGAGCTGAAGTCTACAGGTATTCCTTTCTCTCACCGGGCAGAAGACCGGGTTTTCCGTGGCCACGGTACGGAAGGAGATGTCAAATTTTTTAAATTTGAATGTTTTGAAGAAAAGAAACAAACATGTATTCATAATATGACATGCTTTCTTTGTGCTGCAGGCCACTGCCTACATGAGATCTTTGCTCTGAGAGAGGGAAAAATCGGCCGTGTTCCAGATATGGTGGTTTGGCCAAGTGAGTGTATAAGCAACGCTATGGGTTAGCAGGGCTGGTGGCGTTGTTTTCCCCTCCACCCACGTAGCATTACTGATCCCCCTGCTGGTTTTGTGATTTAAAGGGTTAATCTCTGCAGAGGCAGGAATATTAATATGTATGAGTGGAAGCTTAATAAGAAGCGTCAGGAGGGAGGATGGTTGTCATCCAATCCTCCACAGTCTGGCCCTCCACAGTACAATCATGAATTATGTTTCTCAGATTGGTTTTCTCTTGATATAGCTGGCAGTGTTTTATCATGCAAATGAGTGTTGACTGATGGCTGGAAGTTGATTAGCAAGCTCCCAAATGGGCAGCAAATCACTAAGAAACATCAGCCAAACTCTGATGCAAACTAGCATGAAATGTTCTCTTTTCAGTCCTTGCAAGCTTAATTATACCTTTCAAATATTTGATCCATAATATTTATTCAGTTTCTCTTTACATCATATATTGTTTGGTCAACTGGCATTAAAGATACCCCAGCTTCTACTTCTGGTGTTTTACTTTAAAGTTTCAAATATTACAGGAAATTCTTATACTATGTTGCTAAAGGTCTTTTATCTGCTGTTTATGAAACTATCCTAAATGTTTTTGTTTTAATGGATGGTGATTTTTAAATGACTGTTGCTTTTCTTTCAGGCTGTCACAATGATGTGGTGAAAATTGTGGAGCTGGCTTGCAAACATAATGTTTGTCTGATCCCTTATGGAGGTAAGCCTTAGAATCAAACGTTTGAATCAACCTTGTTAGATTTTACTTTTTTATGTTTCTTATTTTTAAAAAAACATGCTTTTTAATCGTTTAACATTTCTTTGTGAAGATAAAGCCCATAAAATTGAGATTTTATTTATCCTTCATTTGATGTTCCAATAAAATATTAAACTTATGTCCTGAAACTTCACTTACTACCTCTGTATTTAAAGTATGCCTTATATTTTAATATACTGTTTCTTGTTACTTCAGTATACTATATCCTGATTTCAAAACGGGAATAAAGCAATCTTATAGGGGGATATAATGACATTAGCTGTAGTGAGGATAGTGTGTCGCTCATTTCCTGCAGTGAAATCCTAACGCATCCAGTCACACAAGCTTTAACTTTTCTGCCTTTAATGCCTAAAATATGCTTATTAGACATCTGTAGCACCAATTTGATTAATTGCAGACCTGATTTTACCCATGCAGAAGGTGATGTTAATCAAAGTTTATACGTTGCAAAATAATTGATTTGCTTATTCTTATATATTGTGAAGCAAAATTGTTTTTAGTCAGTTTTTAAATGTTTATCATCGTAATGATAAAGTTCATTGTATTATGTATTGTCCTAGAGATAAATAGATAACAGTGATACCCCTAGAACCAAGTTCTCATGTCCTGGAAAAGTAGAGCAAAGCATGAGGGTTAAGTTTTTAGACTGAATCCTGTTTAATGTTTCCCCTTCTTTTAACTCTCTCTGGGTCTTTTATGTGGCAAAAAGAGAAGCTTTCCCATTAAGGATTGTTTAATTCCAGTTAAAAGGTTTTTTTCTTGAAGAGAGTCCTGCCGCCATCAACCAGGGCGCCTAATGTAACTCAAACAACCCCTGCTTTCACTTATACAACCCTTACTGTGATGACACAGGACCCGTTCTGAGAATAAGGTGTGTTTTAAAAGGATTGTTTCTTACTTTCAGGTGGAACGAGTGTGTCTAGCGCCCTGGAGTGCCCACCAGAGGAAACTCGATCTATCGTCTCATTGGATACCTCACAGATGGTAGGTCAATACTAGTTTCTATACTGAATTAAACATTCCACGTATTGTCAGGACTGCTTAGATTATGAGATATTTCTCATCTCAGTTTTGTCTAAATTGCGTTCCTTTGTTCAATAACCTTTAATGTGTGCAGTATGTGAATAAAAAAGACCAAAGTCCCTTACATTAGATAGTTAGAAAATATAAATAGCATTTTGACTTAGAATGCAAAACGCCATGTTTGGAGGGATCACCCTGAACACCTCGGATATGCTGTGAAACCCAGCGGTGGCAGTATTATGCTGTGGGGTGAGGCTTTTCTTTAGAAAGGACATGTAGAAATAGGAGTAGAATTTTATTTTAGCTAATTTATCTTCAGTTTTATGCCGCAAAAATCCAGTCTTTAGATTTTACAGATTTGGTCAATTTAAGAGGAAAATCTTTACAATTTAAGATTTTATCAAACTACACTCTTGGGGGGTGAATAGGAATGCATCCTACAATTCCTGAATTTGAATCCATTTAAATAATTAAAGTAAAACACTGTAGCCATGATTATTATTTTCCAATGTATAAAATGTGCTGCAACCCTTTGATCCAGACTCACATAGAGGTGATATACAAGCTGTTAGGATGCTGTTGGATCTGTTTTGTGTCATGGAGATCGGTGTTGGGTGTCAGGGGCCAGAGGTAAAGCGGCTGCCATGAGAACACATTAAAGTAGCACAGTGATAAAAACATAAAGTTTATTACCTCTGAGGAGTGATTGATGGCAGGGATGGGATGACTTCCTGCCAGTAGGGGTGAACTGGAAGCCCAGGGGATCAAACAAGACGCTTGTAGTCGGATTTAAATGTTGACTTCAATTAAGATGACCATTATCTTTGTCCTGTAGCACATCTGCTTGCAGTTATCTCTAAAAATCCCTATGGAAACAAAATATGAGCATCGTAGAAAGAGCGGCGTTAGCAGACTGGTTTCTAAAGAGCGCCGTTTGTTGTTTTCACTATGCCTGAAGCTTCGTACAGTCAGATGGAGTTTGGACGGTTTCCATTACAGCCATTGAGATGAGACGCCACCTTACACATATTAAAGCTATGTCAAGGTTTAAAGCATTCGTTTAAAATGTTTAACTTCCTCTTTAATGTCCTTGTTTCTTCCAGAACCGTATTTTGTGGATTGATGAGCAAAACCTGACTGCACATGTGGAGTCTGGCATCGTCGGTCAGGATCTGGAGAGATTGGTAAATACAGCTTATACATCCGTTATTATTTACACAAAGATCTAAGCCAAACTATAAACTATGCCAGCAGTCCAGCTGGGTGTCCTTTTTGGTACTGCTGGTTCCTCCAGGTTGACCTTGGCTCTCTTTACATAGTAGATTTCCTAGGATATAGGAAGGTAGAGAACAGAGTGCTGTAGGAGAGAGATTAGTGAGTGAGACGGTGGTCGTGAGCAGATGGCACCATCAAGCTAATTCAGAAAAATGGAGTGGGAGCAGGCGTTTGATGTAGAGGAATGCGTGAGCCGCATCTAAAGCAGACGACACCTCTGCATTTAGACTGAACCAGGGTGATGGAGCAGATGGGTCTGGAATATAAACTGCTTTCCAGAGGGTGGATGTGATAAAACAAAACCTGTCTTTACTTTGGTGCTTCTGGGAAGTACTGTTCTTATTGTTAAAGGTCTTTATTCTCAGGACTGTTCTCAGCCGTGGCTTTGATATGCTCCTAATAACCTGAGCAACCTTCTGGGTGCCTGAGGGGCAGTGCAGAAATGCATAATCTCCTAGAAGGTCTGTTTTTCACAGACTGCTAATGGCACATCATTTTATATTGTGTTAAAATGATATTGCATGAAATGTCTATAAATACAGAGAGATAAAGGGTTAGATATTATCCAAATGTCTGATCAGACTCATGATCTCTGCCTTTTTAAATAATACCTAGCTTATGCTGGAGAATGGAGTAGAAGGGTATAGACAGTGTCTATACAAAATTTCCAAAGTGGGGAAATTCAGGTGTCACACATAACAGAAAAAAAATGTGCAGCATTCTTGGCTGACTGGAAAAACAACAAAAAGTGTGTATGTGACAGTTCTTGATTTCAGATAAAACAAAAAACAAAAAAAAAAACAGAAATTTCACAAATAAAACTGAGCTAAATCTTTATAAATGACAACATGGATGAAGAAAATCTCGGTCTTGCAAAGTAGATCTGCTTGACACCAGGAAAACATATGATACATAGATAAATTTAATACTGAAATGGTTTGGTTTCAATAACATTGGTTACGATGATCTGTCTATTAGAAACCATAGACTCCTAACAGTGAGTTCTCTAAAATATAGTTTTCTGTTTAATACTTGCATAGTTTTAACTATGTTTTATTGAAACATGCTTTTATGTTTAAATTCAAGCTGAGTAGTTGCTTTATCATAGATTATTTAATATTAGCAAAATAATTTCTCAGGCTAATTAAAACAAGTTATAATAGACATCATATGTGCACACAGAGATCATCAGTTATGTTTCCTGCTAAGCAGTTCTCTCTTATATTGTTGCTATACACACCCATATTATGAAGATTTGTGTTTTTATGTATTGGACAAACTTGTTTCTCTGTCTGATCATCAACTATTGCAAAACAAACAACTTCAATTTGCACAGCCACTTTGTACAATCATGGCTGGTTTTCTGTAACCTTGCACTGCAAGCTGGATTGTCACAAGATTTGAGTCCTAGCCAGGGCATTACAAACACGGCTACGCTGGAGGACTTACCTGTCGACACCGCCATTGACTTGATTTTAGCTAAAATAGCGACAATCTCTCAAGGAGCAACGAGAAGCACTTTGTGCATTTTTAGATAGCTTTTCTTCCGACAAGATTTGGAAAAAGTTTGATTTATCAGCTTACTCTAGTTGTGAAAACACTCAAGAAGCTACAGATGAATCCTATTGTGATCAGCATGTCTCCGTTGGTGGCTCCAATTGGCTGAAAGCGTATTATGGAAGGCGGGTATCCGCTGTCACGTCACACAATCAGCTCGAAGTATTGTAGTAAACGTCCCTCCTTTTCATGTACAAACTGAATGGCAGCCATCCCAGATGGATAAACTAGAACTAAGTTCTACACATCTCAGTATCTCAATCTGGCTACTGCAAGGTTAGGTTTTCTGTTTGTTGCTAACTTAACTCTGCTGTTGGCTGTTCACATTATATTTGCTTATCTGAAAAATCTGTTTGTTTTTTTAGGGACCTAAATTCACAGATCTTTCCTCCAATAGCTTCGATGGCTTTTACCGCTATTTAGCGCTAGAACTGCTATTATTCTATGAATTTTGTCTTTAACAAAATAAACATAAAATATTTAGATTAAAAGAGAGGAGTCTGATGATTAACGATTCTTCGTGTAAGGGTTCAAACATGGTGACTTCAAACCAAGAAGGATCAAGATGTAAACTTATTAAAGGTCTTAACTGTGGGTGTTAGTAGTGCATATCTCTAGACTCATATTGATTGATTGACTTTAGTGATCTCAAAGTGGAGAAATTTTCCCGTTGTATCAGCTCAAATAGTCAAAAAAGAAGAATGTGCCAAAGGAAGAAAAAGGTGTATGGGATATATATACAGTATATACAGTGCATCTCTATATGACAGTTTTTTTGTTTTGTTTTTTTATAAGAGGATTATTATACAGGGTTATTGCGCAGGGTGTTTACATGGTTATTTATATAGATAGATATTTATATTTGTATATATATTTATCACCTGGTGTCAAATATAGACAGACAGATTATTGCAAAGGGTGTCAAATAGTAAATTGCACATTATGCTAGCGTTGCGCCGATGCCATTTTTTTTTTTTTGGCCCCGATACCTGGCTGTGCAGTATTGGCCGATACCGATACCATCTGTTTGAAATTGATGTGTGTGTGTGTGTGTGTATATATGAAGAGCTGAATACTATTTGGATGTAAAATAATTGCCATCATTGCTTTGTCAAGCTGCTGCCTACCTTTGTGAAACAGGAAAAAAAACTAATACAAAGTGAATCCAGTAGAACTTTTTATTGCCTACCTGGAATGGGTGACAATAGTTGAATAAACTTTTGGCTCTCAAAATGGTATCGGTGGCCTATTTGTTGGTAATCGCCGATACCGATACCACCATTTTAGTGCTGGATCGGGGCCCCTCCCGATACTGGTATCGGTATCTGTGCATCACTACATTATACATTGCACAAGTTATTGCCGTTGTGGTCCTGCATAGTTGTCCTGGAGAAGCTCCTGTTAGATGAAAACATCTGTTGCTGTCAGGAAAAACAAAAAACTTTACAGGTGCATCCAGAATTGAATAAATAAGTTAGGATTTGGTCACGAAATTAAAGTAATTAACAATAATAATGCACTTTAAAGCTTTTATGTTTTGAGATATTTATTGCTTTTTTAACACCGTATGTGATGATATGACAGTTGATGATCTCCAGTAGATTATAAGTTAATAATGGTGTATATGATGTGTTTAAAAGAAGGCTAGTCCACTTTAAACCATTTTTTTTACATGAAGACCCTTACTGTTTGTTTGTTTTTCCCCTCTGGGCTTATGAAGCTGCTGTAAATATCTGCATAGCTATAAAGCCTTACTTTTTACTATAAATGCTGCTACAGAACAGTAATTACACCCCCCCCACTCTTTTTTTTTTTTTTTTTGTTGGTTTTTGTCATTAAAACATTCTTGTGGGTTCAGCGCATCAAATGTTTTCCAAACATTTTGCCTTCTTTTATTTATTTGATTTTTTAGCCAACACAACAGACACATGCTCTTTTACTTTTATCGCAGCTTAATGAGAGCGGCTACTGTACAGGGCACGAGCCCGACTCCATGGAGTTCAGCTCCCTGGGGGGTTGGGTTGCTACGAGAGCCTCGGGCATGAAGAAGAACATCTATGGCAACATTGAAGATCTGGTGAGTCACCTCCCTTCCCTTTGGCCATGCTGTGTGTTTGATCCACTCCACGCAATGAGGGAACACAAGTTCCTGCGCAGTAATTAGAGAGAAAGCAGGGCTGTTTTTGACTCGTCCTTCACTTATAAACTTATATTTTGCAGTAGTTGTAGAATAAGTTATGAAAAGCACACTACATGCAGGATTGTTAGACATCTTGGAAAAGTATGGAAATGGGTTTAAAGTGTTTTTTTTTAAATATAGATAAGAATGGATAATGACTTTTCTTCCTCATTATTTTCTTTCCCCTTTTTTCTCCTTCCTTTCTTCCAGTTTTGGTTCTTAACCTTTGTTCCATTGTTTTTACATACCTTTCTTCTTTTTTTCTTTCCTTTTGCTCTTTGTTGCAAGCATTAACACTATCTAAATATCAGACATGGTTACATGCTTAAAATTACTGCTTTTAAACTGAAAAGATTGAAATTCTAATGCTGCGTTCACACTGGGCGCGTTCTGGGCGTTAAAGCATCTGGTTTACATGCTAATTCTAAGGGGGACAGTGTCGAGTGGTACAGCAGTGCGTTCGAGCCTTGGGAGCAGCGCATTCCGAGCATTCTGGCATCCGAGTGTTCGAGCTGGAATTCGGTACATTGAACTTTTGCCGCTGGATGCCGGAGCATTAACCAATCAGAAAAGCTGATCCACTATTTTTTTGAAGGAGACAGACACTACTGCTGAATCTCAAACCGCTCCCTAACCACTAACACTGATCTATCAAGTCTCAGTCGCAATAAAGTCAGACTCCAAGCTGTGATAGCGACCTTTCCTCCAATGGAAAAATAAATCAGTCGTTGCTATGGCAACAAAGTTACGGCCCATGTGCGTGGCTGTAGCTCTGTGGCGCAGGGTGACATAAAATCAAGCATTTGCCCCTTTCTTAAAACAAATGTATACAGTCAAATAAAACTATTTCAAAGAGGACCTTCCATTTTGGAATTAATTACGTTTCTTTTCATAACCTAACTTGTGGTTTTTCGTCAGTGTGAGGAAGCTGCAGCAAACCATCGAAGCTTACATTTAAATTAACGCATTTCCTTCGGCATTAAGCTGCTGTTACACCTACTGCCAAATTCCAGATGCCTGCACTGATGTAGACTCACTATTTAAGGGCTGGATGGTCCACTCGCCCTACCCACTGTGGTTTGGGATGGCAGTTTATGTGGCGGACCCTCCCGAATGGAGTGTAAGTGCTCAGGGTTAGTGCTTAGGGTCCGTTTTAGGATCGGCCTACCTTCAAGCTGTTACCACCTTTGCAGACAGTCTGCATATGAAAAATAAGTAAATATTGAGGGAGTAAGTTAAATTTAAAAACAAACATGGAGGAATGTTTTGTTATGTAGAAGGAACAAAAAGGGAGCTCTGATCATTACTGCTGCACTAAAACATTTTTTATGAGCTATGGCGAAAAAGTTCATAAATACCCAAATTAACAAGAAATGTTAAAACCTAACGGTGAAAAATATCCAGTTGTATATTCTGGTACTTGCAGTTTTTACCACGAACCTTAAAATCTCTTTATATTCACTTCCAGGCACTATGAACGGTGCTTTGTCAGAACATCATACATGGTCAGAGAGGCATAATTGTTCTAATAGGCAGGCTTGCACATGCTAACAGACAATTACTCCCACATTGAATTTTAGCAGCAGTTTACTGACCAGCAAAAATATGTTTATTTTAACTTTAAAAAAAGAAAATCAGCTTTAAATCTACTGTTATTTCTTGGACGTAGAAACAGCCAGACATTAAAGTTTTAGGGATGTTGAGAGAAGAACCATATTAGCCAATATTAATTTAAAATAAGTTACTTTAGTAGTAAAAAAAAACGCGTGCAGGAATTTAAATTTGGTTACATTTTGTATTACATGTTTACAATCCTAGAAATCATTGGCTGTGTTTTATATCGTGACTCGGAATTCATTTAGGTTACATAAAAACGAATCATATGCCGATCTGACAGCATCTTCTGTTCTGATAAGAACAATGGCAGCGGGAAATCCTCGAAGCTGCCGGCAGCAGAGAGCGTTCAGCGGTGATTGAGGTCTGGCGCTCTGAACAGGAACTGCATATTTTAGTGGGATCATAATCCTGATGAACTGACTGCACAGAGGATGTTTGGAGGTGGACTTAAAAATATGTTAAAACTATTTTCCCAACTTAAAAATTAAATAAAGCCAAGCTGCTCTCTAGTGTGAAGCTACAGAATAGGGCAGATAAACAACCAGAGTGCCGAGCATCCAGACCGTCAAAGCATTAAAGCAAAGTGACCACAGTTTGATCCAGCATCCAAATTTTTGCTTTTCCACATATTTGACGCCCATAACGCCTTTGGTGTGAACACAGCATTAGTCTGAAGTATTTCCATGGAAAATCTTTAGAAACAATGAACATGTCAGCAGCACTTGGTCTGTAACCAAAGAATTAACACCCTTATTGTCCTCTGATTGAATAGGTGGTTCATATCAAGATGGTTACTCCTCGAGGTGTGATTGAAAAGAGTTGTCAGGGACCGCGGATGTCCACGGGTCCAGACATTCACCACTTCATCCTTGGTTCAGAAGGTTTGCCTACTCGCTCACGTGTTTTCAGTACACATTAACGTGTGCATATCTGCAGAGACTTTGTGTTAAAACAGTAACATCAGGGCAGTTCTCATGTGCTCCACTTCTTTCTTACACATTAACTAGGTTTTGTATAAACTAATCTAAGGTAGTATTTTCTGAGAAAAGGGAGTTTTGCTGCTCTTCATCTGCAGTGCCCTGTCCTTGTGAATGTCCACTGAGAATAGCGCCATATGCCAAGTTTCCCAACATAATGAGGGGGTTCAGAGAGGCTCAGCACTGCTATGTTAAACAGCTGTGGATGCAAACTTTAGATTGGCTGTGAAGAGCTCAGCAATCTGCTCCCTGGTTTGGCTGGAGAGTGCTGCATAAGTCTCAATTTGTGTTGATTGGATGTGCAAAGCTGTATGTAAGATCGAAATCATACAAATGTAATTTAACACGGCACATTAATTTAATACACACTTGTAAATCACCAGCGCTGCTCTTGCTATAATGATACAGCAGTGGTTTTCGATAGACGTGTTAATTTACACATTTGAATTGCTGCTTTTTTTTTTTTACCCAGCTTCAGTTTCTGTATCCTAATTTTGATTCTTGTTTTCTATGCTCAGACACACACACATTACTAAGGATGGTAAGGCTTTTTAGCCTTATGATTTAGCAGCTTCTTTTGATATTTAAACTGAGGAACTAGATATTGCATTGGATCTATTGAATCTGTTAATCAGTGCAGAGTTTGTTTTTCTCACACATGGGGTTTCTAAAATGTTCACTATTCTTCTCCCATCACCGGAGCACAACTTGATATATCTGTCTTCTTAAGGCTTTCTTTCTACCCTTCCTTCATTATGATAGTTCAGCAGAATGCATGCTGCGGAAACCTTCTTCCACCTGAGCTCTAGCTGCTGCTGATACTCAGGTCTACTGTTGTTTTTTGGGATTTTACGATGCTGTTTTTTCATTGATATTCTCCAACAAACTGCAGAAACTTTCAGAGAGCAGCTGCATTTGTAGACTTACTAGACTCTAATAACTGAAGGTGATTGGATGAACTGGGTTTTTGGGGAATTCCAAAGAAACTTGGCCTTTAAAACTGATGAAAACAAAATTATCCAAAAATTTTTTATCAATAAAGAAAAACAAACTATACTTTCTGAAACACTTTGATTAAGCACACTTTTCTGTTGGTCTGTCACATGAATTCCTCTCAAAGTAATTTTCTTCAATGACTCTTTGAGCGAAATTTAAAATCACAACTTTTATTGATATTAATTCATACCAGAGCCCCCCCCATCCTTAATCCCTTAGGGTTTAGGTTTACACTATAGAAAAATCAGCTGTTCTTTTAGGCTAACCAAGTAGAAAATGAACTGTCTAAATGGCACCAGTTCACAGCATAAAGCCAAAAGGACCACATCATGTTTCCCGGACTCTGTGTCTCTCAGGGAGGCAAAACATTGAAGCTAAAGGTCAACCCACCATGTAGTCTCATTAAAATTATCAACCTCCTCAAGCTAACAACCCCACACTGCAGATTGACGGGAGGCCGCACAAACAGCAGCTCCGCAGCACCAGCGATGGCCTGCATGTTAATAGCAATACATCCATTTTATTAGAAATTCCCCTCGAGTCTTTATCTGCTCATTCTCTGCACAACAAAAAGTTTTTTTTTTTTTTTTTTATCTCTCTGACCTTGTAGTAGCCTGAATTTAAAGCAGCTTCAACCAGGATGACTGGATTGAACACTAATCTCTCCAAAATGTCCTCTGATAGTTATTGTAAAGCAATCTAATGTGCTAAAGGTTGAACCCCAGCTGTTATCTGATGGGAGGGAGTCACTAAGGTGATGGTTGCAGAACACCTTAAAAAACTGCATTTACACAATATGAGTGCTGTACAGCGCAAGTTCTTTCTCATCTATACTCCCTGGTGCTGCTGTTGGGTTTACATCCTTTTTATCTGCACTACCTCACCCTCCCTTATTCTCTTGCCATATAGCTCCTCCCCACCTCCCTCCATTTCCCAATCATTGTGCTCCCCTTACGCTCCTCCTGCCTACTGTTTACGAGGAGGAGCCAGTGAAGATATACGTTTCATACTGGGCCACTAGAGAGCAGCGTGTGGCATATATAGACAAATGCATCTGCTTTGTTTTTCTATATCCACAATCCCTAATTATGTTACAATGTTTTTTTTTTTTATATTGAACTCAGTTTTTGCATCTAAGTAAAGAATTTTTAATTTACAACAGAGATTATATTAGGCACTTAAAGATAAGAGCCCCTCAAAATACGCCGTATTGCCAAAAGTATTCACTCTTCTGCCTTGACTTTCATATAAACTTAAATGGATCTTATTATTGATATATATTGCACTGAATATGTAGTTTGTCTATCCTTTGCAGCCATAACGGCTTTAACTGTTCTGGGAAGGCTGTCCACAAGGTTTAGGAGCATAGCATGTTAGAAACAGAAGGCCTTCCTCTCAGTCTCCGCTCTAATTCATCCCAAATGTGTTCTGTCGGGTAGAGATCTGGACTCTGTGTAGGGCAGCCGAGCCCATCCACACCAAACCCTGTGGTTTTCATATCTGTATGGATCTTGTTTTGTGCAGTGGTGTAATGTGCAAATTTGTTTTAAAAGGTGAAACAAAGCAAATTGTCTATATAAATGTAACATAGAAAAATTAAAACAAATTTTGTTAGGTTTGTGATTGCTTGATTGTGAATGTCTGGAAATTTCAACAGAAAAAAGTTTTTTTTCATTTAATGACAAATAAAAGGAAAATGTAAATAACATACAGTATTATGTATATTTTACAGGCCTCAGACAGACCATGAGAACGAGTCATGTTAACCTTGAATACGCTTTTTAGCCATTTGATCCGGAAACTATCATACTTAAACCTATAAAATTATTTAGCCGTGTCAACTCTTTCTATTTGAGTGAAACACAATATTTCCTAAAATACTCTTTCCATGATATGACAGTTAAAGCAAACTTTAGTCAGTCATTTCCAGGAGTTGAGAGCTGTGTGACTTCAGTAAGCACCTACCTCAAATGTTTGGCATTTGTGCAGATGAGTTGCTGCTGGTGGCCCCCACCGCCTTTGATAGGGACCCACTCTAGCCCCTCTTGCAGATAAATCTTAGCTGTCCCCTTGTATGCGGTAGAAAACCAGACCTAATGTGAAATGTGATACAAAGGTCACACAAATGACCCAGAGGGGATGTACCAGAGCCTTGTTGAATTATTTTAAGCTCTGCTTTTAATTGCTTGCTGGTATAAATTGTATTCAAATAAAAAAAAAAGTATGAAAACGGTCCCATACATTCTAACATGCTCAGCTGTATTCCTGATGGACAGCAGAGCCCAAAGAGAAATAAAAGGCCTTTCCTGTTTTTGGTAAACAGCTAAAGAAGTCAAAGTGAAGATGCTGAATCAAATAATTTAAAACTGAACAACCTGATCCACTATCTCTACTTAACATTACTCAAGAGAGCACTTTTTTTGTTTCTTTCCCTCCTTTGCAGGAACCCTTGGTGTAGTTACCGAGGTAACGATAAAGATCCGTCCCATACCAGAGTATCAGAAGTACGGCTCTGTGGTGTTCCCCAGTTTTGAGCAGGGTGTGGCCGGCCTTCGAGAGGTGGCTAGACAGGTAGGGGCTGCGTCATTTTCATACATACCTATAACTATCTGATTATCTGGAGTTCTTTATTTCATTATTTTCTTTAACTGCCATTAAGTTTTTTCCCCCATTATAATAAAAAAACAGCCAAAAAAAATCAAAAACATTTTAAGTTGAAAGTCCAGAGGGAAACCTGGTCTTAGCAAAATATCTAAGCACTTGTTGTCAGTTGTCTGTATTAACATTAAACGGCAAAGTCATTCATTTTTTATATTTTTGTTTTAATAATTACTATGTTGTATCCATTTTATTTGTTTGCTTCATTAAATTAATTGCATGGCTTTATAAACTAAGATTGTTTTTTAAACATTCTTTACATATCTCATTTACTGCCTCTTCATTCCTTTTTATGGGTGTCAAAAATCAGCAGATGCTTGTTGTTTTTTTTGTGTGGTTTTGTTTTTCTTTTTTATGTTAAAATCTATAGTTGAGCCAAAATAATTCATACCACTGGAAGATTTAGAAGATTTATTTTTTATTTGACCAAAACATGTTTTTTAGAGTAAATAATGATATTTTGGAGTAACCCAGCTTAGGGTTGTCACGATACTAAACTTTTCAACTCGATACCGATAATAAGTAAAATATTCGATACTCGATACCATTTTCGATACCACAAGGATAAAAACAAAGACTCCAAAATTCAACAGAAATTTTTTCATTAATAAACAAAATACAATAAATAGATAAATACAATAAACAATATTTTGAGATTGTTTGCTGTGCACAATATTAAACAAGCTTGATAAAAAAACTTACAAAATTAAAATTAAGTTTTCCCTCCTTGGCTATGCTTTGCACACATAACAATGACACTAGCCAAACCATTTAAAAAACAAAAATAATTCTCAGCAGCTGCACCTGTTACAGAAAAAAGTCTGAAACTGAAAAGTGCGTAGAATTATTCAATCACACAGTGTTCAGAAAGTGCATTTTCCTCTAATCTGCGCATAAGATGAATGACTGTTTAGGTGCCACTGGTGGTGGCACTGTATCGATACTTTTGAAAATGAGTATTGTATCTGGATACAACGTTTCAGTTTCGATACTTTTTTGAATATCGATACTTTTGACAACCCTAACCCAGCTACAAATTCAGTCTGATTAATTTTGTGGTACTAATGATTTTGGTGATGCTAATGATTAGGCCTTCTGACTTTAAAGGCTTTATAACCCACTGATTATTTTTTGAAATACTAGTAGAGGCGTACAAAAGTATTTTTCGGGGGGGGGGGGGATACTATGTTAAGCTGGTGTAATAACAGTAGAGATTTATATTCAACAGTATAATAAATTTCAACATGCCATGTTTTAAATTTAGATAATAGATTTATTTTATACATTTTTTAAAACAATCAATGCATCTTTTGCATTCCTTATCATTTAAGAGGTGAGTCAAATAATTTGCTTGAGTAAAAATATTTTTTGATCTAAAATGAAAATCCTCAATATGTTTTCAGACTGTAAATTCCTGGTGTATCACAGGGAACCAGAAATTACAAACTGTTACGATTAACATTTGAACATAATTGTGGTTAAATAAACTTTCTTGTGCATGTTTTAGCTTTTTTATGTTCTATTAATTAAGCTGTCCACATTAAAAACACTGATTTCTAATTGTTTTCCTCAGAGGTGTGCTCCAGCATCTATACGGCTTATGGATAATGAACAGTTTAAGTTTGGTAAGTTTTGTTTCACAGTTATCTTTCAGTGTGTTCTTATTTATGCTGTTGCTCTTCTATTTCTTCTGTAATACTGAGTGGACCAAAGTATTAATGGTATCAGAGAAAGCTCAGAGATACTGGGAAGTTCCCCCCCCCCAACATAATTGCACCCATTCATAAAGTTTTTAGCCTTCGGAGCTTTAAACCATCCTCTGCAACAGAACCATCTGGAAATTGAAATGTTGGCACTCTTTCAAATCTTAGTCAAGGTAAAGATGAAAAGCATAGATAAAAGATAAGATATCAGTCGTGTTCTAACTGTGCTAATCGCTAATATGAGACACTAGAGACAGTTTGAAATCTCATCTTTTGTTTGAAATTGCAAACATCCTGTGTTACATAAACTGCTTCCCACTCATGGTGTGTGGCGTCCTTTGTTCTTTATGTGAATAACAAATGATTTTCAGTGGATAAGAGTAAAAGATAGATGCTGTTAAATATCCATAATAAGTAGAAGTTGGTGTCAGCTGGTAAAACCTTTTCAGAAAAACAGACTTTCAAATTTTGCAACAAAACTGCAATTGCTGCATCTCTACGTACAATACCAGATCTGCAACTTTAAAGGTTCTTTTCAAACAATGGCAACACTTAATGTTCATACATGTTTTGAGTTTTTGATGCATTATCTCCATATTAAATCATAGAACCAAGTGAGTATTTAGATAAGTCTCAGCTTATACACTGCCAAAGATTTTTATCTAAATAAGTAAATTTTTCTTAAAATAAGTGCATTTTTTTTCTTGAATTGAGCAGACAAGTGGGATACTTTGCCAATGGAAAAAGACATTTACATTCAAAATAAGAAAAAATAAATGCAGTCTCTTATTTTAAGCGGCAGATCATCTTATTTTCCTACTCAAATTAAGGGTATATACACTTATTTTAAGAGATTTTTTAAAACATTTTACATTGTAAGAACCTTATGTTTGTTTTTGGCTCTATTTTCTAAACTGGCTTTGGTAAAAATTCTGTCTTTATGATGTGGCAACTTTAAAGTCCTCAAGATTCTGCACTTTAAAAGCTGCTCAGAGTTACCATTTAAATAAAAAAATAAAAATAATCCATAAATGAAGAGGGCATTATTTGTATTTCTTTCTGATATGTTTTGTGCCCGTTGGTCAGAATCGTTGTGTTGGAATGTGCTGTTCTGATTCAATTCTTTTAATCACTGATATTCCTTTTAGAGAAACATGATAGCTTTCAAACTCTATTTAAGTTGATTTTCTTTTTCTTAAACGTGTAGTTTTGTGAATTTATATCCATTAAAAGATTCCTCTACATTCATGTGACTTTCTCAGCTCCATGCTTGTATTCTGGATGTCATTGTTGCAGCAAAAGAGCAGCACCTACTGTATGTATAAGAAAAGTGGACCAGAAGCATAATGACAAACAAGCTGAACCAGAATGACGTCATCTTTCCGCTGAAGTTTTACAATGTTGTTTCCTGAGCTCTTGTGGAATGCATCTGGCATTACCAGAGATCTCTGTAAAGTTACCCCATCCCCAGGGATCTCATTATCTTCCCTGTATTTCCACTTTTCACAGAGTAGGCACTTCTTAGTATTAAGTAGGAAAGATGAGGTGACCAGTGCGGGGGTTTTTTTTGCGTGTTTTTTTTTTTTTATCCCTACCTTTATTTTTATATATTTATTTAGTTTGACCGCTACCTTATACTCAAGGCTTTCTGCTACCTTCATTGTTTTTTTTAGAGTTTTGCTCCTACTTGTAGTTTAGTTTAGTTTAGTATTAACAGAAAATACCATTGGAGGAGAGAGAATTGTATAAACTACAAGCCTAGAAGCTCAGAAAACGATGCACACACAAACCAAACCCTGCTCACCTCCTTTCTCTATCTGGATTTTTGAGTATTTAATTAACGACTATGATAGCTGTGACAGACCCCCAAGACCCACAATCAAATTTTGGAATGGAAACAATTAGGACACTAAGTGATGAAGAGACTTTAGCATGGGGGGAAATAAATGAACTGTTAAGTCTCCCCGACATCACCCATGACTTCCCTGCTGTGATTGATAACCATCCCATCGGTCCCCAGCCCCTCATTTTTGCTTGTCCACAGGCGCTTTTGTGCGTCCGATCAGGAATAAATCAAAAAGTGAGGGTGAGGAAGACTGATATCTCTGTGTCAACCCCACTTCCCTTTGGAAGCTGCCTGATTTATAGTTGCTGTCGCTGGCAGCTATTGGGCCTGTTATGAAGTTATTCAAATGTTACTATTTATATTTTTTCTGTAATAGTCTAAATATAACAGACTTGTTTGGCCCCTTGGAACATGAGATGATGCAGCAGGGAGGGGATGTGTCTAAATGTAGTTAAAAAAAGAAAAGAAAAAGGATTTTAATTAAATCAGAATATGATGCCAAATATCCAGAATATTGAGGCCAAATATCCAGTTGCCAACATTTTACTAAAGAGTTATTATATAGGAAGATATAAATACAATGTTTTATATGCAATGAGCGGCTATCTGTTAGTTACATTAAGATCAACGGTAATGTTATGTAAAATCCAAACAGTCTTAATCATCTTCTATTGTTAATTACTAAAACTTTCATTCCTGAAACTAGGAATTCTTTTATACATGTATAAATATTTAAAGAAACAGATCGTTTCCATAAGGCTGCCAACATTTCAGTCCAGCAATTCCCTATTTTGAAAACGTAATTGGATATAGTAGAGCAACTTTTCTGCCCTCATGTTGGCCTTCCTGTTATTTGTCCAAAGTCTCTGACTTTCTTGCAGCTGAATAAAACACAAATATGGGTTTCTTTTTATGAAGATATCTATATTTAAGCTGTTATCCTTTATATCTTGTATGCTTTAATGCCGATAATTTGTAAATTCTAGACGTCCTTTGGTAAATACATGTATGATTCATTGTTTGGTTTTTCTGTTTCGAATCAAAGCACAGAAAGAAATTAAAATTTTTTTTTTCCTGTTTTCAAAAGTCTGTCCAGAAGTTCAAAAAACATGGTTCTTTGAAGATAGAATTGGTAGGGTAAAAAAGATTATGAACAAAATGGGGAAATAAATGGCGATCTTGCCTTTAAGAGACATTTGGGCTGGTCAGATAGTTGGGACTGCTGATCAGTTTTTGGCAGATTATAGCTGTGTCTTTGGCCAGAAGAATGTGGAAATCAGTAAATTCTCGATAAACTATCAACTGCTACTGTCAAACCCAGTCTGGAATCAGCAACGCTTTGCATCATTACGAAGCTCAACTTTACTCTGAGCGTCAAAGGATGCACAACAAACAAAATAGGAAACCCTATGATGTTTACAACATGCCCTTAATGCTTTTACTTTGAAGTCTAAATACAGAGAAGATGGCAGATGCTAAGTGGTTGCCCGGGTAATGGCAGCTGGAGATCGATGTTCAGGGTGCTGATTTCATATCGGTGAATTTTTCCAGCTTAATATTAAGACAGAATAGATACTTAATGTAAACAATCAATCACAATATTTTTAAAATAACACCAACATCCATGATGAGATGTTCACAGTTCTGATGTTTATTGAAAACATTATACACTGGATGGACTGACCAGGATTTGTGATTTCACCAGAAAGTGCCAAAAACTATGAAGCAGGTCTTAGCAGAAAAATAGACAGCCTTTTTATTACATTTTTTGACTAAAAAAAACAAAAAAAAAATTTTCTTTTTTTTTCCTTGCAGCATTTTAAAACCGAAAAAAAAAACAAAAGAACAAATTGTACATGTAGATTCTGCATTCTTTGACCAGACAAAAAAAAAAAAAAGAATGTACCTTTAGTTTGCAACTGTCCAGTGGTGTTGATCTCCTAAAAAATCTCCTATTTCACTGTTAGATTCGCCTCTACATAACATTTACTTTTTATTTCTGCAGGCCATGCCCTTAAGCCACAAGTATCTTCCATTTTCACATCTTTTCTGGATGGACTGAAGAAGTTTTACATCACCAAGGTAAAAAAAAAAAAAAAAAAAGAATTAAAACACTACAGCCGCCATTTCTGGTGTTTTTGTTCCTGAAAACCCATTCTCGTTTTTTTTTATTTCCAGTTCAAAGGGTTTGACCCCAATCGCTTGTGTGTGGCCACCCTGCTCTTTGAGGGAGACCGAGAGAAGGTCCTGCAGCACGAGAAGCAAGTTTATGACATTGCTGCAAAGTTTGGGTGCGAACACTTGATCTTTTCTCTCTGTTTGCCTGTCTTTAGGAGAAAGAAGCAGTAGCAATGACATGTCTTAAAAACCCTCAACCTGTACTGTGACTCGGCAGTATGTATCGGTTTGGACTAACAAGTCACCTTTAGATATTTTCCTTCCAGTTCAGCTGTAATGTTAAAGCAAGTCTGCGATGGGAAGTGATGGTAGAGCACCAGTCCCCTGAGGACAACTGAAAGGAAGATGACAAATCCTGGTTTTCCTCAATTGATATGATTGATGATCTAACAGTCGGGACTTCCCACCCGAGAGAAAACACTGTCTGATGATCCTCCATTCTAGAAAGCAACCTGTTCATTCGGTTCATATTAACGTTGCGTTTGAATAGTGCTATTATCTATCTTAAGTTCTATTTTAGACTATTTTACACTTGAAATTAAAGGCCAATTTCTACCTTATTGTGAAACGACTATAAAATGAAAGAAAAAAGAAATTTAGTTAGACTTTACTTTTTCTCCCATTGAATGTTTTCAGCAGTTTCTAAGAATGTCTGAATGTTCAACAAAATTGTTAAACATCATTCAACGTTTGGTTTTCTTTCCTCAGAGAAAAACGAATCAAGCAAAACAGTGGAACAATTTTTTTTTTTTTTTGGCTTTTAATGCAGGTGATTGCTATTTATGTATGAGTAAAATGGGGTTCACAGATGTAGCTGTGTATTTTATCGAAATATAACAGTATTAAAACAATATGATCAGGAAAGGGGTTTTTAATGCTGTTACCTGAATACTATCCATGTACAGGGATTGTTATGCCTGAAGCAATTCTTGACACTGGGATTAAAGATTGATTCCCTGTATTAAAGACACAGAACCAGCTCAATTCAGAAGGGCTCAGCATTTATCATAAAGTATTTTATTAATTTAGGAGTATTTCAATAATTTCATAGGTACCTTGTGAAATTAACAAACTAATCGACAATGTTCCAAAAAAAGTAGGATGTCCAGCTGTGCTTTGAAGTGTTGTCTTAAAGATTAAGTGTTGTGATTATTACTGCCTAACCGTTTAAACAGGATGTATCTTCAGCTGTTGGAGCTACTGATCCACGGTAAACAGAGGCTGGGTTTATATTTCAAAACTCTCAGGGTCATTCAAGTCCTTCACCATTTGGTCCCACGGTTTTTATCATTTCCTTCCCCCATTTTGTATCTGTTTTTATATAATCCTGTTATTTTCAATATATTTTTTTGAATTAAGATAAGGATGAAATAAGTGCTATAATTCCCTACTTACATATTTTGGATCTGATCCCTCTTTGTTCTGTTGGACCTTTATGAAATGACTTTATAATCAAAGAGGAGCCAATATAACTGAACAGGCAGATGCTGAGTTTTTTTTTTTTTTATCTATTAACATCATAGAACATTACGACACATTATAGATAACCGTTTTTTAATCACTGGACAACTAAGCATGTATAGACTTAGACTTGTCTAAGTCTAATTCCAAAACAATTGATTTGCTAGCAAGAAGTCTAATCAGGCAGCCATCTTGTACTTATTTACTACTTTAATTTTCAGAATAAGAATAGAATATGGTGTACAATTATTAAATGATCAGGAAAACACAAGGTTTCTACACAAATGTTGCAAACGTAACCTTATTTATCAAGTGCTTTATCATGAACCTTAAGCTCTGGTGCCTTCAGCCTTAACAGATTTGTGTTGTTGAATTTGTCAGGCTGCAAACAGGAGTTTTTTACATAGTCTTGTAAGGGATTTTATATTATTATTCCTTAGATGATGCTTCTTTCTCACATCCAAACTTCTTTTTTTTTATCTGCCCTTTCCTCTTAACTCGTCGGATTTCTTGTGTGCGATAGAAAGCCATTGAAGCAGAAGAAGCCCATCAGTTCCATGTAGCATCCTCTCCATAATTGTATTATTTCCAAGAAATGGTGAACACCCATCAGATCAAGTGTCAGTGATGGATTACTTAGGTTAGGTTCAGTTAGGAATGCTTTCCTCTGGTGTAAGGAAACAGGAAGAAGGGTAAAAAAAAAATCAATATAGTGATTTTCTAATGAGCTTGGGCTGATTAGTTTGGATGGTAAATGAAAATGTGATTACCCACTGCTGGTGATAGATGTGTGGCTGACCTGTGGCGATGCATGGAGCACAGCGGCATTGATCTACATTGTCGGAGTGACGAGCTGCAGGACAGCTGTTGTGAAGGGCAGCAGTCAGAGCAACAAAGGTGGAGAGAAAAGAGCAGTTAAATATTAACCATGCCGTGTCTTTCCAGGGGCCTGGCAGCAGGAGAGGACAATGGACAGAGGGGCTACATGTTGACCTTCGTCATCGCTTACCTTCGGGTGGGTCACTGCTCTGGGTTTTTCTCTATCTGAGCTGAGGGGCAGGCAGGGAGGCCTTCAGAATATGACCTCAGGAGGTCCTGGATCAGATCTGGTCACAGTTATCAGTACGTCAAACGCTGTGGAAGGAGGACATAGCGGCTCCTGACACCATAACAATAGAGAGTCGACTTGGGTCACTCCTTTTGGAGGTGACAAGTATGTTTGCGGTTACCTCTTACAAACTCCTTTCTCCATTTTAGATTTTTTTTTAAAGAACATTTCCTTAGTAAAGTGGACTTATTTGCTATTTATCAAAAAGTATATTTTTATATTTGCAAATTAACTGAAGACCAATGTTTATTTTTATTCAAAATTGTTGTTTGTCTATAGCAGTTAAACCTGAATGTCATTATCCTACTCTTCTTATGTTGGATTCATTTAATCATTTAAAAACATTTTAGTAAAATTTTTAAATCTTTTGCGGTAGCAGCTCATCTCACTCGTTAAAAAAAAGAAAAAGAAGATATCTTTTTTATTTTTTTAGCAAAACAATTTGTGGAAGAAAAAAAAGCTGTGCATTATTAAAAATAGTATTAATTATAAATGTTTGGGCAAAATAAAACAAACTAATTATAAAGTGTTGATATTGTTCTGTTTTGAAGTCACTCTAGCTACTATAAGTAGAATAAAGTTAAAATTTGTTATTTTTATTCCCCCCATACATTTCTGACAAAGTAGCTTCTGGTCAGGGCGTGCAGGTGTCGCAGTGGTTAGCGCGCACGACCCATGTACAGAGTTCTTAGTCCTTGACGCGGGCGACCCAGGTTCGAATCAAACCTGTGGTCCTTTCTTACCCACGTCTCTCCCTCATTCCTGTCAGCCTACTGTCGAAAAAGCAAGCCACTAGAGCCGTTCAAAACTCAAAAGAAAAGAAAAAAAGAAGCTTCTGGTCGATGTCTGCTGTTTTAGAACTGAAATAGCTTGGTTTTGTTCTCTGAACGGCGGACCCTCCTTCCCTCATCGTCTTTGCCCTCTAAAACTGCTGTACACTGCACCAAACAAGTGTCAAAGAGATCACAGGCACTTTTATATTTTTCAGCTCTCAGTGTCTGAAACTCCTGTTAAATAAGACAGCACTGATTCATCTGGTGCAGACAGCGAGTGATCCTTGTTAACAGGACTTGGTCTGTGGACTGAGATGACCAGGGGAGAAATGGGATATTATTTTTCCTCTGAGTGTGTGTTTTTTTTTTATCAGCATAACTGAGAGATCCATCAATGACTATTTCTGTTGACTAGCAGATTTTTATTAAAAATGGTATGATGCCATGCACTCCAGCAATGCTCTCCAACCCTAAGGGAGGGGAGCAGAGCCCCAGCATCACACCTCTTCCACCGTGTGGAGCTCAGTCTAACTCGAACTTGAAGAGAAGGGCATTTTCACAGACATTCTTTTTATACCCTCAGCATTGAGAGCAGAAAGTTACAGGAGAAGTTAAAATTTTAAAGTGTTTATTATGAATACTTCATGTTTTTTTTTTATAAGATTGTCAGGGTATGAACAGGCGAGGCACTGGTGAATTATGTTTAAAACTAATATTCCCTTTTTTATCACCATCTTTAATAATTCAAAGACAAACTAAAGGGTAGATTTTCTTTATATTGTCCAATGTGAGACCACATTGTCATGCTTTTAACACATCTTTACCAGGTAGAACAAATGTTTGTAGAGTATACATCTCACAAAACCCCACAAAGTATTTTAGCTGGGTTTTACTCTTGATTGAACAGATCAAAGGGACAAAAAGCAAGTAAAGACGATGTAAATGTGCTGAATACATTAACTCCTCAGACTCCTAATATTAGTACTGTATTCTGTTCAGGACTTGGGGATGGACTACTACGTGATTGGGGAGTCTTTTGAAACCTCTGTGCCTTGGGACAGGTAAGTGCATTAAAGGCTCTTCTGTTAAATTTTAATGCATTTTTCCCCAAGACTTCCACTCTACTTGCTCTATTAGACCTTTTTGTTTTTCAATTGGCTACTGCGCTGTGACTACCACTATATGTCTGATTTCCTCAATTAAACAACTGCATCAGAGGAGGTTTTCCTTCTTCTTTGCAGGCCCACATACACATATACATAGATAATGGGGGACATGTGTGCTGTGTGGGGGCGGTGTAAAGTGTATAGCATGAGCCACTGATCTTTCTCAAATCCATGTTGTGAGATCTGCAGTTCCAACATGTTTTATTATCCTGCTTTCTCGCACGACGAATGAGAGCACGTGCAGCTCCCTGTTGGGTAAGATGCCTGACGGGAGAGACCAAGAGATCAGGCACTGAGGCAAGCATATGTGCCTGGCTCATTAACCACCCTCCTCCCCATCCCGCACAATCCACACCCGGCTGCACATGCTTAGGACTGGCGGCCATTTCCACACCAGTGGGAATCTCTCGCTCAGTGGTCGCCATGTCAGTCAGTCTGTTGTCCTCCTCCCTTCCTGGCTTCCTGCCTCTTCAGAAAATTAACCCTTTCTCTGCTGCCCATGAATCGACTCAAATGGACATTCCATAGGCAGAACATTTTCGTTATCATGCAAACAGAAATTGTTTAACTTTGATGGTAGAAGAACAGAGCTGTTGAATTTGTACATTGTTTAATTGCTTTTTCCTGTCAGGGTTTTGGACATTTGCCGGAATGTGAAGGCCCGCATCGTGCAAGAGTGTAAAGACAAAGGAGTGCAGTTTCCACCACTGTCAACCTGCAGGTAATAATAAAAACAACTTAAAGGTGCACAGACACATATTCATCTAAAAATATGCTTTTTCATCCCATTTTAATCCAGAGTCAAGAGTTAAAATAACTTATATTAGACCAGCAGGTACAATTTTGAGCCTTTTCTTGTTTCTATTTAAGAACCATAAAGAAAGATTGGAGGGTTGGTCAAGATAGTATTTTCTAACCTTCCTTGGTTATTTACAACAGATGTGGCGTCATCTGAAAGTCTTACTCTCTCTCACCCACTCACAGCCTCAATAAACCGCCTTTTCATTTTACTATCTTCTCAAACATCAATGTTTTCTTTGACTTCATTTTATTGGCATCACTGATACTGAAATCAACTTAGAGTCTCCCTTATTCTATTGTAGCTCCCAAACTGGAGTACAGATATGACTATGACCTTTTAGGTTTCAGTACAGGCCGTTCATTCATTGTAAAAAAAAAAAAAGATTTATGAGTGTCCTGAAGATAAAGCTGAAAATGATCAGATTCTGATCACCAGATGACTTCTCTCCACCTCTGTATGAAGTGTCTAAATGCAGCAATTTACTTATAAAGACAGTGGTGACCAATCATGGCCTGTTCACGGATTGGTCTTTTGAATCATTCTGTGTGACCCGAGATCACAGTTCTAGAATGGGACAGTTATGGCCAGGTAGTGCATATTGAAAACTGATATCTAGCAAATGGGGTAACAGAATAAAATATGATGAGGAATATATATTTTATAAAGCAAATGATTTCTTCTTTTGACATAGTAAATGGGACCACAGTCATCTGGAGACTTCTTCTTTAAAGCAGAAATGGACTCCACTTTGCTTTATACAGTTGGTGCTTTCAACCAGGCATATTACCTGTTGATATTTTCTGGCCAAACCAAACAAAAACCCCTCAGCCCAAAACATCTTTACCAATATTAGACCCCTGTTATGATCTCGTTCTACAATGGTTTATAGAAATATCCCTACTTTATTTGTTCCGTGAAATAGTGAGTCTTTGCCTTAAGAGAGTCATTTCAGTGTTTCTCTCTTTGTGGTCTATCTTACAGGGATATAAGTTCCCTGAACAGTAGAGCAGACATTAAATCCGCAAGCATCCCTATGTACCAACGCTTTACCAGATGTTTTGAAATCAACATGTAAAATCCAATGGTAGACTGAAACATGTAAACAAGGATTCCACAAATCACTTATTTGTGTGTGCAAAAGTTGTTCTGCTGTAAAGGTAGACTGATATCCCCCGATGTTTGATCACTGCTGTTTTTATAAACATGATCATTTTTGTAGGTTATGTGGGTCTGACTCTAACGCATTTGCTATGGGTTTTTTTTTTTTTTTTTTTTTAAACCAATCTGGGATTGGGATCATTGGATGATGACCAGTTTTTTGTATTTTGTTATATATATTTTTTTTCCTTGAATCAAACAGGAGATAAAATTATCTTCAAACTTTTTTCAACACTTTGCTAAAAGGACTTCCATTATGAAGGCATAGTTGTTCCCAGTAGTCCCGTCCCAGTCTGCCGGACAGTGGGACCTACTGACAGACGGCTGGCTGGCTGGTTGAGGCGCACCAGGCTGCTGTTCACAGATTGTGGGCCGATTAAGCCTCGGCCTGATTATGCTGCAGCCATTCATTTCCCGGCTGTAGCCTGTCACATGATTGATTTGTCCATTTAACCTCTAGAACAGTCAGTGTGCCAGGTGATGGGCCATGTCAGATGAACAAGGGCTCTGCACCCTGCACCTCCACAGGGAGCAGCGGCAGAAAATAAAACCACAGACAAACTGGAGAGTTTAATGATGGCCAAGTGGATGCTAAACCTAAACATATATCTGATGCAGTTAGTATATATTGATGTTCTCGTTTTAAAGATGACAGTGCTTCAATATCTCTGCTATCTCGTTGTCATGAATGGAAATGAGGTTAAGAGGTCGCAGGTGGAAAAGTCAAACACTCCACTTTCTGGCTCTTACATGCTGTCAGGAATAAATGTTGAGAAAACACAGCTGCTCATTTACAGTCTTTTGAGATTCTCTGTGAGGCGTTTGTTTTAATGCTGACTAATTTGTGCAGGGTGACTCAGACGTATGATGCTGGAGCCTGTGTCTACTTCTACTTTGCCTTCAACTACAGAGGACTCAGTGATCCGGTGCACGTGTACGAGCAAGTCGAGGTGGGTTCAGCTTTGGTTTTATCACATTTTTTTCAACCCATAAGTTGATGCAAAAGTCTCAGAGTACAACTAGTGAAAACCAGAAGTAGACTGATACACTGGCCAGTTGATATTATCATTTTTTGTATCGGCATCGAGCAATACGTGCGCTCACCGATTCATTAGTGCATTCTGCAGACATGCCCGAGATCACTAGACCCGCATTTGTTGCACTTCCCCTTCATTTGCTACCAACTGTCAATATTTTGTTTGATTTTTAATAAATGTTTCTTTTTTGTTTACATTGAGAGTTGTGTACAATTTGATTATCAGTGTGTTTTTTCTCATGTAGATGGAGGAAGAAAAATCTATACCGGCTTCAGAAATGGGCAGCACATTTCAGGGATTGGTTAGATATCAAAGTAAACGACGTCAGCCTTTTAAAAATAAATAAATTAATTAATTAAAAAAAAAAAACAGTTTCAGCTGATCTGTAGTAAAACATCTTTGTGTTTTCATAAAAGGATCCGACTAGTTTAATGTGAAGCAGAGAAAAATAGAGTACAATGTTAATTTGTCATGCACAGGTTTTGCTTTGTTTGTACCCACAAGATTTAGGTTCAACAATTATTCACATCAAAGACAACATCAGTAAATAAAAATATAGTTTGAGCTGATTACATTTGTTAGAAGAGGGGACAAAAAGGAAAAGAAAATGGTAAAACCTCCATACCAGCCTTAGTAAGAATAATAGTCCCCTAAATAACTGCTTGTTTGGAAGAATTTTGGTTCACCCCTTTTATCAGAATCTGTTCTTCAGCCCCTTTGAAGATTCGCATCATTGCTGCATAACCCAAGCTGAAAATCCCTAGACATTCTACCTAAAGGGAGAAATGGGAGTGTTTGCTAGTGGTTAGAGCAGTGTATTTGTGCACTCAGAAGGTTGCAAGTACCTGGTTGCAAATACCTGCTCTCCGGGCGCCGCACAATGACAGCCCGCTGCTCCCCAAGGGGATGGATTAAATGCAGAGGAATGTGGGATGAATAAAGTTCAATTATTATTATTAGGTATGTCCATTAAAGAGCAGAATCAATCAATTCCACCACATTGTCCAGGTCCTAAAGCAGCACAGAAACAGCAATAGACCCCTTTGTATCATCATACCACTACCATGTTTGACTGTCACTATGGTGACAGTTTTTTGAAACACTGTCTTGGTTCATGTAAGACGTCCCATCTACAACATCTACCGTGGCTCATTAATCCACAGACTTCTGTCCTAAAAAGCCTTGCAGATCTTAAAGACTCCTTAAAGATATATATATGTGGGCCTGGAATGCAAACTTAAGTAGCATTTTGGTAGTTTTGTTGTTGATAATGGCTTTCACTTCCCAAACCCTTAGATATGTCTTTGAAACCCTTTCCAAATTGATAATTTTGCGTCTGATCTGTTATTTCTTTAGTTTTGGTCATGATGTTCTGCTTCATGTTGTTTGACAGGTTTTATTTGGGTTGAACTTTAACCAAATAATGTGACAGCAACTGTTTTTTCACATAGTGCAAGGTGGTGTGCTTGGTTTTAAAGTGTCATTCTTTGAAATGGCTTCTTACTGAGGTTATTACTCACTAATAGCAAAAACAGCAGTGATGCAAATACTTGCCTCTGCTAAAATAAACATGTGTGTGTATATATATATATATATATATATATATATATATATATATATATATATATATATATATATATATATATATATATATATATATATATATATATATATATATATATATATATATATATATATATATATATATATATATATATATATATATATTGTTTGTTTACAAACTGTAGAGAATAAACATCTTGAATAGAACGTGTACTTGTTGCAAGAAAGAGAAAGCTGCAATAGTTGTGTTTCAGCCAGCATATCAGGTAGCATGCAGCCACTGGTTTAGGAAGATCAGCGATCTGTGTCCTAAGATCTTATCATGTCAAAAGTTCTGTTAACCTTAGGGATCAAACTCTTTCTTTAAGATTTTGAGCCCAGTAATCGACCTTCTCTACAGTTTGTTTACAGAGTGAATTATTTTAATAAAATCTTAAAAACATTTTTTGTTTCTTTCAGCATGCGGCTAGAGAAGAAATCCTTGCAAATGGAGGGAGCTTGTCACATCATCATGGAGGTAAAAAACTCTGGGAATATATTCAAAATTACCTGCCATATTTTTAGAATCAGGTTCCCAAAATTAACAGGATTATGTTATGTGCTAAACCTCTTCACCCTATGAAAACATGTTAGCCTGGGATGCACAGACAGCGATGCGAGCCCCTCCATGCCTTCCAGCCATTCGGGCTGTAAATGTGCATTCGGTCCCCACTTCCCTTCACATGTCCAAACTCTGCTCCTGCAGCCCAGATGAATGACTCAGACTTTGCTGTTTGTTCACTTCAGCAACGTCCAAATGGAAGCGTGAGCACAGGAGGCCGGAGAAACAACTCCTGGGCCCCATCAGGGATAACCGAAACGGCTGCCTTATCTATATTGCCATCCGCCTCGCTGTTTTCATACATCACTTCAGGCTATTCATCACACCTGTCAAAAACAGTATGCAGTGAATCAGCTGCGATATTAAATCACAATTTTTCCCGAAGGCGGGGACAGGTTCAAAATTAAAAGATTGCTAATAAAAAGGAGGCAGTGGGTTGGGGTAAATGATGCCTCCGTTATCGCCGGCTGTACACTGACCTCCAAACGGTGGCCCCGTCACCCCCGAGCGGCACAAGGGAGGTGACGAGCGGGGGAGAGGAGGGGATATTGATGCAGCTCCTCTGCACAAGCCGCTCACTCTGTAATTGTGATTAATACCAGCGGGGCTCACTATCAGACTGCAGACAGGCCGGTTTGTCTGCCCACAATCAGCGCTTGACAAATGGAGCCTGTTTCTCTGGGTTTCGTGTATCAAACAAAACCCAATGTAGTCAAGAATGGTGAGGTGGGAGGGCACCGGAGGAAATATACATTTCTGTGGCCCTGTGTTTACAGCAGGTCACTGTGGTGCTGAGAGGGAAGAGGAAGAATTTCTGGGCTTGTAGAACCTCCTGGCGCCTCCTCTGGTTGGACGCCTCGCTCTGTTCACTTCTGTATGAAAGAAATATTTTTAAAAAATCAGGAATCTGCTTTTCCAAACATGACCGGTTCAAATGCCAGAACACAGAGCTTCATGCCCTCTATAAGCAGGTACCCAGTAGTTGTAAGAAGTCTCCTAACATCAATCATCAAGAGCTTCATCAATCTACTAGCTCCTCCTCCATGCTTCTCGGGCCAATAATCCCACTTGACTGAATCTCAGGAAGGCAGTTGTGTTCTGACCCATATTGTAAGATGGACTCAGAGAGAAGCATGCTGAGGAAGTGAGGCTCAGACAAGCTGCTCCCTTCTTCTCTGTATGAATCTGACCAATAGCAGAACCTCAGGTTGGCTTCATCTGCACCTTCCTACAGGCCCCCTTTCTTCACAGCTTCTGACCTTTCTGTATTTAATTTTGACTCTGATTGTATCTGGCGGACCAAGACAGAAGTCTCGATAAATGATAAACAGTATTTAGATATGGAAAACCACATCAAGCCGCCTTGGACTGGAATAAGACCTGCAAGTCTTTGCGACGAAGGTTGGCGCATTTTGCATCATTGGGTTTGCCTTTTTGATTGGTCCCTCTGCTGCCCACCTTCTTGCAGCAGGGACTGCTGAAGGCATTTGGTTGCCATGAAGTTTAACAGTAAAAAAGAGTTGGCATGCCAAAGTTTTCTGATTTCTAACTTGTAAAGAAAATAAAAACTCATTTCACACAACTTAAAAATGATGTGTGCTTAGTCTGTCACGTAAAATAAGTATAGAAACAGTAAAATTTGGAAAAACAAAAGTCTAGTGGAAACAAACACTTTCCACGCAAATGATGATGAGATAGAGAAGTTCACTTCTAGCCCAAACTTCTCTAGTTTCTCCCAGATGAGAAATATGAAATATCTCTCAGATTGGGAGGGAAAAAAAGGCATCTTTGAAATATCTACCTGCTCTGCTTTGCATGTCTCAGCTGCATAGTCCAGGTCTGGGGAGATTGATTGCAACAGAAAGCAGAAAGGAGAGAATATGACAAGATAGATGTGTAAATTATCACAGTGATGGAGGCAATGATGCAGTCCCAGAACCTTCTGTTTTCTTTCCTTCTTCCTGTGAGGAGGGAGGGACAGAGGTGGGACAAAAGGGATGGAGTTAAAAGGAGGAGGTAGTTGAAGAGGGTGTGGTATTTTCTTGGTTCTAGGGCAGCAGCTGATTGGTCCCTCTATCTCCATCTGGAGGCTTGTGTGGTGTAGGAGGTCCCCGGTGACCCCGCTGTCTGCCCTGTTTTGTTAGGAGACGGGCGTTGCTGCCCTCAAAGCTGATCCCCATCTGGGTTTCCTGGCTGCTCTGTGATAACATGGGGCTGTGCTGTGTAGACGGAGGGTCCTCCCCTCCTGCTTAGCTGTCAACACCGAGGGTCTCTGCGAAGGATGGGAAAGAAACGAGAAGTGGGGAAAGAAACATTTGTGCTGCACTGATACCGTATCTAATCTCAGGTCTTGGTTTGTTCTGTGAGCAGCACCTGCTTTACTTCACAAGTCCACATTTCAGTTGGTTTTCAGAGTTTTTAACAAAGTGTATGTATTTTTTTTTTATGCTCTGTTTTTACCATAAAACATGTTTATTTTGGTACAAATGTACTTTTTAAACATACTTTTGGTAGAAATAGAATGAAAACATCTTGATATCTAAAATTCTGACCATTTTAAAATTAGGTTTTATGATAAACCAATAATCCCACAGATTAATAATTTCTGAAGTAGTTTTTCTTCTTGTCATGGGAAGATTGATCCCTTTGTTGTTAAACTTTATCTTTCAACCTTTGCATGAGTTTGCAGATTTATTTACATGGATTAAAATATCTTAAAATGGCTCATCAGATTTTATTTTTGTTATTTAGATCAAGAAGTAAAACTTTGATATTATAGATTCATTAGACATGGTTTTCAGCAAGCAAATTTATAGAAAGTTAAGTGGTAGGAAAAATACTCAGTGGTAACAGATATTAGCAGCCTTAAAATGATCTCATTGACTATTTCTCTTTTTTTTTTTTTTTTACACAATTTGAGAAGTTTTGTCAGAAAAAAAACAGGCAAAATTTTTCTTTAGATTTGAAAAGATTGTTAAATTTAAGTTCTCAAAAGGGATCAGTGATTTTCTTTGTCAGAATGCAACTTTAGATGTCAAGGTTCATCACAACTTATATTTGAATATAGTTAATGTTTGAAATGATTAAAGCTATACAAATGTTTCTTTATAAATACATAACGGTGCCGTCGTCTGAGGAAAGGGGCTAAAGTTAGCTGCAAAAGTTGAAAGGATTCCTGCTTGACATCATCAGAGGAGCGTGAAAAACTACATAATCAGCCTTTTTATTTTTACCCATGATTAGAACCATATTCAGCTCAAACATTAGCAGTGGTACAGAATCCACAGTATGAGGACCAAGACTTTATATACAACAACAAGAAAAGAGCGTATAAAATAATAGTCTGGGAAGCTTCTTGTTTTTCTTCCTGATGCTAAAGACAATAAATATTTTAAGTTATTCAGCTTTATTGGCTTTACAAACACTAAGAACAAATTGAGTTGTTGGTTCATTTCTTTAATCCACTTCAGAGTTCTCAGTCTCCCTCTATCTGCAGACCTCCTGCTAGTTGCACATCCTCCACCGGGCTCCAGCTCTGGAGAGCGTCTGTGCGAACAGCTGCTAACCTCCCAGGCAGCCTCGCCAGGTTACCGGCTGCAGCCGCTCTGCCTCCTCAGGTTTAGACTCTAAATGGAAGTGCAGGGGCGGCTTAGAGCCAAAGTCCTGCTGACAGAGGAGCGTGGAGCAGGCGTGGCGGCCTCTTGGCCGTCAGGCTAACGGTGGGGTGCGGAGCTCTGGACAGCATGTTCTCGTAGGTCAGACCGAGGCCGCAGAGACTCTGCAGGGAGTCTGAATTTGACGTTGGCGGTGCTTCCAAAGAGTGAGGGAGCCGGGATCGGCTCACCACAGCCGCCAGCCGGCCCCTCCTCTGGGAACACACAGGGCCTAATGAGTTTGATAGTCTGCTGAGCTCCATAAATCATGCCATGCAAAACATTTCTCCTCTCTGAATAAAAGCATTTATCACCCTCTGTTTATTCACTCACTCTCACAAGATTGATTGGCTCCCAGCAGCCTGCTGAGCAATCAGCCGTGCCGATTCCTCCGTTTCTCCCCCATGGTCGTCTTCCTCCACTTATTTATTTATTTATTTTTCTCTTCTGCCATTCAGTGGGAAAACTTCGGAAGGAGTGGATGAGGGAGACCGTGTCCAGCGTTGGCATGGGGATGCTCAAGTCTGTCAAGGACTATGTTGACCCAAACAACATCTTCGGCAACAGGAACCTCCTCTAAGTCCAAGTTCCCGTCCGTTATCTCACCTATTTGTTTTCTAAAAGCACCCTGTGCATTTTGGATTAACGGCTAACTAAATGTGAATTTAAAACAGCCAGAGATCTTCTCCATCAGAAAAAAAGTCTCGGTGCCATTTAATGATTCACTCTTCTCCTTTACCACACATAGCACTTAATCTGCTGAAGCAATCGTCGAAGATCATTCTCACCCAACTTCTTCTAACAAGATTCATCTGGGCGCAGCTAAACGTTGACTTATCTCACATTTTCCTGATCACCTTTGCCAACATAGAGGAAGCTGATTCATGATCCTCCTGTGTGTGTGTGTCTGTGTGTGTGTCTGTGGCACTACTTTAGTGGTAAGTTGTCGCTTTCTAAAGCTCTGTGCCTTTCTAAAGCTTTTGTCTGCCTTCCCCTCTCCTTTGTGTCCCACATACGTCCTTTCCAGCCTTCCTGTCTCTCGTCGTTCTGACCTTATGCCATATTAGACGTGTTTCAGGACTGGGTGTATTTGTGTGTGCCTCTTTTAATAAGCTTGTCCCTTCCCAAGCAGTTTGGCTCTTGTCATTTTCAAAAAGTCCCATGTTTGGTAGGATCACTGAGGGGAAATAAGCTCAACTGTTGCGCATTTAGTTTTTCTACTGAAAGCTTTTACACTGAGTGGTTTGTTACTGAACAAGAGAAGTGGAAAATGTAAGCCATTTTGAATATGTTTCTGTACAAAAGTTTTCAGCTTTTTTTGGCGGGGTGGCGGCTGTAAATCCCGGTCCTTAGTCGAACCAAAGACTTTAATCATGAGGCAGTGTGAGTCAGAAGTTTACACTCATTATTGGCAATAATCTTTGTTTTGGCCCATAAATGTAATAATTCATAAACAGGAACTCGACTGGTTATGAATCACACTATTGTTTTCCTCCAATCTGGATGTGGTCAGAATAATACATAAAATAGCCTTTCAACAGGTTTCTCCCTGGACGTGGGACATTTCCTTCCTGGCTCATTTCTGTGAACAGATTCTGCTTTTAGGTTTGGTCCGCAAATCTTTGCCTTAGTTAGGTTTAGACTTCCCAAACACTAAATTTTAAACCTACTTTATTAACATTTAAACTAAATAGATCTGAGCCGAACCTCAAACCAATGGAAATTAAGAAAGAACAATGAAAAACATACGGTAATAATAATAAATGGTTTAATCCTTCTATGGACTTGAAAGTGCCCTGAAACCATCATGAACTGAACTGCTTCCTAGGTCTTTATTTTAATCTCAAATCACAGCCTGATGTCTGGATATTTGAAACTGTAGTTTCCTGGAAGGTGATGATCCCAGAAATGCCTCAAAACTGGTATTGGAAGCTAAGTAAAAGCATACTTTTAGTTAGCTTCCCGGAATCTGACATCTGCTAAAACAAAATTAAATGTATCTGTCAAAATCAGCATGTTACATTAACACTTCTGCATATTGTGTTAATTTAAACCAAGCTTAAAGCTGCCCCTTTAACCAAACCTGAATAATCTGCTGAGAAAAGCCTGGGGGGTCAGAGGAGACCTGCATGTCTGTGAAGCCTTCAAACTCAATAGTATACTGAACGGTGAAGGTGGAGGTGGTGGCAGAAGTATGCTGTGGGCTTGTTTTGCCATCGTATACTTTTACAGGAAAAATATCACAGGCACATCAGAATCCCTTTAGGGTACATAACGTTCACACACAAAAAATCTTTAGGGTTATTTAAAGCGTAAAATGCAACATTAAAACCCCAAAAGGAAAGAAATACATTTTAATAACGAGTGCAAACCTCTGATTAGCTCCTCCTTCACTGTCACTGAATCACTTCATCAATTAAGCTGATTTGTTTCCTATTATGATATGCAAAGATTACCGTCCTGATTCCTCTGACTGTTACACACGCTGACACATTCAGCTCGAACCTTACATGTTTATTTAGTTTGTCCCCAATGATTCCCTCAAGTGTCGGTTTTTTTTTAGTGTTTCTACATCATGCTACAGCTTTTATGAACAGATTCTGTAACGTGCTACATTTTGATACTGAACTTTTACCATTCAGCTGCTCATTTTCTGGCCGATGCCTCTTTTCCAGGACTGCTTTTGTCCTACAAAAAATATTCCTGCTCCAGGTTATGGAGATGTCCACGACCTAACTTGTGTCAAAAAAAAAAAAAAAAAAGCTTTTGATTGTCATAACTGTACCTTTTTTTTTTTCTTTTTTTTCCACTTCTCTTTATAAATTAACATCTGAGTAAATTTTGTCAATGCTGTTTGTGCAATAAACTAATGCGAAGAAACCAGCGTCGTGTTTTGTTGTATTTTTTTATCTTGATGCATGAGGACTATCAGAGCAGCTCTGAAGTCTTGAGTTATTCTGGATGGCGTGCAGCAGAAGGTCAGCCCAAGCCTAAAAGCAGGTTGGTGTTTGTTCTGCCTCAGCACGCACCATGCAGAGCTCAAGGTAATCTGGCACACAGCAGAGTTGAACATAATCTTCCTTTTGCCTCCTGTCAGGAAAAACGCCACACAACTCACCCCCTCCCGCTCATTTGGGAGTCGTCCTCACCCACACATCCTCCCACACACAGCTGACTGACGTCACAGTCAACCAGCAACAGCACAGCTCAGCCTTGAGCGATGAAATCCACCGCAGCTTTGGCTCTACTTAGAGATTTGGTGAATGGAAGCAGGTGATACTGACAGAAGGAAAAGGACATTTACATTCAAATCTTATTTTTAATAATTACTATCCAGTCTTCTGTATGTAAAAACTGATTTAAAAATGTATTTAAGATATCCTGCATCACTAATCAGATAAAGATAAAGCTGATTTTATTTTACCCCTCCTAATAGATTTGAAATATCTCTATCTGCAGGAATCTGCAGTTTTTCCATTGATAAATTTTTTTTTTTAAAGTGTAGATACTTCTTAGTCCACAGGAGGTCAGCATCGCTCTTGGAGACGCCTAAACTTTGAGGCAGCTGTAGGTTTTCTGCTTTTTACCCAAAATAGGAGATATTGTTGCAAATTTTATGAACTGATAAACTTGGATCATTCGCTTTAATTACCCAAATGTCCCGAGTCATCCTTAGACCTATAAATATTCTCTAAGCCAATTATTTCTACAGGCTTTCTGGATTTATTTGAATAGTGTAAGATTATCTTTTTCAGTATTTTTTTGTACACAAACTAATAAATGAATGTGCAGTTAAATAAGGCATATTTTCACATTGTTTTAAGGGTTATTTTACTCTTGCCTTATTTATTGTACCTACTGCCGTTGGTATACATTTAACAAGTTGTCTCTTCTCTAATCTTCATCTGAAGTAACCAGCACCATGAAGAGACGGGGCTTGGTTCTTTGCAAATAAATCATTTCAATTGTATTACACAGATGTTTGATCATGGAGGCATTGCTCCCATGTCTGATTGAATTCTTGAGAAAATGGTAACAACTTGAGAGAAAATAGTACTTTTAAGAGACAAAGGCATATTAAGACTGATCAATGGTTGTTCTGTTATGAGGGTGCTTTGGTTTCTTATGAACAAAGGAATAAGTTCCATTTAAAGGACATGATGGCAAAAACAAGTGGCTGAAAAAGAACTTAAAGTGGCTCAATCCCAGAGGTGGGGGAAGGAGCTCGGGTTCGAGCTGCTGTTAATCTCTGATCAGGAAGCCACTCAGTCACCTTGCTCTGGTGGTCATCTAGTTGCAGACTTAGTAGTTGTTAAAATGTATGTCTCCTTCCTCTCCTCCCTTGAGATGAGCTGCAGTTTGATGAAGGTAACGAGGATTTTGGGGCTTCCCTCCTTGTTCTGTTGCCTCTGATCTGATCTCTGATTAAACCGCTACAATGGATGAATTTGAAAAAGAAAGTTCAAATTTATCATTAACAGGGAAACAGCTAAAGAGCTCGTAGCTGTAAACTTGACATGTAGTTAATAAAAAGGTGATGTATCAAGTCTTCACTTTACTTTTAGATCTCACTCATATGCTCCATGCCTTGTCTGTTTTCATTGATTATTTATCCCTATATTATCCCGTTATCACTGTACTGATGGTGAGTAAAAAGGAACCAAATTCTAAGAATAAACTTGAAAAGACATTCAGAAGGTTTGATGAAGATACTGATCAGAGCAGCTTCCTTAAATGAGCAGATCATCTGTCTTTGAAAACAAAAACAAAGTTTTTATCTTTAATTCTCAGGGATTTTCTTTAAAATCCATGCAATATATTTCGTCAACTTATTAGTGAAATGTATTTTTGAGAAACTAGAGTATGTCTTTGTAGTTTAATTCATATGTTATACTCTCCTATTCTAATAATCGTTCACTGTAGAGATTTTGGAGGGATGCAGAAATCTATATTCAGAAATTTGAACAAATATATTTTACACATTTACACAACCACCAGTCATTATACATATGTGGGATTAAATGGGTCTGTTTATCTCAATGAATAGGATTTCCGTTTATTAGTCTGCTTCTTTTTTCATATTAGAATAATTAGAAATGTACTGCAAAAAAAAAAGTTAAAAGTAAATTCAAAAAGTAGTTATTTTCCTGAATCAGATGTGCAGACTGTTTGATGTATGGCAAACAAACTTCAATGTATTTTATTATCAACTTGATAAACATTAAATTGTGAAAAACTGTCATCCCTTAGGAAAAGATTGACCTTTAACTTAAATATTGAATTAAAGAAAATGCAGCATTCATTTATTTCATTTTTTTGGCCTTTTTAATTGTATGTCCCCTAAATGAAATGCATTTAGGAGTCACCTGAATGGTAAATGAGAAAGAATAATACTTTTTTTAAAGGCACTTATAGATTTAGATGTATTAAAGGAATTACTTAATTTAGGTAAATATTACTAAAAATCTTTTTAAGCTAAGGTGAAATAATTATTTTAAAAATACCACAAAACATTTAAAGTGCCTTTAGTTTTGTGCATATAGTTTTATATGAGTTAAAATCCTACTTGGCAATAAAGGATTTCTGAATGTGTATGCTCCAGTGTCTGAGAAGCTAAATAAATTAGAACAAGTAGCAGATTTTTTTTCTTTATTCAAACTGAACAAAAACAGAAGCACATTTGCCTTTTTCATGCCTTGGCTTTCCTCAGATTAGCCCGTCATGAATAAATCCAAAATGGGAGAGAAACACAAGAGGAAAAAAAAAAAAGGAAGAGACTTTGTCCACATGTGGAAAGCTAATAGAAAAATAGAAGAGCAATATTCATATGTATTTCACGCAGCATGATGCAGGAGGATTCAAGTCATGCATGTCTGATGAGACAAGGTGCGCGCTATTCGAAAGACGAGGTATTTGTCGGCTCACTTCGTTTGCTACATCCTCAGCAAGTTGGTTTGGAGGCAAGACTGCATTAAACATGCGATTCTGTTCGGCTTCTGTTGAGCTCTTCAAATATAACACAATAGATCCATGCCTCACAATGTGCACAGTCACGTTAGAAACTCCAGCCAACAAAACTACAACACAATTCAGAAGGCAGAACTAAATTCAGAAATAATGTTCATTACACCTGGAGTAACACCAAAGGGAATGCTTTGATATTACATGGGCACTTCAGTTTTAACGTGTCCGTCTCCTGCAGGGAGGAAAACTCTCATACAGATTTTAGCAGGTATGGGCTTTAAGAAAGGGTGGAAAATGGTTAAAAATTAAACCACATTGACGTTTAAAGACTAGAGACACTCTGACTGAAAGCTGTGTTTTAAGCAGGTTTGTGCTTGACTGAACCTAAAACCTCACTGACCTGATGTTGCCTACCAGTGATGATCTACATAAAAGCTTTTAGTTACGGGTTTCCTTTATAGGCAGCAGGAAATGTGAGTCAATCTTGTACTGCCTAGAAATCCTTTAACTAGCTCGGTTCCGCCTGTTAGAAGGAAGGAAGCAAGGGTAAAACGGAGCAAAGACTTTACTTCCCTTCAGAGAAAAATATTAGGAATCTCACGAGCATCCTTACTTGTGAAACCTGAAGGTAGGAGACAAGAAGGGAGGAGACAACAAAAGAGGGGAGACAGAGTAAGGAAAGTGATACAAAGGAGGGCAGAGAGCATACAAGGAAGAAGATAGAAGATAGGATTACGCAACATAAAGATAATGAAATGGAGAACAGGTTCTTTTTATGCTTCTCTTTCTTCCGTTTTCTATATTTTCGAAATATCAGATTCAAGGCATTTTTATATTTGTAGAAATCCTGTAAATATCTGAGTAGATTCTGACCGTACTGTTCAGATCATAGAGGGAATGCACCAAAAGGGAAAACACCTCTAAATTTCTAGAAATTGCTGCACTTGGGCTAATCTGTACAAAGCCTTAAATGTGTTCAACTCTCAACATAAGTGAATTTTAGGAGCTCCTACACTGACACAGTCATTTTATGTGCTGTAATGAACTAAATAATTAACCAAAAGGTTGCATTTTCCTATAGATTAACCTACAGTTGTGGTACCTGAGGACTCATCAAGAGGGAAACAAAATACAAACTAAGGTTTTAAAGATTTCACCCAGAGAGGCTGCAGACCAAAGAGAAAACAATACTGTTAAACCCAGGTATCTGAAAAATGTTTTGCTGGTTTATAAGACATGCTCTTTTTTGGGTTGCAAGAGATTTTTTATATGAAATAATGGAATTTAGGTTAAAAAAAAATAAAAATCAGATGGAGATTAGACAATCTTGATATACACCAGATAGAGATACAAATCCTGGTTTAGGTATATTGGGATTTCCAAATTATGACTACTTTCAAAAGGCCAGAATAATGGGAATAAACAAAAAAAATGTCTTTATATTCAGAAGTTTGCTTATATTTTCTTAGAATTTGAAAGGACTGAATTCAAATTGTATGACTTGGATCCTTTGCTTTGGGTATTCTCGCACTAAATAGTCATAAATTAGGCCCATTCCGCCTGCAGAACTGAAGAAACACTGTCAGGTTTGTAGACATCTTTCATCAGAGATCTTTTAACACACATTTCACTGCCCACATTTTCCTAACGGACTGAGATCAGGGCTTTGTGAAAAATACTAGAAAAAAACAGGCTTTTTTTTGTCCTTATTTGGGGCAACAGCCAAGCACATACACAACATGATGATGCTTCCACTCTCTTCTCAGTTGGGTTAGTGTTCCCAGGCATTTAGTTTCATTAAATCACAGGTCATGTGTCCTTGAGTGCCTTTGGAAACTGGCTTATCATCTTGCTTTTTAGAGATATGGCTTCTTTCTTGCCTATTGGCCACTTAAAGCCAGCACATTTACTAAGTTTGTTGGTTTGGTCATTGGATTTGCATCCTTAAAAAATTATCGTCGGGGCATAGGACCCATCCTCTTCCTGAACAGCATCATAGCTGGATATTTCCATGCTCTTTATTTTGGCATATGATTCTTTGAACAGATGAATGTGGCACCTGAAGGCATCCTGATCCACGAATGAACCAGACTCTTCCTGATTTCTTGCTTGATTTGTTTTGATTTGTCCACAATGTCCCACTTGGAAGCAGTTGGTTTGAGTTGTTTCCTTAGAAATGAAATCAACAGGTGTGCTTCCATTTAAATATAATGAATTAACCAGAAGTTTACAAAGCCATGACATCATCATGTTGGCATTCAATTATTGGCATTGTCATCCTAATGTATGTAAACTTCTAAACTGGAAGAAATTAGTAATAAAACTCTAAAAATATAGATATGCTAAATTTATTCGACTATTTTATTTTGGCATTTAGCAAGTAGGAAAGAACCCAATTAACCTAAAGAAAAGAACCTGTCTCATCTGATTCGGTATCAGATAGTAAAAAATAGAAAAGTGTTGTGTCTCTTTATATAGAGATGTAGAGAGTGTATGTGGTGTCAGGAAATCCCTAAGACCTATCCTTCCATTGTGCAACCAAACCAATGGCATATCTTGGCTTAAAGAGTTTGATCTCAGATCTCAGCAGGCTGGACTTCAGCAGAGCTGCCCCTTGTCTCCAATCCTCATGATGGAGACAGTCTGGTTTGGAAGCCTCAGGGTATTGTCTTTGCTCTTCACAGATGATGTCATGCAGTTGGTGCTTTTAGACCATAACCTTCATCTTGGATTGGTTTATTTTTTAGCATGAATAAGTTTTAGCACCTCTTAGGCCATGGTACATAACCAGAAAAAAAAGGCTGATTACTCCCTCCAGTTTTGGGGTAAGTTACTTTCTCAAGCACAATAGAGTAGCTGAAGGTGATAGGCTGAGAATATGAGGATTGGTAGAGATTTGGGGCCTTGTCTGCAGTATTGAGAGAGCCAAAACACCAAAGCTTGTCTGTCTACACTCTGATGATCACCTATGGTCAAGAGAGACAACTTATGAAAGAAGGAAGGAGATCCAAGCTATAACAAAAATATTTTTTCTTTCCAAGAGATACCAGGGTAAGCCTTGGTGTACAATCAATAGTCTCAGATATCAAGATGCTTCCTATAGATGACCAATGGGCGGATATCTGCTTTTGCAGACTCTTCATTTTTGTCTTTCGTATGGGGGTAGGGTTGCTTTTAATTATTAAATAAGAGAAATCTTGCAGGAATGGGTCAAGGACTTTGCTTTTGACAAAGTCAAGGGATTTCTTGACATATGTTAATTGGAGTCATATACAGTAGAAACCAGATCATAAAGTGGCTTTTGTCTTGCATGGGAAACAAGAAATGAGATGCACTGAAAAATGTCAAGCCATGGCTTTTTACATAAAATTTGGCATTTTTTTGCTCCAACTGTCAGTACTGAATCATCAGAGCTGAAGTCTAGCCCTGCAGAAATCCATGTGATATGAGAGTAACCTTCTCAAGGCACATTGTGTAGGTTTGTGTGACAAGGGAGGCCCTGTACTGTATAAAACTGGGCCAAAATATATTTCCATTTGTTAAATCTCACAATTCTTTTGCGGTAAACTAAGAAGTCAAGACATATAGCTGTAGTCATTGGTTTTACAAATTATGGCAGAAATTCAGCACGGTTCAACAGGGATTTCAATAACGTGAGACCCTCAACACAGAGGCCATGCATTTTTCAGTAGGATCTTGAAACAAGGCACAGGAAAGGAGGGAGCACATAATTCAGTTTGCATTGAAAGCCACAGGTCCTACAGCAGCACATTTCTCCACCCTTCAGAAGAAGGTCTACAACCACAATCCAATCCAATGCATACAGTTTTAACAACTCCACATCTTATTTACAAATTTACAAAAAAAATCTTTAAACTCTGGTCAAAATATTAGCAACACAGAAACCAATAGCATAAAAAAAAAACTGAGAAAATAACCAGGCGTATTGTCTTTTTGCAAAAGGTTGAAGGAACACAGTGGTTCGAGTATCTTTCCCTCCCTTAAAAGGTGTCGCCGCTCCATTAAGCCTGCCAGGTGCGGCTCTGTCAGCCTTCATCACGTTGAATCTGAAGGTAATCTGAAAACCCCCAAGATCATACCATACTCAATAGTTCAAGCTCATCTCTAGTTGCAAAGCGAAGAGGAGCAGAGCCCAAGAACCTCTGCATGCACTGCCTCTGCTACAGGCTGCATTCTGAAGAATAAAAAGGCCAACAACGTTCAAGCTCTTCAGCAGAAGCTAACTGGCCGTCTTGGATGGTGTGCTTTCATAGTCGCCGCTGCAGCACGGTGTGCTGCTGGTTTTGGCACCTGAGCAGCTTGTGCTTTCCGTGGCTTCAACACTGTGGGGGCTGGTGGGAGCGGAGTCATTCTGCCCACTTTGTCTCTTCTTGTTCAGTTCCTCCCAGTTGGCCCTGTTTGCTCGGATCATATCGACCATCGGCTGAAGTTTGGGATTCAACTTGACAAGAGTCTAAAACCAGAAAGAAAGATGCATGAAAATCTCTTAAAGAAGTTACATTATACTGTATACTAAAAAATATAAAAAAAAGTTTTCCCGAAGGTTTGTTCTCTAAAGAAGTAGCTAAGTAGTTAAAACTTTTCCATGGAAGCTGTTTTTACCCAGTTTCTTTCCTAAATAAATCGAGTGAAATCAGGTGTTTGAATACACCGTCAACGCACTTCTTAGAAAAATTTTAGTAGTTAATGTTTTCTCCATTTTTGGAATCCAGTGTCTGAAATGGCTTTGTTACCCTTTCCAGACAGAGAAAACTTTTTTTTTTTAACTCTTAAATTTATTGGGGCATGGCGTATTTTTTATTTTTATTTTTTACAGATTTTAGCCTATTTCATTCTACCTGATATGTTCTATTTAAAATATTTCTTTATTCCACAGAACACACTATAATACATCAGTCAATACAGTAAAAATGATTGAATGTAGTTTGTGCAACTTCTACAGAAAACTCTAGTAAATTCAATGATTTACACTTGGACAGGTTTTTTTAGTCACCTTTTTTTTTCTAAATGATTAACATCTTTGATATTTACATATTTTGACATGTTTGCAAATATATAAATACCAGACTTAAAAAAAGCTAAAACATAGGATAACTTTAGGGATGAAAATACTGAGAGAACTTTTCAAACTAAAAAAAACTTAATTTTAGAAGTACTGTTTAACCTTTTCTTTATTAATAAATAAGCCAACATTTATTGAGTAGTTCCCGAACCAGGGGAGGTTTAACACGACCTTTTACATACAAATAGGGTTAGTTCAGCTGCATTCAAGGTTAGAGGAGATATCCTGTTTTACAAATATCATTTGGAGCAGGGGCTGTACATTTCCAGAATATTTTACTGGAAAAAGAGAAATAGAGGTGATATGAAAAAATATCAATACCATCAAAAGGTTTTTATTTTAGCAGTTCATTTCTCAAAAGTATTATTTGAAATTAATTTATGTTAGATTGATGGTGTTTGGCTTGTCAGCATTATTGGCTCTAATATCTACATTATTACCTTGACAATACTCCATAAATTGTCTGTGGTTTGGATCAGCTTTTATAATAAACATTTCTTATGTTCTCTCTGATTACAAAGGGATTTAACACATTAATGAGACAATTGTAGCAAAGGTTCTAGGTGGATCTAGCAACACTGACTCTTAGTAAATAAACCCTTATTATTTCGATGGCCTTTGCTTCAAACTCCTTTCAACGATTCAGTAATCCCTGTTGCTTGTCTAACTGTTTCCACCAAAGTTTCTCCTTCCACATAACTTTTCATTAGTATGGATAACACTATACTCTTTCTTTGGCAGTGACCTATTATGGCTTAAATAGTCAAAACATTACAATTCTGGATTAAAAATCTATTTTCCTTCACTTCAATATACTGTAATATTACATATTTCAAAAGGCTGTATATATATATATATATATATATATATATATATATATATATATATTTTTTTTTTTTTTTTTTTTTTTTTTTTTTTTTTTTTTTTACTGTATGTCTGTATAGCAGAACATGTATTTATCCCATATTCAAGTCCTAAGTGAAAATCCACATGTATGGGTTATTTTTAAATTGATTTATAACTTAACGAGCTCCTGTCTTGTGTCAGAATACCAAACCTTTAACTTTTGCTTCTTTAATAGTTGTGTTAATGGAAAAACCTGTAGACAGAATCAAGCCCAAATTATCCATAATGCTACTTTGACCATTTAGTCTTGGAAATATCTACATGCATTAAACTATTGAGACTATGTTTGGTGAACATCTTAAGTTCAGGCCGAAAATATTGCAGATTAAAAAGAAGATTATGTTTGGTTTGGTCTCTGCTCTTACTAAAAAAAAATTCTGATTCATTCTGTATTTAAGATATTTCTGTAAAATATCAGGCGGCCTTTTTTTCTGAAGCTGAGATTAATAGCAGTTTTTTAAAGTTTTCTTGACGGTGATTCTTAGCTCTAAGGCTTAAACGTACTGTTAATTCATGATGGATTCACACTTGGCATTGTTCATCAAATGCATAATTTAAGGAAGAAGAAATAAAACAATATATATAGAGGGGGAACAACCCAAAACAAAAGTGAAAACAAATAAGCCCTTGATGGCTGCAGTCCATCAAAACGCCTGTTCTTTAAAGATTAGAAGCATGTGTGTGACTGAGATTAGTTGCTGTTGTCATTTTCTCTGTTCAGGTGTAACTGGCAGGGTAGACCAACTTGTCACCTTTCATTTGATAAATTACCCAACAGATAACAGGATGTAGTTTCTCTAACATTGTGTAACAAGTCACCGTAATTACTTATTGTGTCATTAACTTTGTTTCTTATGCAAATAGAACATCTGTATGCAATAAACTTGCAAACTGAGTGAGGAAATGTATGCAAAAGTGTAAAAGACTGGAGTTAACCCTTAATTAAACATTGATCGAATAGTGGCATCTATATGAAAGGCAAACTTAGCTTCTTCTTTTTAGACATATATTAGTAATATGCTGTGGTTCTTAACAAAATTTATTTTGTGTGCACTTGTGTGTAAGAATCTCTCTGAGGGTTATCCAGTGCTCCTTTTTTCCAGTTACTTCCTAGGAATCTCTGCAAACAAAGCTGGTTTACAGCAACAACAACATATTTTCAAGTGCTTTACAGGAAAATGAAGGAACAGATAAAAGAAATTATGCAATATTAAGAAAAAACAAAACATTAAAATAATGGTATTTAGGCTTCCCAAACATATGAAACAATACTTGATTAGTTTTTCCATGTCCTTATTTGATTGAAAACCCATTATTATGGAAATTTTTTCAACGTTTTTGTTAGTACTGATTCTATCCCTTGATTTTCTTGGAACAGTGACAATAAAGTCAGTCTTTCTTTTCCTCGTAAAGCTTGAGAAATTCTGATCTATCCACTGATTTTATAGATATACTGATTGTAAAGGACTGTGGCTGAGTATAATATAAATATGTTTATCGTCAGCATATGTGTTATGAGAGATTTCATAGAATTCTATACTTCAAAATCATTCTGATAATAAATAAAAGTGGTCAAAGACCAGAGCCTTGAGGAACTCCAGATATGATTGTTGTTCACTCAGAATTGTAATGCTAAATTACACAAAATTATTGGTTTTCCTTTTCATTTTGTTTTTCAATTGTTTTTCCACCACACTGTTTTCTGTTCAGATATAAGTAACGAGATACACAGAGTTTGGTTCGGATTACAGACATACTGAAATAAAAAAAGTAACCAGCAAACCTGTGTTTTTTCTTTAGTTATCCACTGTTTTCTATTTCTACCACAAGGTACAAATAAAACCTGAGACATACAATTCTTCAAAATATGTTATTTTTTATTTATCAGGAACTGGCTATTGGCTATTTATATGGATCATCAACTTTTAGGATATATTTATATGTTGTGATTGAATTGTCTGTAAAGTGGCTTGGGATACCGTGTTATGAATTGAGGCTTTTTAAATTAACTGAATAGATCCGAATAGTATTAACCACAGAGAAGAGACCAGACAGAAAAGGATTAACACTCCTGACAGTCCCTAGCATCCTGTAAAACACCTGTTTGCTGAGCTAAACAGGGGAGGACACAACAGGATAACTACTAGAAACCCTACAATCTAATAATATAGCGAGTACTAATAAGTATGACATAAAACAGTATGTGGGATTTTTTAAAACAAACTAAAATTTTCATGATAATGTGTTGCATACATAACAAACAAATCTACCATTAAAACCTTACAGCCTAGAGGTGCTGCTAACAGTTTTCCAAACTAGGATGCAGTGTTTCATACTGATAGACAAAATTATTTCATAAAAAAGGGTATTTTCTTTTGTTCTAAAGCAAGAGGTATAGACTGAAAGGCTGAAAGTCTTATATAGATGAGCATCACAGTATACAGTAGTTTTCACCGCAAATCATTTGAAACTTTAATTTTCTGAATAAATAAATTGTTTTGTAATTTTTTTAAACTGAAATTTAACTTATGATCCATTTTTATCTGCTGCAGTCAAGGATCTCTTTATTAGATGTTATACTTGTCTGCAAATTATTTAGTCTTCAGCGTGGCATGAAAAGTTGATTTTCGTGTGCCGGTTTATAAGAATGCAAGGTTATATAATCAGGGATAAATATTCGGCAAAGAACAGAGCCACCACCAGAATAAGGAATTGTGTAAAATTTAAGAACACGATCTCTTACACCCACGGTCAAAAATTCTGCCGCCTCTGAACTTTTCTCTGTTCGCCCCCCTATCCCTTCGTCTGCAAGTTTAATTGGCAGAAGCAAGATCGTGAGCTCTATATCTGCATTCTCCAGACATCAGCCTTTCAGATAAGGCAGATCCCCCACACACATATAAATACATAAACAAAGTCGCTTTGCTTTGATGTTTTTATATCCACACAACACAGACAGTAACAATAGTGAAACAAGCCCAGGAAAGATTAGTGCACTCTGTCTTGCAAACACTGATCATGGAATAATTCATTAACAATGAAGATCTCCCATGGCTTGTTTTGTTTGTTTTGTAGCCTATAATTACAGAAACTAATGTGCTTCTAGACAATTTCATTATAAAAACCTGGAAAACAACCCATTGCTGTGGAAATCAGTGATTTATTTCCTCCATAAATGCTTTTAAAAACTCACTGTGGCGCTTTCGTGAAATTAACTCCAACATGTGTGGTGTTTTAACAGAGCTGATCTCCTCAGTAAGTTTGCCTTCTTCCTCCCACACAGCAGCTGCTGCTGGCTGTGGGAGGGGCAGATCAGCCTCAGCTGGTGTAATACAGAAACACACTCCTATACAGGAGCATCTCTATAGCTCAGTGGTATAGAAGCTGTTCACAGAGCCCTGTATGCAAGCATTTCAACGGAAGGTTTATTGGAAGGAAAAATTGTGGTTGAAAAATGTCCACAAGCAGCAAGCGATCACCAGGGTGTGAAAGATTATGAAGCAAAGCCCATTTGAACGTTTGGGTGAGATTCACACAGAGAGATCTAATTACATTTAAGTCACCCCTAAACCAGAAGAAAGGTCAGACGCATCCTACAAATCCTAAAAATTGTGTTTTATTACTCTGCAATCTTTCTATATCTTTCTATAGAAAAACGCTATGCATCTTTAAAAAGTTGTGAGGCACCAGAGCCCACAGTGTGGATGAACTGATAGCCCCCATGCATCTCCCTGTGATGTAACAATTTACATTTTTACGATTTAAAACATGTAAAGGGAGACCCCACCGTGCAATAACTGCATGTCACACCTTTTTCTTCCACTAAACTTTCCATATTATGCTTTACCAGTGATTTTCTGTCTCTGAGAAGGGGATTAGTGCTTATCTATCTACTATCAAGTTAAAAGGCTGCCACCATGATTACTTCGGTCACAACATAACATTTATATAATAAAGAAGAAACTTTTTAACTCTCATATATGTAATTATTTTAAAAAGTTAATTTTGGGGTCTCCACTAGCTCATTAAATTTAAAATGAAATGAACTCTTGGAAAATATCACTGTTTTGGATTATTGGGCTTTCAATTGTATTTTTATTCACCAACAAGGAGCTGGGCTAGCAGAGGCAGCAAAGCCTTCTTCATCTAAAGCTAATGTGAAGCAGAAAGTAAGCCCACAGTGCTCTGACTTACAGAGCAGATTCAACCTGACTTACATCACAGCTCTATTCACACACTTCTCCGAGCTGCCTCATGGTCATAAAGTGCACACTCAATCTGCTTCTTTCAATGAGAACAGGACGTAACCTCAAAGCTTTTTTTCACAGCTTCTCAATTAAAAGCATTTCTCTCTTTCAGAGAGAAACCTTCGCTCAGGAAGAAAGTCAAACACTTGCTGGCGACAGTTTCACTGCTGGCGTCAGCGAAGGACAATAATGGAGGAAGGACGGAGTCTGCTGATGTCAGAGGAGGATGTGCAGCAAGCGTGACACAATAAAGGCCGAGGAGCAGCCAGTCGGGTAGGTTTTTTTTTGTTTGTTTTTTTACCTCATACAGAGGCGAGCAGATTCCATCAATCCATTCCAGCTGCAGCCCTGGGAGCTCATCCTTCCTGTTACGGTCAAAGATGGCCTGAAAGGAAGAAAAAGGAGAGAGAGTTGTTTGCTTTCACAATTTTCCTGCTCATACGGGACCCTAAAGTGTTGCTTTTAGCGCTCTGCTCTTAGGGACTTCTTCTTCCTTTCTCAAGTCAGCTGAGTTTATTTCACGCCTATTTTCTCCTCTCTCTCATTCATGCAGCCCAAGCTTAAGAGGCTCCGCTGAGGCTGCGCTTCAGAGATAGTTACCCGGCTACGACTCAGAAGTTAATATTTCATTTCCAACGCCCACACAAGAGAGAGCTAAAGGTTTGACACAAGCAGCAAACCTGAGGCTACTGAATTAGTTATTTCTGAGGGGAGGCAATATGGCCAGGCTCGATTACTTAACAGTCATTAATTGCATGCAGAACCAAGTCAGTTTTCTCCTTTCAAGGCTTAGAAAAAAGAAGAGAGTTCATCTCTGCTGGCTGCAGCAATGAGGTTAGCTGCAGCATTTCTGAATGAAGTCAAATATCTTAATTAGCACCAAGAAATCTGCTATTTCTCCAACAACACACAATGCATTGCAAAAGTGTTCAGATCCTGTGACTGTTTTAGCATTTTGTCAAAAAATACCTGCAGCCTTCAGTGTGTTTTATTGGGATTTTAAGTGATAAGCCAACACAAAATATTGCATAATTGGCACAAGCTGTTTTAAATGTCATTTTACACATTTATATAAGATCCAATGACTTCTGTAATTGTGTATTTGGCAAATGAAAAGCCCTGTGACCTGCCTTGGTAGAAATCCAGCTATTCTGTGAGGGCCTAAGAGGTTTGTTTGAGAACATTAATGAATAAACAGCATCACGAGGACTGAGGACCACAGCAGATAGCTCAAGGATGCATTTCTGGATGAGTTTAAAGCGGAGGGAGGTTATAAAGCTTCTCAAGCTTCCAATATATCAGAGAGCTTGGTTCGGTTTTCTGAGAATGAGAGGAGGTTGACACAACTGTGAAACCTGCAAATACCTGCCTATGGCTCAGGTGGTACAACTTGTAGTCTGGCTTTTATATAAAAGTGGAAACAAAGAATTATGTACGCAGAGAAGTCTGACTGCAGGTTGCTCTGAACACACACCATAAAGCATGGTGGTGGCAGCATAGTAATGTGGGAATGCATGTCTGCTGGGAGGACAGGAACATTTCAGGATATTTCTGAAATAAAATAGAGTGGTTTAGATTAAAACATATTAATGTTTCAGAACGGCCCAGTCAAAGTTTAGGCCCAGGTCAAACTGAAAAACTGTGACAAGGCTTAAAAATAATGCCTATGTGTGCTCCAATTTGAGTTAAACTTTAAAATGTTAACCTCTCAATGCTAAAAACTGTGATTGCTATAAAAAGAAGCTACTGCAAAGTGTTGAGATAAACACAAATGGACTTCACAATTTTCTTAATTGTAATAAAAAATGAAATCCATGCACCATTTCCTATCTGCTTTAAATTAATACATTACTCTATACATATGATTGAAACAAGCTGTTTATGGGTTACTTGTAAGAAAACAATAAACCATTTAGGCAAGGTAGTTTATCTATCTGTGTTTGCAGGTGAATGAATAGAAAAAATCTGCATTGAATGCAGGGCAGCGGTGCGGTCGAGCTGAGCCTACACTTTCCTCACGCTTAGAGACACAAGCTTTCGTGTTTTCCACAAAGTCAGTGCGTTTCCAAACAGCAGAGAAAATATATCATCATGTCGGCATCATCAGCTCTCAGAGGGGCACAGAGGGTGAGAGAGATCCTGCAAAAAGCACAAACGCTGAGCTGGTTGGATTTACTCACGGAGGGCGTGAGCTTTAGCTCCAGTCGTTCTCGGTCTCCCTGCTCAAAGAATTCACCCGTCACCAACTCTGCAACCTGAGAAAAGAGTGAAACGCCAACATTAAGTAACACTTTTTTACATTTTCATGTTAAAATTCTGGAAAAGGTGAATTTGATCAATGATTGTTTTTTTCTCATCCTGTTGGTCACCTTGCGGGATATTTCCCATGGCTTTGTGACGGCTCCAAGATCGCAGGCTGTCATCATCATAGATCTAAGAAGACGAAATCAAATTCTTTTAAGATTTTAAAACCATGAAATGATTGTTTTACACTCAAAGATATAAAAGGGGATAACTTTACCTGCAAATGTCTCTGTGAGCCTTCACATTCCAGTTGTACTCCCCTTTACTGACAAGTTCAAAGAATGTGTTTCTCTTTCTGAGGAGGAGAAAAAAAAAAAAGAACCCTTCTAGATAAAGCTGTAAGCCCCATTGTGTCCACCAGGGGGCATCATTACCTAAAACAACCACTTCAAGGTTTTAATAAGTAGTGTGCTGAGATGAGCCTGAAGGCTGCCAATGTGCTTTGGATTTAGTGGGTTTCGCAGAACCTACTCGAAGTAAAGTGTGAGGTCTGTGGCCAGAATAGACTGCTTCAGCAGCTGCATGAGGTCGCTGTACTCCGTGGAAGAGAGGTTGGAGAAGATGTTGTGCCCCTATGGAGATAAAACATGGAAACATAAGAAAAACTGACAGGATCTGTGTGAATCATGTTTACCTTTTAGGGTTTCTAACACCTCTAAGTGTCTCTGTCTGGGTAAAAAATTGCCCTTAAACAACAAAAATACACTTCTTTTAATTAGTTAAAAAAATACATTTTTTTTAAATAATCTGTTCTGAGGGAAAAAGGTTGGACACCATTTTTACTTTCACATGTCTGACGATTGCTTCCTAAGCAAGTTGCACCTTTTTTTGTTGTTGCCATAAACAAGATTCAACCACAGTTGAAGAACTAATACTGTTGCATTGAAAATGTTCTCCAAGTATTATTACTGAGGTATTTTGTACTTTAAATAAGCATGGTCGATTGGTAAATGATCCATTTAGATTAATCCCACCTTTTTAATAGTTGAAAAACATCATGTTAAATTGCATTATGGAAAATACTAATGAGGTTGCATGGATGTATTTGAGCCTGTATATATAATTTGATTTAAGAAATGCAATTCCATCTTAAAAAAGACCTTTAATTATATGCTCAAAATTGATGTCTTAATCCCGCTGATAAAAAAGGGTACACCATCCCTCAGTATATCTAAATTGTTGAGCATCATCTGAGCCACCAAGCTCCTGCTGCTTCAGTCTGTCTGCATTCATTGGCTCCACTCTCCAAATCAGTTTAGTTTACAGGCTCATAGCCACCATGCTGACTTTTCATAGCAAGAAGCATAAAATCTTCCACATCATATTAAAAATTTAACCCTGTTAAACTGTAATGGCAGAAACAAAATTGAGCCAGTGCGCAAAAGTCATTACCAAAGTTTGTTGTATTTAATTTTTATTCATTTTCTGCAATAATTGTCGCCTTAAATGTTTCCGACCATAAAATAAATCCACGGCTCATATATTCCTCATTGCTTGTGATGTAATGGATGCTATGGGAAAGAAAATTTCTCCAGTTTAACACATGATAATGTGTTTTCCAGGTCTTGGAGGCACTTCTGCATACGTGGAGAGCCTCTCTAGGACTAAACCTGAGTGGACTTTGAGAAATGTTTCAAAAGTGATACCAGCATAAAACTACAGGAGAAATAATAAGCAAATCTCAGCATAAGATTTCCTATACATATCTCTTTTGTTCATTTAATTTCCTGTAGACTTTAACAGTACTTTACCATCTAGATATATGGTTCCTAAAGCTAGGAGGTCAAATTATTGGTGGTGTTTAAAATACACTACATAAGGTTTAAAATAATTAATAAAAAGGTAAATTTTGCCTCAGCTGTTGGCAAAAAGCAACATTTATAAATTAGTAGGGAAATAGTCAAACTGTTTTTTGTCTGTTTTTTTGTTCAAATATAGAAAACAAGGCTCCCAATACCCTGCTACAGCTAATCTATGACTCAGAGGCTGGAGACCACAGCTTTAGATGATTTGAGAGTGAGTTTTTTTGATAAATAACCAGAAAATAAATAATTCTCCAAAACATAAAAAAGATGCATATCTGCCTCCAGTTTCTACAGAGAAACTGTTGACTTCTCAATGTGCCTGATTCCTAAAATCCTTTATTAGGTAAACATGTTTGAATTTATTGAGAATTCTGCTCTAATCCAAAGAAACTCGTTGTTGAGTTTTATTTTACCCCGATAGCCAATCAAAAAGCTTTTCACAGGAATGGCTCCAATGAAACTAATTGGATCTGTGCAGGGGAGCAGCTTCCCAACAGCTCCTAATAAGCGAGCTCTGTAGCTAAGGTTTTAACCCAGCATGTATGGTACATTCATTCAGCATTCAGGCTCTCTCCTCTGGAGAATCAACAAACCAGATAACCACCGTTTTAAACACAGACAGCTTAGCTTTGAACATTTGTGCAAACATGCCCCCGGCTTCATTCATTATCTGAGAGGTCCTCATAAAATACTGAATTACGTTAACAGCGGTGACACAAAGGAGGTCTGGGGTTCTGTCACACCTGCGGCAGATGGAGAAGGAGGCGAGAGATGCAAAGGTGACGAGTAATAATTCAATGGTTTTACTGAATCAGTCCACTGAATCGCCCGTCATGTCTTCTATTCGAATTATTCACAGTATTCATTTGTATGTTAATTAGCCGAGGACAACGGCAGAGCCTGCCCCGCATTACCAGGCGCCATGTAGTCCAAGCAAACATTTGTCAGCGCTGGGATAATGAAGCCACTGGATCTTTCCCCTCAACCTGGTCTCGGCTGCTCCCCCTCCCAAAAAAATAAAAAATAAACATGTATATATACCTCCAATTACAAGTCCATGATACCTGTTAAACTGTTAAAACGTCTCTTTCCCAGCAAATTACCAGTGAGTCTATCATCTGTAGTTCCATTGATTTGAGGGCAGCCTGAGCTATTTGTTTACTCCCCTGCTAAGGAGAGCACACGGTTGCCTCTGAGCTCTGTGAGTGCAAACTCATTCATTTTTTATGTGGCCTTTAGTGCCTTTCATTCATTTAAACTCTGGTCTACTGGTATTTTGACGCAACAGAATTATCATAATGAGTTTCAACCACCAGAGTGGATTTAAACTGACAAAAACTTATAGCAAAATGTTGTGTCTTTTTTTCAATTGTTTCATATAAATTCTTTCCAATTACGGTGTCTTTTTTATAATTTGTGGATGTAAGCATTAATCTTTAATGGCTTGTGTAATGATGCTCTGAACTTATTTAAAAAAGAATGAAAAATGCTTTTTTTTTTTCAACTTCTCTAAGGGTTAAGCAGAAGAGCCTTACTATAAGAGGGTTTTTTTCCTGCAGCAATCTGTCCTTGAAGTGGAAAACGGCTGCAGACAACTTCTTTAAAAAAAAATTGTGGAAATCATAATTTAATCAACTCTTATTCCTACAAAGCCTTACCAAATAATATCACTGTTAGTTCAGAAACAAATCAGTTTAAAGCACTAAATTCAGATTTTTTTATATATAATTAACACTTAAAGGTGTTATACTGTAAGTTCATAAAACAACTTTAATATTCTGTACCATTTTTATAAAAAAAAACATTGAACAATATTTGTTCAAAAATACAAACCCGTTTTAACTGTATAAAATCTACTAGCCACCTTAATATGCTAATATGGGCTGATCATCAATCACCCTAAATTAAGCAAATCTGGGTTAATCAATCTGCTGGTCTCTCGATTGACCCACCTCTACTTAAAAAGTCTGACCTCCTTTGAGGGCTTAAAAAATACAGCAGCAGGACTCAGGTTTGTAAAGGAGTATTTCAATCAACCACAAGACTTCTCTGGACAAAAGACATGAAATCAGTACAGGCAGCTTACACCAGACTTCAAGCTTTGAGGTGGAAGGCTGCCGATTTGTATGAAGTCAGAATTCTGTCAAAAGTGTACATGCAGGAACAAAACTGATACGACCGGTTGTTGTTGTTTTTTATTTAAAGCGAGCTTGTAAACTGCTATCCACCTGCATTTTGGACGTTTCATGCATGCAGATTCAATACCATGAGGCCCCGATAAGTCACAAGCTCCTTCTCTTCTATCAGTATGAGGGTGGTTGCAACTGGAGAATGTAAACTGCCTGCTTTTCAGTAAATCCCGCAATTTTCTTCCTAGTTGCAGCCAATTATAATTGTTCTTTTACAAGTTAAAATTGGGTAAGTGAAGCCATCATTTAATAACTTAGTGGTGAATGTGTTCTGGTAGCAGCAGCGATATGTTCTAAAATAATTATTCCTTTTAAATTCGAAACGTCATATGAGCTAAGCTAACTTGAGCTTCTGAGTTTGTATTTAGGAAGGAGAGGTTTGAATCATCCCTGGTTTTTAGTCGACCACAGACATTTGCATTTACAGTTTGCAGCTGCTCTTAGGATGTTTTCCTTCATATCCAGCATTGAGTTTAGAAAATGGTTCATTGATACAATGGCTGTTGGATATAAGGTCAGAATTTCCTCTTTGAAGAGAGCAGCTTTGAGGACGTCACTAGTAAATAAATAGCGCTGTCTCAGGAGGGATGTGACGGTGGAGCATGGGTAAAGCGAGAAACCCATGTATGGGCCTCAAAGTAACCATCACACAGTCCTGCTCAGATTCCCTTTCCATAAGTATTCCTGCTCCCTCCAATCCCACTTTCAAAAGACAGGATTTCCCGAAGTTTACTTTCTCAGTTTGGTTCCACCCTTAAAATTGACAAAAGGTTGAGATGAGGAGAGGAGAGAATCAACAGGTATATAAAAGCCGACCAGGAGGATGCGCTCATGCTTGTGACGTGTTGGAGGCCTTGTGTTATTGAATCTGCAGGCATAGAAAGTTCAAAATGCGCATGGAGAGCAGTTCAAATGCATGTGTTTTAAATAACACATGACATTTCAGCATGTATTATGAGTGTGCTCTTTTAACAGAATTCAGACTTCATCAATTGTTTGTTTTTTGTTTGCAGACAAAAAAGCCCTTTTCAACCTGATTGAAAACCAGGGCAATTTTATTTAAAACATCTCTTTTCTGTTTTATAATTATTGATTAACGACAGTATGAAATTGCTGTATGTTTGCATGCATTTGTTCAGATATGAATTATCTTAGAGACTGTTTAGTTTCTACTTTGTTTTTACTATTATTGTACCGCTCCTATATATGCCATGTTATCAGCCCTTAAATTACTGTAAGCTGAAGTAGCTTCATACAACTAATGCAGTAAAATCTTGTCCAGTTCCTGCTGAAGGAATGTGAATGAAGTTGTGGGTGCAGACTGCAGTTTAAAAATACCTTATCTCTCCAAAGGACACTAAGGTTAAAGGGTCTATTGCCAGTGGTGTTTATAATCACATGCAGCAGAAGGTGAATGGCAACTGCATTGCAACAGATACTGGAACATAACACACCTCGCTCTGCAGGATCATAACAGCGTGGTTAAAGTGGTGGTGCTCCAGGGTAGCAGAGGTCCCATAAAGCAGAGCGAGGGCTGAACCCGTCCTGCCAAACACACACACAGATAAAAAAACAAACATATTGGGATAAAAAAGAGGGACAGTATAATCAGTTTTCCACAGAAGCTGAGAACTAAAGTCTGCTCTAAAGCTCTCTTTGAATTTTCTTTCCCTTTAAGTCAGTTTCTAACTTATGGCCCAATAAAAAAGGACGCCTGAGACTCATAACCCAAACCGCAGCTGAAAGAGAAATGTCAAATTCAGAAAGTGGTCATTATGTTATGTTAAGAAAAGCAGTATGAGAGTCATTTACTTAAGATAAAGACTGTGAACGTTAGAGCTTAGAGTATCATTTTTTATTTGGAAGTTTTATTAATGATAAAGAAATATTTAGATGTTTTGTAGTTAATCTGGTTTAAAGCTGTTTATGGAATTAAACTGTAAAAAAAAAAAAAAAAAAAAGCTTCAGAAATAAGTGTATTTAATCTTTTCTTATTTCAAATGTAAATTTGATTATTTCATTGGAAAATTGTCTCGCTTATCTGCTCACTCCCAGAAAAAATGCACTTATTTTAGAAAAACTGACTTACTTAGATTTTTTTTTTTTTTTTTTTTTCTAGTGCAGGTACACTCACTTGGCTTGGAAAGCATTGTTGGTGCCCCTGTGGTCCAAGTCATGGCACACACAACCCACAATAAGAGCTAAGATCTCCAGCTCGGTCAGCGTCTCCTGGAAACCCGCCGTCTGATTGGCACAGAAGACAGGAAGCAAATAAAACACACAGACCCACACACAGTTTATGGGAAGCAGTGCACCATTGTCCAATGAAACTGTGAGTACATTGGATAAAAATGGAAAAGCAGCAGCATCAACTTAAAAAAAAAAAATGAAGACAAAAAAAAAAAAAACACAGCATCTTTCCAAAATGCCAGTGGGACTGCAGTCGCATTGCTACACATCCACATTTATGGCTCGGATGAATGGATTCTGGAGATCATGTGCTGGCTGAGTCACTGTGGGTCACTGTGAGGATAACAGTGCATACTTCAGACTACTCAGTAAAACAAAGAAGGGCCCCAAAAAGTTTATACACTGCTGTGTCATTTTCCCCCACCAATAATTTATTAAAAGGACCAACGTCAACATTAAAGCTTCTGATTAAACAGACTAAAGCGGGCAGAGGGGGTCGGGCATAGGAGGACATCTGCATCTCTGTTGCCCAAAGGACCGAAACTGTAGGAACCATTCTGAGGAATTATCTAAGGGTCTCCATACAGGCAAGCATGTCTGCACAGAACCAAAGTTAATAAACACACTGAGTCTTATTTCATCATAGGTTTCAACTAAAACATTATTATATGCAAATCTTAACACACTAATCCACAGGTGATTGCATTCATCTGCCACCTGAATATTCACTTAGTTTATTTGGATCCAGGTTTTAATTGATGCCACTGTGAATATTCATTTCTCAGGTTTAAACCACATCTTCTTTCTTTTCTTCCCCTCGCTGAACAGATTCAAAACCAGTTTACAGAAAAAATAGACAGTAAAAATACAATTTTAGTGAGAAAATGCTACATTATTTTATCTATTTCATATGAGAACTATGGTGGCAGATATGTGCAAATGCATAGCAAAGGGCAAAACAAGCTGCAAACACATGTATGATGCAAACTCCAAATCACACAAACAATATAAAAAAATGAAACAAAAGACCACTGCAAAGAAAAATCATAAAAAATGTATGCAAAAACTTTCAATCAACAAATCAAATGCAAACCAAAAAAATGCTGCAAATGCTTTTTTTCTGTTGCATTTGTATTTTGTCTGTTTGCGTGTTTTAGAGTTTCCATCACTCATGTCTTTGCAGCTTCTTTCATATATTTAATCTGACAGTATATGTAGTGACATTGTTCACTACATGACAAATTTACACATTCTAATTCTAAGTTTCATGTTTTGTTGGAATCAAAACAACTACTGTACCTATATGCACCATATTTCTTTTTTTTCCCTCTTTTTAATAAGTTATATTCAGAAAGAAAGAACATAAATCACAGCTTGATCTAAACCTGAATAGTTCCTATTAGGAAACTGGTTCAATGGATAAAACTTCTCTCTATTTTGTCTTCTTTGCAATAAACATCACAAAACATTATGATTGAAGTCCATATTAACTGACCTTTCTTCAGAAATATGTTTAGACGATGCCTACCGTTAGCATGGCAAACATGCACTGGCAAACGTTGAATGCATGCCTCCAGTTGTGGTAGAGGACCATTCTGTAGTTTTTTCTGACAGTCAGCAGCCATCTGCACAGTGTCTGGAGGGGAAGAAGGGGCAGAAAAAGATGAGCACATGGGTCAGCGGTCTGCACGAGGGCCCACCACAACATGCGTAGGAAACTCAATCAAGTATTTAAAGAGAACGAGACAGAGAAGCACTGCTCTCTCACCTCGTAGTCAATCTTAAATTTCTGCACCATTCCTAGCTCGATGAACATCCTCAGAGCAGCTGTTATCATGGCGTCAACATCCAGGGAGAAATCATCAAAGGAGAGCTTATCAATGCCCAGCTCGCAGACCAAGGGGATGTTAGCAGCCTGTTTCATCAGGGTGAGAAGAAACATAGAGGAAGAATGAGAACATGAGCCCACAGAGCAGAAGTGGATAGGGAGGTCAGTGGAGCCATTTTTGGATGATGCAGGAAAATATGAAAGCATGCTAATTAAGACTCTGAAGCCTCGTTTGCAGAGGGCTGATATTAATGAGGGAGCTTTACAGAGGGATTTCTCTCTTGTTTAATTTCTGAGCTCATTGACAAATTTAGTTGTGCAAAAGAAATGATCAGCAGCTTTTTGGCATTTTTATTCAAACAAAAATAACTTCCAATTAACAAATTTGGCCTGAAGCTTGTCTTCTTTAATAACGTATTTCAATAGCGCCCGCCGTATAGGCAGAAAAACTCCTTCCTATCTGTTTTATTCAGAAAATTATAATTTCAGACCTTCTAACTATTTCCAAGAAATGATGTTTATTGATGAAACCTCATTGTCAGTATAGCTGTGTCTTATTTCTTCTCTTGCAGCTCACAGAGCACATTATTTCACTCACAAACATCTTGCTGTCAGGTCGGTAAGTATTCCTCCTCTCTAAATTCACACCCCCAGGTAACAAAATGGCATCCAGGTCTGTTTGCCACTACCTTTCACACTCCACTGGAATCCTAGGCAAGGAAGCTCAATGAGGCTCTGTATGTAGAGCACTTATGAAACGAGGGAGGGGGAGCAGAACGTCATTCTAAATGAGGAGAGGTGAAACATCACAGGAGCTCATGAGGGAGACAGGGAATCCTACTATGCATGTAGTTCTGGCCAGGGGCGTCTCTAGGTTTAAGAGACAAGGGTGGCTCAGCCCCTAGAAGATAAAGCGCGCGCATAGCGCGCGCCGAATTTTTTCAGTGCACCTGCTAAGGCGTTGTCTAAGACAAGGGTGTAACTTTGTGTTGAAAGTTGGTGGGGACGGCTCATAAGGAAAGGGAGGTCCCTGCGCGACGCCTTTTTTTTTTGTTGGAAAGGATAAAGCCAAAAAAATGCGAATAACATTTATCAATTTAATGCTTACAGTTGAAAACATAACTGTTACAATATTCACTTATATATTTTGTGCAAAAAATATCACATAAATCTAAACAGACAGTACAAATCAAAGAAATCAAATAAATATATCAATTTTGTAGAACATTTATTGACAGTCAATTTTGGGTCACTTTTTAAAATTTATTTACTTTTAAACCAGGACTCGGACAAGATCTTATGGGACCTTAAGCAGAATATGATTAAGCAACTCCGTCTTTCTGTCAAGAACATCCACCAGCAGGGTATCCAGGGGGGATTTACCATTAGGCAATACTAGGCAGTTGCCTAGGGCCCCAAGTTCTGGGGGCCCCATAAAACTCTGTTTCCATGTATGGTTAATACAACTAATCCTTATTTGTGCACATTAATTATGTTTTTGATAAAAATCCTTTGGCTAAAATGCCATCAGAACGCTGATAAATAGAGAGGAAAAAGGGACAAGAAGAGAGGGACAAAACCTAGAACAAATAATGGATGTCTATTCTATTAACATTTCTCTATCTCTACAATGGGTCTGTTTTACGGGTTTACTTCTCAGGGGGCCCCCTGCCTGTCTTTGCCTAGGGCCCCAAATTTCCTAAATCCGCCCCTGAGGGTATCAATACTGATTTGATAGAATCTGGGAGAGCGGACTATGTTCAACCATCCATTTTCTTTAACCTTATCCCTCAGTGGGATCAGGAGGTGCTGGTGCATATCTCTAGCCACGTTCTGGGTGAGAGGTGGGATCACCCTGGACAGGTCACCAGTCTGTCGCAGTATGTTCAACCAGCTTAAAAGTAATCGGTAATCAGATTTATTATTTGCACTTTTACTAAGTGAACTTTCTAACTCCCTTAAATCTGAAATTCCAATGCCAAAATTGTTTAAATCTTTTATCTTTAGACCCCCTGCAGAGTGACGTCACACCTGCAAGATCCTATCCTTACCTTCCTGCTAGATTGCAAAAAGCAGCTTGCTCATGAGCTGTCAACATAACACGCTAAATCTTGTACATATAAAAGAAAAAGGGGTGCAGTGCTTGCAATTGAATGGCAACACTATCAAAGTCAGGAAAACGTTTTAAGTAAAGCCGGGATTAAAACAGTAGCTACAAGAAGCTTCAAATAAAAGGTGTTCTTTATGTTCAACCTAAACACCAACTCCGATAGACCATCAGCAGAGCAGGTGTTTAAATTAATCAATCACTGCTGCGAAAGCTTATAGCAGTGAAAGCTAATATACCACAGCCATCACTTAATAAACGCAAAATAAACAACCCTCTAAAAACGGAAAACTGTAATGGACTGAAAGTCCTGTTTTTTATGTGGGAAATTATTTGCGTGTGTTTTAGTATAATTCTGATATATTGGCGCTGTTGTCTGTTTCTATGGCAACGATACTGAATGTAGTGTAGCTTAGAGACCTGCATGGGTCGAGTTTTACCAACCCGCACCCGCCCGAACCCGTTAGGATGACTACCGAACCCGACCCGTCACCCGAGGATATCTTCAATTCAAATGTTATGGGGAGAGGTTGGAGGGGGTTGATGGGGAGAAAGCGAGAGGCAACAGATTCTTTTTTCTGAGTTTTTTTGTCGGGGTTTGTGGACGGTGAGCAGCGGGGAGAACTTTTTTTATTTTCTTTCCGAGGAGCGGCATGAATGGGGTTTTAATCAGATATACACAGCACCGAAAGCAAAATACGTGTACAAAATATTGGTGGGGACATGTCCACACCAGTCCTTAAGGAAGTTACGCCTATGATTGTTTAGATTAACTTGTCTTCTTTATGGCTTTTATTCGGTGCTTTACTGCATTTGTTTTGGGAAAATATGAGGAAAAAATAAATACAGAAAAAAAAATATTTTTTTTTAAATCGCAAAATAATTATAGGGTGGCTAATGCCAAAGAAAGGGTGACTGAAGCCACCCTTAAATAGGTCTAACGACGCTTATGGTTCTGGCCATAGGGGGAAACTGTGCACAGAAAACTAGAAGGAAATAGGTCATGTCTGTATTTTCTAGATAACACCATTTTTGTCACCAGTCTATTGATAAAACATTCTAAATTAATACTTATTGATTCAAGCCATCTTTTGTTAAGTGGCACAGTTAGTCTGATTTAGCCTATATTTTTGTGAGATCACAGTTTTCTTTGGAGAAGAAATGAATTCTGGTAATAAATATGTCATAACGATTATCATCCTGTCAATAAATATGCAAGCAATGTTATTTATTGAGAAAAATATGTCTCAAATAAATAAGATAACCAAAGAGATAAGATCTACAGTTAACAAAAAATTATGTAAACTGCACATAAAATCAATAAAACTATGCAAACATCCAATAAGAAACTAAACTAAGCTAAACTGCCAAAAAAAAATAAATGAAGTAACAGACATTTAAATAAGCAACGATAAAAAAGAATATTAAGCTTAAGTGATCTAGCATGAGAAGAAATAAACAAGCTAATCTAAAATATAATACAAACAAATATTACATAAGGCACTAACTAAGATAAACAATTAGCTGTGATAGCATAAACTTAGATAGAATTAGCTACCGGTATTTAGCTAGGATAAACTGACACAAGATCAAATAAAAAACAAAGCAAGTTAATTGGATAAAATAAATACCCATGCTAAAATAAATTAAAAACCTAAATAAAGACAATATATTTCAAATTGCATTGTCAGAGATGCATGCAGAAACACTGAAAAGCTATTGTAATTCAATAGAAAACGCACCAAAATTAACAGTAAAAATATGCGAGGTAAAGACAGCAACATGGTGGCATAAAGGCGGATGCAGGTTACAGAGAAATATAGAGCTATAACGTCATCATTTAAGGAGATATGCATGGAAGCCAGCTTTTTAATTTGACCTGGTTTCAAGAATGATCATTCATGGTTACCCAAAAATGAATTGTTGGGGGGAAAAATTTTTTTAATTATTCTTTAGTTGGTAAACATTAGACCTTTAAGGTTTACGCTTTATAAATTCAAAATGCTGTTTGCCAAAACACTGTGATTTTCAAAGTGAAGTTGTGGCTGCTATTTAGATATATATAAAGGATAGATATATACATCTATATCTATATCTATCTATCTATCTATCTATAGATATATATCTATAGATATCTATAGATATATAGATATCTATATATAGATATATATATATATAAAGGAGAAGATTAGGCAAGCAAACACTTTTTTTTTTTAACAATAAGATAAGTAAATGAATGAATATATAGATATCTCCGTTAATCTAAACCAAAAGACACCAGGCTAACATAAATAAATAAGTTAAGACTGGATTAAATTACAAACAAAGATATAACAAACTATGCATAGATATAGTTAGACTGTAAGTCAAGCAATGCTTGGATTAATTATTTACACATAACAAATAAACTACACTGAGAAGAGAAAATATACTAAGCAAATAAAGCTAGAAAAAGTTAAGATATATCACAGTTTTTTTTTGTTTGTTTGTTTTATTTCACCACAGCGGAGCATTTAAAAGCAAGATTGAGGTCAATAAAAGAACTAAACATTACCTTAAATTTATCAACTTCAGTCTTGGAGCAAGTGGCATGGTAAGACAGAACCTGCAAAATAATGACAGCATCAATTGTTTTTTTGTTTTTTAATCACCACTGTCAAGACAAATGAAAACACTACATTATGGTGCAGGATTTCACTGATGAATCTGCAGCAATATTTGTAGCAACAGCAACACAGATTGCATCCCCATGTTCCTCTCATTTCCTTGGAGAAATACTTCCCACAGTCCTGCAGTATCTTATTTAATCATAAATGTTCATTTTTATTCAGGATTGCCATGAACAGAGAAAACATACCCACATTATTTCATTCAGCATTTGTCTCCAGCTATCTCTTCTCTGCTTCTCCTTGAGACACTCGCACTAATCTTCAGACACGCAATAACAGCTGACTAGTGCTGAGTTCTTGCATTCAGGGTGGCAGATGATTTTCTTTTTTTACCACCTCTCATTCATTTTCAATACAATCTTTTGTAAGAAAGTTATCTGGAAAGAGAGATCACCGCTTTTTTTTCATGTCTACATTACTGAGGATATATATGAGATTAAAGAAATAGATCCCAAGGACAAATGAGTGGTAAAAAAAATCTTATAATTTAAATTTTATAGCAATTATTTCATGTGAATTATGTTTCAATATTTCACTATGTAGTTTGTTGTTTTGTAGTGTACTGGTGCCCTTTAACCCAATGCCAAAATGGAACATTAATAGCAATAAACCAATAAAACCACCATCTGCTGCCCATCAATCTAGGAATGACCAGGGGTCTGATTCATTAAGCCTGGGTACAGGGCCGGGGGCTAGATGGGGGGCCAGGGGTGCCATGGCCACCCCTGTGGCCACCCTACCATTTATTTCCTTCTAATACAGATTATGGCAACAGTATTATTTTCAAGTAGAATATTCAAAACATTTTTGATATATTAACAATTACTTGACAACAAAAACACTGTGGTTAATTATGCACATTAATATAATAACATTAAAGATCATAAGTACAGAATTCAAACAAAAATAAATTTTGTGTTTTATGTGGTAAAGAGAAAATGATGTGTCTGCAAGTCATCTAGGAGTCTTCTGATAAAAGTAGGTAAGTAATGACAAAGGAAAAGATGTTCGCCCAAAACCCAAACCTGAAAGAATTTTATCCACTATACCTTTTATCTAGACTGCACCGATATATAAATATTTTCGTCGGTTTGTTAGCAAAGACTGTGTGACAATATAGTTTATCTTTATTTAGAAAATATGGATAATTTGCTCATTAATTTTCCTGTTGGAACATTGTAGATTTACCGAGAGGTGGTGCCTATCTGCTTCCGGCCATCCCTCAGTGTACATTGGTTATTGCCTGTCCACTCTTATAAAAATTTTCTGGCTACGCCATTGCCTGGGTATGGAAAAAACGGGCCAAAAACCAGCATATGTCACTTTCCAATTTAAGGTTGTGATCTATCTAAAAGAAACATGGCACAGAAACACAGAAGGTAGGACTTGAATGGAGGACTTTAAACGTAGTAGAATTAGAAGGAAAGGTATTTTCAGGACATTTTTTAGCACATGAGGATGACTGGCTTTTTAGCCGTTTTGACTCCCTTGAGCAATGCTCTTGGACCTATGGACGGAAGGGTAGCCAGGTGCATTGCTTAGATTAAATATGGGCAATTTTTCCAGATTTCTCCTTTTTTTTTTTTTTTTACTCGCTGATATTAACCATTGTGTGGTTCCTGTCACTGGCTCTCACTAGCATTAATTTTCCCACAGGTCTTAAACATAGTCAGCAATTTTTTTTTAGGAACAAAATACTTCCATGAATTTATTCATAATCCATACAATAGACTATGTGATCTTTTATAATACTTTCTTTTATTTGTCCCTTCACTTCAGTGGCTACCAAACGGACAATCCCACTGCAATCACCAACACATCTATTTCTACCTTAGTTAAGATTGGGGTTTGTTCACTCGCTCTGCTTTGGTTGCCAATGCTAACCATTAAATAACATTAATCAGCTGGCTTATTTAAACCCACACAGACAACCAGTTGGTGCTTTGCTTTGACCATTTATGGTTGAATGTTGTCAAAGTTATGGTTCTGTTGTGTTTTCTTTTGAGTGTTCGGTTTTGCTTTGCTCCATGTTTTCTAGTTTTAGTGGTTTTATGCTTATTTTGTTGTGTTTTCGGGTTATTTTCAGGTTTTTATTTGTTGCCCTCTGCTGTCCTCTTGTGTTCCCCTTTTTCCCCAGCTCCTTTCCTGTTCTGCTCTTTTCACACCTGCTCCCAGTCTGCCATTAGTCCTCTCTTTCTTCCTCGGTGCTGATTCCTCGTCTAACTTCGTCCAACTCCGTCTCGCTGAGTCTTCCTCTTTGTGATTGTTTTCCCCAGATGTCTCTATGGTTTCTGGTTTGTTTGACTTTGTTTTCATGTTTTGATTTTTGGATTCCTGCCTAAGTTGTTTGTTTTCTCTTTATTAAATCATCAAGAAACTCACCTCTGCCTTCCTGCCTCTGTATTTGGGTCCTCACACCACAACCAAATCCTGACAAATGTGGGTTGTGGTGTAAGCATGGTTTGATGAATCAGAAATATCTTTTACGTATGCGGCTTTTGACTTTTTGATCGCAGATTCTTTAATAAATAGACCCCTGCTCCATGTTTAGTTATAAAAAAAGAGGATTGATGTTTTGTCCTGATAAAGGAAGTAGTCCTTTCCACTTTCACTCCATGCTTTGTCATATAAGAGCAACTGAGAGCAAGTTCCAAAACTCAATGCAATCCACCAGACCTTATTCAATAACTTTTTATCAATTCTTGTTTTAAACTGACTGTGATTGCTTTACCTCACACCTATGATTAAATTACAATTGAACTCAATCCTGATTAAACTAAAAATACCTATTCAGTGATATTGCAGACTATAAAGCACCTGCTTAAGTAAAGATGTTACTACAAGCTACTGAATCATAGGATACACATATGCCTGTATGTGGCTCATTTTCTTTCTTCTTTATTTTATTATTCCAATACAATTTGCATTTGTTTAAACCACGTTATACATTTACCACTTTCCTTTGGTCAGCTACATGTTTGTCTATGGGTACCCCCTTAACACCAAAGCAAATTCTCCTTGTGTCAAATGCTACTTAGCAATAGAGCTTTTTCTGATTCTGATTCTGAAATAAAATGTAAATTTTTAATCCTAATTGGGTTTTCTTACAATGAAAGGTAATATTTTGGTAGATATGAATCCTAGAAAAGACTAAACCTTTCCTATTTGGTCTTGATAGCGTTAAAAACCTAGAACTGGCTGAGATTGCTATTTCTACTAACAAAATATGCTTATCATGAAAGAAAATTAAATTAAAATTCTATTAAATTTTGCCTCCTTACATCCAAAGCCACAGATTGCTTGGCCCAAGATTTCTTCACCTGGTCGTACATGATTGTGTTGTTGATGCCCAATCCACAAAATATCACAAAGGCCTGAGGAAAAAGAAGTTAGAATGAAAAAAAAGGCGTTTTTGAAACTCTCAGATAATGTTAAGTGCTATAAAGACGCGTAATACCTCAAAGAGACGTTGGTCTGCATCGTCAAACGGTTTCCCATCCAATCTGTTCAGAACTTGAGCCACACCTGTTGTATAAAATCAGTTTATGAGGAGATTTAGTTTAGCTGGATGCTGATTGGAGTAGAAAACCTCCACTTTGGCTGGAGACTAGAGAAGATCAAATGGACAACATGTCAACTTAGGAGAACTTAAATAAAATGACAGCAACATGCGCTACATTAATCGTATCAAACTTTTGCCCATAATGCTCCCATGGGAATAAAATTGTCATATCCAACTCCTGCCTTCAAATTGCTATTCTTTTTCCCAAATTGGAAATACAAACAGGTTACACAACCTTGCAATATTATGTATTAATAACAATCATTGGTTGAAAAAGAATCTGTGCTGCAGTTAATAGCAGTTTTCATCACTGTTGAAAGTGAATTGTAAAGGCAGGGCTGATTTCTCTAAAGCATGATTGTTCCTCCTGTAAGCAGCTTGCAAAATTTAATCAGCTGCAGAACATATGTGGCAAAAAACATTAGAAAACTGAATGACTGCTCAGAGAATCACAGTCATCACATTAACTCAAAATGCTCCACATTCCTTACCCCCCAGATCTACAAGCGGTTTTCATGTTCAGTACCCTTTTTTTCCATAGATGACCTCTGCTGCCTGGCTGAACAATGCAGTTTGTTCACCGGAGGCGATCCATGGAGGGGGTGTTACATTTTGCTTAGAGCTTCACAAAACCAGAGCAGAGCAGCAACCAGCTCAGCACTGTGATAACCTGTGAGGAATTTCATTCAGCAAAGGCTGAAGATCTTCATACAGTGGTTGTTTATCATAGCAGGACATGCAGGAAACAGGGCATTTCTATGGTTCAGCAAACAGGCTGTAAGCTAAAATGTTCTATATGCTAGAAGCTACTGAGCTTTAAAGAAAATAGCTTATGTCTTTGTTTTTCTGAGCCAGAATTCAGCAAAAATAACGACTGATTAAAATATAATTAATCAGGTATAACACTATTACCAATGACAAGTGAAGAAAATAACCTGTATTATGTCAATAAAGGAACAATTGATGGCTACAGAGATGTTGAAAAAGTAACACAGAATACATGTCAGATTAAATAATACTACTTATATTTCAGCTATAGTATCTAGGTGTTACTTTATTGTATGTCTCGTACCATGTCTGTTGGTTGTGCTGTTCTTTTTACATCTCTTTGCAGGTGATGAAGCAGACGGAAAATGTTTTATCTCCCTTTTATCTCCTCTTTCTTTCATCTTTTCTCCTTTTTTTCTGTTTTTCCTTTGCTGTACTACTTACATTGCAGTGTCCATATAATCTGTAAAACGTCCTGCATAATTACAGTAAAGCAATTTATACGCATAAACCTACTGTTCCACTTGGGAAAGTAAAATATGTTGGGCTCTTTTTGGCATCAAGACAATTATACTTATTGCCACATTGACAGAGAGGACACTGTTGAAAAAAAAAAAAAAAAAAAAAAAAAAAAGTAGTTTCTCCCATTAGTTAAAGGTATAGTGGAGGATTTTCCCGATTTTTTTAAAAGACCCACCTTCTCCACTTAAAACAAAAAATGCACATGCACAACCCTGTACCCGCTCCCAAGCGGGAACACCTATTAAACGCGTGCGAGAGCATGCACAAGCCCATTTATCCTTGTGCACGCTCTGTTTAAAAGTTGCTGTTTGCATCAATCACACAAGCTTACTTTCCAAAAGAAGGTTTAAATTTTTCCACTGTCAGACTCACAACCAGTAAGTGAAAATGTGGAGGAGCACGTGGGACGGCCTTACGTAAACATATCACCAGAATGATTTGCAATTTGGAGGAACACTTATTTTGATGATCCACCCAGAAAAACCACATCGTCCACTATACCTTTAAGGATTAAATCTGAAGGGGGGGGCTAGCTATCTATATCTATAACTATCTATAAAACTATGAAAAAAAACTGTATTTCTACAGTTTTCTATCAGCAGGCTTTAGAGAGGGGGTATTGTGTATTTCCACCTCCGCTCTTACTTTGAGGGAACAAAATTCTCCAACAATTATTTCCGCTTGTAATATGTTTGAATATTGATCTTAAAAACTAGCAGACCAATTAAAAGCTTGCTTTGTCTAAATGTAATGACCTGGGATTTAATTTAATTAACAAACCAAATCTAGGGTGTCATTTTCAATTGTAAGGAAAGAGATACTTTTAAACGCATTTGCAAGTTAAAATTGAAAGAAAAAAAAGAGTGGCATGCATTTCAGTCTCAATCACAACACTTTTTAAGAATTTAAAAAGCTTTTTCTGCATATTTTCCCTGTGGCTGCTTCACCCATCTACCCAACATCTCTGACAGGTTATCCAAATCCTGCTGATGAAATAAAAATCACCAAAGCATAGCAAACGCTGTCAAGATCAAGGATCAGCACGGTTTTGTCTGGTGTTAGTGTACCGCCTCACATTCATCCAATCTTTTTCTGCCATGCTTATCCCGGCTGGGGTTGGGAGGGGTACTGGTGCCTATCTCCAGCTGTCAACAGGCTAGAGGAGGAGCAAACCCTGGACAGGTCACCGCCTCACATACTGAAGAGTTTTTCAAATAGCCCAATAAGTTCCATGGTGGCTTCAATAGACCAGAGCTCCTTCCACCAGATATATGCTGTGTTTCTTCCAAACAGAAACCAGGACATCCCACTGCTTTAACTCAACAGAAGCTTTCCTCATGCTGCTTCACCATCCAAGCCAGATTTTTGCAACGCATGATCAAAGTTTCTCCTGTCGATAAGTATTCCAATCTCAGCTGTGGATCTCTGCAGCTCCTTAACAACTATCATAGTTTTTTTTTTTTTTTCATTTTTTCTTGGACAAACACCTTACCTGGTCTTTCTAATTATGAACAATAGGTTAAACAGTGCTCCAAGGTTTTCTGAATCCTTAAATATTGTTTTGAAATTCTTTACAACTTCCTTCTTGAGCTGTCGCTTCTTGGTGGCGATGATGCTGTTCACGAATGTTTACTAATCATTAATTAGGTAACTTCTATAGCAGTTATTTGCACTAATGAATATAGTTCCACATTTAAGATTTTTATTTTTTATTTTTTTTATGTCATTCTTTTAATTACACCTCACCGTCATGCCACACCTTTTTGGGCTGTTAAATAAAATCTCACTAAAATGTATTTAATTAAATGTGACAAAAACATGAATTGGCTCAAGAGTCATGAATTAATTTTAAAGGGTGTTGAATTTCTAATTATTTCTATTGCGAATGACTTTTGTGTAATAAAGGGCTCCAATTTTTTTAAAAGCAAATTTGCTTTTCACACTTATGGCTGTCTTCTAAGAAAGAGCTGAGAGGACTTTCATCTCATTTAAAAAAGTAAATCTCGAAAAAAAGTTAGTGCAATTAACGGTGCTGTTTTCAAGGGAAATCTTAATGTATCTGACTAAAATGCTAAAATTTTAAATTTGCCATTAAACGCTATATTAACTTCCAAGGTTGCATTAAAACAAGGGCATTAATAATGTAACTGAATGTAACCTTGACTGAAGAATTTCATGTCTGCTGCTTTGTTTGGGTAATAATTTTTCACTCTGCATCCTCAGGTGCCGCCCACGCCATGAATTTTCTCCCTCTCCTCACTCTTTCCATTCATTTTCTTGCCTTTCCCTCTCTCCGCTCCAACTGATGCACTGACACCTAGGCAGAGACGCACCCAGGTCTTAACCAGCCATCTGCAGCAGATCTGCTGATCACTTTGCACTCGCATAAAACTAATGACTTTCCTGCATCAGATCTCACCGGACCGAGAGGAGCTGCCGTCACCTGCTCAGCGCAGCAATATTCCACCGCCAAAAAGCGGGCGAGGGATCAATGATTTATCAGTGTCATTGTGCTGTTAGCCCGCGGCTGATTCACAGACACAAAGCATGCTGACAGAAGAAGGGAAACTCCTCCTCTACGTGCAGAGTGATGCTGCAGCACAGCATGCAGTCTCAGCTGAACACATGCATGAGCTTCTCCCTCTCCCACTGTTTGCTGAAGCAGGAAAGTGTGCGCATAGTGCTGGATACTGCATTTACAGTATATAAAGGTATTTAACTGTATAATAAGCAACATTTTAGGCCATAAATATGGTATTTTTTAACGTCATCTTTATCATTTGTATGATTTTCTGGGTTTGAGCAAAAATTTCAGGACTCAACAAGTTTGCTACGATAAACATATATAACTAAACAGCTCTTGGATTATACGAAAAACGCCAACATTTTCTAGAGTCCAGATCCTGGTTTCCCCTAAAAAAAAAGCATTTAGAAAAAGTTCATCTTAGTAATATATTCAAACTGTCCAATACACCTTTTCCTTATATTCCCCTGCAAATGCAGTACAATCTAAAAAAAAAACCTTTTTCAAATATATTAAACCTTTTAAAGAGAGAAATGATTTCTATAATAAAGATAAACTTACCAATAATTTGGTGGTTGCTATTCCATATGGGAACACAGAGAACAGAGCGAATGTGGAAGTCTGAGAACTGGTCTGCCTATAAGAAAATAGAAAATTAACAGAGGAAAGATCTAAACAAAGAGTTTGCCTTTAATCGTAAAGCCAGACAAATGTAAAATAAAACTTGATGTATTTCAGATGTCTTTGGAAAATATGTATTATTCTTATCTGACTCTAGAAGGATTAAGGGAATTCAACTTGCTCTCCAATTCGAATCGGAGCTATGGGCTAATCATGTAATAAAATCTTCACAATACAAAACACTGGAACGTTTAGCATGTATTTTGTCATCTGTGTGTGTAAGAAGCTAAATAATAAATGAACATTTCATTAAAGTTGCAGAAAATCCTAAAAAAAATCATAAGATATTTTATTCAAGTATGTTCAATCAAATCAGAAAAGCATCCTACCTCTAAATAAAACTGCAACAGTCCCACTGATTGAACGCTTTCTGCTTTTGTCAATAGGGCAGAATTTCCCCTGAAGGTTTTTTATAGGATTTACATCCCCTTCAGCCCTTTATGAAAGTTCTCTAGATATTTCAAAGTGATCCCAAAACCTTGTGTTCTTACAAAGTTAACAGGCACACAGCACCACAGATCCTCTACCAATCTTAATGTGGCATGACACGATATTCCACTTGTTAATTCTTTGTTTTTTTGGTGGTAAGAAAGAGAAGGAAATTTCCAAAAATGGATCTCAGAGCAGCTTTTTGGCATCTAGGTAGTGGTCTAATGGTTGGAGACTTGGAAATCCTGGATGCAACTATTTCAAAATAACCTTCCGGGCAACTTTGTGAGAACAAATAACTAGCTATCTATATCTATATCTATAACTATCTATAAAACTAAGAAAAAAACTGTATTTCTACAGTTTTCTATCAGCAGGCTTTAGAGATTTAACTTCACCTTCTGGTACAGTACTGGACTGGTTTAAATCCTACCTGAAGCACAGGAACTTCTATCTGTCAGTAGGGAACTTTAAATCAGAGACCAGAAAAATCGCATTGGCTAGATGCTTAGAACAGATCAATATGTGGATGCACCATATTTCTTTATAACTGAATTAAAAGCAAAACTGAGGTAATAATCTTTTGATCATAACTGGAGCGGTGCAGAGTTAGATCACAGCTTCAGCCATTACAGCTAGAAACCAGTGATTATGGCGGAATCTTAAGTGTCATCATGGACAGACCTGACCTTTAGAGGCACATAAAGGCAGTTACCAGGTCAGCCTTTTATCATCTGATGATCATCTCCTGGATTAAAGAACTAATGTCCAAGCAGGGTCTAGAAAAGCTAATACATGCATTTATCTTTAGCAGAAATGATTACTGCAGCAGTGTGTCTTCACCCGTGTTCTCATTGGAACTAAGAAAATAAAACATATCAAACCTGTTCTGAAGTCCTTATATTGGCTCCACATATCTCAGAGAATAGACTTTGATTGAAATCCTTCTGTTAGTCTATAAATCATTCAATGGATCAGCACCTGAATCCACAACAGATTTGTTGTCAGTGTATCAACCTCCCAGACCACTCAGGTCTTCTAGTTCAAGCCTACCCTGTCCACCCAGAACTACAACCAAACATGGAGAATCAGCATTTATTTCCTATGCCCCACTTATCTGGAACAAACTCCCAGAATATGGTTAAAGTGCTGAAAGCCAGAGTTATTTTGAGTCAAATTTTAAAATCAATTTGTTTAGAACAGCCTTTAACTGTTGAATTTATACTGTTAATTAAGGTATTATTAGTTTAAGGTTCTGATCCAAATGTTTTATTTATTTTACACATGTTTTTTTATATTTATTTGGTTTTATTCTCTATTTTTATTTTTCTTAAATTTTATAATCTAATTCATGTAAAGCACTTCAAATTGTCCATATACTGGATTGTCATACAAATGAACTTGCCTTGCCTTGCCTTGCTTTACCTTCCTGATCCTCATCACTGTGCTCACACTCACAATAAACCTGGTCTTCACCCAGCCATAATGACACATTTTAGTTTATTACTAACTCTTTTATAAAACCAGGTAGTAGTGCTGTTCCAAATGCACGCAACTGTAAGATTTTCTACCATTTTTGTTTAAGGTGTAAGAGGTCAACTTGCAGCTGGTTAATAACTGGTTTACAATAGCGCTTTAAAATCTTGGTGATGGGAGTTTGTACCTCAGCATCGAAGCGAGGATCCTGGTAGGCGTCGCTAATGTTCACAGGGAGACCTGTTGATGCCACCAGCTCTGCAATGCTGTTGTTGATCAGCCAGTCTGAGTAGGAAGATTTTTCCATGCTGTCTTTGAAACTTGCAAAATAGATGGAAAGAACAGAAAATAAGAACAACTGCTGGACCAAATTGAGACTCTGCATTAAGCTTCTCAACAAATATCGTTTTTTCATAATTCTCCTGAAGGTAATAACTTGTCAAAAATAGAATTGGATGAAAGAAAACAACTTAATTTATCTATTTGAACAGCAGATTTGCAATACCAGCTCTTAATTTTTCCCTCTTGAACAATCCTCCACTTTGCTTTGTATTTAATCAACCTCTCATACAGCAGATGTCTGTAAACTTCCCCAGTAGCTCATGAAGTAATGAAAATTTAAAGGTGTGATTGTCTTCTTTGTTGCAAGACAACCTTAACACACTCAAAGAAAAACTTGCATCTTCAAAGCTCAAATCATCCATTCACATTAAATAGGGAAGACTTTCATGTTTAAAACAAATACTCTGTGCTGCTGATTCTATCTATCAAGAATAAAGATAAAATGATGCTGATGTTAGGTCATTGCCTCGCTTGGATCCTTTGATGCAATACTGTAGAGAAGGTGCTCACATTGCAGCGCAGAATGCAAAAATATTGGTATGACGCTGTGAGTGCAGCAAGGTTGTCTACGATAGCAGCTATTTGGACCTCAGAGTTCCTGCATGTAGCAAGTTAAAGTCTTAAACCTGAAGTTGTCTTTTTTTGCCTTTTATTAATAAAACCAAAACACAAAAATACAAAAAAAATTGTCTTTAGATTTTTCATAAAAGCTGAGTTAAAATGCAGTGTAGGTGAAAAGACAGTGTTACTCTAAGGTCCAGTGGCTTCTTATCCAGTTATCAGGAGATTTTACTGACTTTATGTCAATTTTATATCCAATCAGAAATAAGTAATATTATGTACAGTAGCATCTGTCACTGATCCAATATTAACTCCACTACAAGACCAAATCTAAAATATATAAGCATAATAGGAATTTATCAATCATTTTGAAATACTAAATAACTGAAATTATAATAGAAAAAACATCTAAGACACAATAAATCCTGTTTTCTTCTTCTGGATGCATTAATCATATAAAAGTTCGTTCCTCCCTTGGCTCAGATCTCATTAATCGCCACATATGGAAAAGTTGTCTTAATCCAGCTGTGATTTGCGACAAACTTTGAAATTATTTTTATTTAATGTTTCATTAGTTCACTAAATCAACTGGGCCACTTCTTTAGGAAATTAGTTAGGAAAGCTAAATTCTACAATCTTGTTTTTTATAGTTGCAGAATACATGTATGGTGGTTTATATTTGCACAATCTGCTTGTCGTGCGATTCCAAACAGGCTACATGTTAGATTGTGGTTCCTAGAATTTCTAAAGTAGAGGTGGAGCTTTCACTTAGCAGGCTTCTCTTCTGGTGGACCAGCTAGTTTTTGTCCATTCAGTTGTTACCCTGTCTACATTTAAACCTAGGTTCAAAATCCACCCTTTGACAATGCTTAGAGAGTAGCCCAGCTTATCTAAATCCATCCATAATGCTCTGCTGCTATAGGTATAGAATGCTGGAAGACATGGTCAGTATCACTCTAGTCTTTTTACTCTTACTATAGGTTCATGCAATATTATAATTATTGCTGCAATTATTATTTTCATTAAGTCTGATTGACCTGTTTCCCTTTCTTAAAAAAAATTATTTATTGAGGTAATTTTGCAACTTACTCTCTCCTTTTCATCCATTTGAAAGTGTTCAAGGAGTACGGTAAGCACATCTGTGTTTAGATGTGTTTCTATTTCCTGGACAAAGCCACTGATGTGGCTAACTAACAATAAGTACTCTCTATTTTAATTATATAGAAAGTACACTATATTGCCAAAAGTATTTGCTCACCCATCCAAATTATTGGAATCAGGTGTTCCAATCACTTCCATGGCCACAGGTGTATAAATTCAAGCACCTAGGCATGCAGACTGTTTTTACAAACATTTGTGAAAGAATGGGTCGCTCTCAGGAGCTCAGTGAATTCCAGCGTGGAACTGTGATAGGATGCCACCTGTGCAACAAATCCAGTCGTGAAATTTCCTCGCTCCTAAATATTCCACAGTCAACTGTCAGCTGTATTATAAGAAAATGGAAGTGTTTGGGAACGACAGCAACTCAGCCACGAAGTGGTAGGCCACGTAAACTGACGGAGCGGGGTCAGCGGATGCTGACGCGCATAGTGCGAAGAGGTCGCCAACTTTCTGCAGAGTCAATCACTACAGACCTCCAAACTTCATGTGGCCTTCAGATTAGCTCAAGAACAGTGCGCAGAGAGCTTCATGGAATGGGTTTCCATGGTCGAGCAGCTGCATCCAAGCCATACATCACCAAGTGCAATGCAAAGCGTCGGATGCGGTGGTGTAAAGCACGCCGCCACTGGACTCTAGAGCAGTGGAGACGCGTTCTCTGGAGTGACGAATCGCGCTTCTCCATCTGGCAATCTGATGGACGGGTCTGGGTTTGGCGGTTGCCAGGAGAACGGTACTTGTCTGACTGCATTGTGCCAAGTGTAAAGTTTGGTGGAGGGGGGATTATGGTGTGGGGTTGTTTTTCAGGAGCTGGGCTTGGCCCCTTAGTTCCAGTGAAAGGAACTCTGAATGCTTCAGCATACCAAGACATTTTGGACAATTCCATGCTCCCAACTTTGTGGGAACAGTTTGGAGCTGGCCCCTTCCTCTTCCAACATGACTGTGCACCAGTGCACAAAGCAAGGTCCATAAAGACATGGATGACAGAGTCTGGTGTGGATGAACTTGACTGGCCTGCACAGAGTCCTGACCTCAACCCGATAGAACACCTTTGGGATGAATTAGAGCGGAGACTGAGAGCCAGGCCTTCTCGTCCAACATCAGTGTGCGACCTCACAAATGCGCTTCTGGAAGAATGGTCAAAAATTCCCATAAACACACTCCTAAACCTTGTGGACAGCCTTCCCAGAAGAGTTGAAGCTGTTCTAGCTGCAAAGGGTGGACCGACGTCATATTGAACCCTATGGATTAGGAACGGGATGTCACTTAAGCTCATATGTGAGTCAAGGCAGGTGAGCAAATACTTTTGGCAATATAGTGTATCTCTAGGTTATTTGTATAATAAAAAAATATTAGTTTGTTATTTTTACTGGAAAAATACCCTCAGCAACTGCTGTCAATAACTTTATGTTCTGTCTCGGTTTCCGATAAGAAGATACTTTTTTGGTCGGAGCTTATTTGTTTAGTCATATTTTTCATGATAAAGCTACTTGTAACTAACTTATATTATTGCTGATATTATTGCTGATATTAACAATGTGTCGCAATTTTCTTTTATCCTTTTCTATAGAGTGCCCCTTGCTAAATTCTCCTTTGCTTAGTTCTGTTTCTTCTCTGAATGAAGCCACGAAAAGTGTTATAGCCGCCAATAACATTTTACCAACATAATCAGCTGAAATCAATTACTGTGCTAAAGTTAATACTATATTGTAGTGTAGTGTATGTAATTAAAATAAAATCTGACTTAGATTAATGCAATTTAAACCCAATTGGATTTAATATATTTACATATCATATGCACCTATTTTTGTTATGGTATTTTTGCTAAACTGGTGCTAAACAACGTTTATCTCATAATTTTAAATCATTAAGAGTTCCAGCAGGGGCCAGTTATGGCCACTGCCTTGAGGTGACGATAGAAGCTATGGCAAGCATTCAAGGGTGAGTGGGGGGAGGGGTTATTTGTCTTCCCTTCAAGCTTCTTTTCATCCATAAACAGCCCACACAATATTAAACCTCTTTTCCTCCACTCAGCCATGCCTAGCAGAAGCAAAAACACAGCAAAAAAATATATTTTAAGGCTGCCAATGTATACCTTCTGAACAGAATAACTGTATTATAAGTACCACTTTCATTTTATAAAACTATTCTGTTTTTGTTTGTTGTTTTTTTAGGTTTCATTTATTTATTTTTTCCTTATTGATATGAGGGGGACACAGAAACGCTAACTTTTATAATTTCCCTTGAGGATATGATTATTTTGGATTTACAATTTGTTACTTTTTAATAAGAAATGTGAAGGTGAATATGCAAAACTGTTTTCCAGAAATTACTGACGAATAATACAAACCTGCTTTCAGTATCTGCACTGCATTTTGGAGACAGAAGTTCAAAGGACTTGGTGAACTTGACCACCTGAAAGATGTACAGAGCGAAGCATTTATTAAGATTTTAAATAGATTCTACCTAATGAAAGAAAAAACATATATGCAAATGCAGAGACAATTAAACATACACACAGCAGGACGGCAAAGAGAAAGAAAGAAGTACCGGCGACTCAATGTCCTCCAGCAGCTGAACGGAGCAGCGCTCGCACTTTAGCAGAGTCTGGGCACGGTGCATGATCTTCCTGACAATCTTTTCCAGGTCAGTCTGTTCTTCAAACAGGTCATTGACCACCTCTAGGAGTGCCTGAACACCAGGAACAGACAATTATGACACTGGACTTACCCCTTACAATCTGAAAGCTCATGAATGCAAACAGGAAATTTGTTGGCAGGTAAGAGTGAGGGCGCCTTAAATAAACGTGCTGTGCTTTCCTCTGCTATTAGAATCTATTAATCATCATAATTTTTAAACCATAAACCAAAGGGATGATATAGCATGATTGATTTCCTCAATAAAAGTAAATAAAAACATTTATCTAATGCCAAACTGATACCAGTTTACAAGCACACAAAGGGATCTTGTTTTTTTCTACTCTACTCACTGAACTGTGGTCTCAGTATGCTCTCCTCCATTAAATATGAATGTGCGACATAAATTAGGGGATTTCCTCACATTCCCAAGCAGTATTTACATCCTTCTCTGAATACAGACCCATCCCCCAAGAATGATCCGGAAACATGCTCATGCAAAGCTGCACGGCACTGTGTTTTTCCACTGCGACGCCAGCAAGTGGGCTGCTGCTGATCAATACCAAGCCTCTATGTCAGCATCAAGGCGGGGGGGTGTTAAAAGCCTATCCTTGGAATGGGTGGTTTATCTTCCAATTGGCCTTGTGGCCCTTACCCGACTCCGGTCATACTCCTTTCTGGAGGCAGCGAAGAGTTGAGCATTGGAGATAGCGATTCCACAAAAAGGCAAGTACATCTGCAAGACCTGTGGAGACATTGAAACCTTGGAACCATTGTGACATAATGTGAACCTCTTTATCAAAGAGGACGTTCATCTATCACAGGGTAAATGTACAGAATATGTGTCATTTTTCCCACCGGCTGCATTATTAATAGCATTTATTGATTTAATCTTCATACAATGCCTTGAAATAGGATCAATGCACGTTTTCTTATTTTGTCACCTACAAATATAACCTCAATGTGCTCCTCGCTATTTATGTTTAGACAAGCAAACCTTAAATGGAAGGAAAATCACTTGTGGTAATAAAAGAAAATAAATAAAGAATACACTACTGCCATTCATATGCATCCACGCCCCTGAGTCAATGCTTTGTAGAACTAGATTTCCCTGCAGTTAAAGCTTCATATCTTCTGGGCTGTCTCAACCCCATTTGCTAATCTACACTCATAAACCACTTTATTCTAGATCATGCTGTTTAAGGTTGTTGTCCTACCCTGAAAATCAAATGTCTTTAACAGCTATTCACTGGTTTTATTCCTGTATTCAGCTTAAATCGTCTTCCCATCTGCCCAGTTCCCTTCTTTCTGCAAAAGAACAGCATCTCCACAGCATGGTGCCGCTCAAACTTTGTTTTCCTGTTGGATAACATCATTTTAAGGTGTGTGCAATGTTAATTTGTCTCGTCTTCAAAGACTCCAGATAAGAAGCACCTAATTGGTAATAAAAGAAAATCATGTGCGACATGATTGTTGATAATCTAGAAAAAATAAATGATCAAACATGCAAGCAGGTTCAGTCTAACTCGTTAAAAGGTTCAAACTGGAAGAAGTTTGAGAGCCGCCATAAAGAGGAAGTTCCAACTATGACTTGGAAGTCATAATGAAAGTCTTTCTGCATGGTGTTGCATGTTCTCCCTGCATGCGTGGGTTCGCTCCTGGTACTCCGGCTTCCTCCCACAGCCCAAAAACATAACTATTGGGTTAATTGGCTTCTCTAAATTCTCCTTAGGTGTGAGTGTGTGCATGAATGGTTGTTTTTGTTTGTCTCTGTGTTGCCCTGCGATTGACTGGCGACCTGTCCAGGGTGTACCCTCTCGCCCATTGACTGCTGGAGATAGGCACCAGCCTTCCTTGCAAGGGATGGGTTTAAATATTAAGACATTTATACTATAAAACATAATTTTTTACCTGTAGTGTTTCCATGAAATATTACTATAGAGACATATGACTTGCACACAAAAAATTGATACAATCAAAAAAGAATCAAATATATAAAAGCTATACTAATTGCAATGCAATTGTGTGATGTAACCTTAGCTTTGTTAGGCTGTTGTACATAACACAAAGTCCTGCACGATTTTTTTGTTTCCATAGTTCCACACTAAAGCCCAAATTGTTTCATACCACTGGCAGATCTGAATTTTAAATTTTAAAATTCTTTCTACCAAAAATGAGTAATGAGACCGACATTTCTTAAAATATAATCTTTTGAAAGATAATCTTTTTTGTTAACACTTTAAAAGAAAAATACTATGTTGATTATTATATCAGATCAAGGGTGTTATCATATTATACTCTTCTTCTTAATGAACTGAAACATTCACGGCAATCAAACCCTCTTTAAAACCGGGGACCAGTTCCTTATATGGTTCCTTTTTTTATTTTGACAAATACTCTTTGACAAAGAACTCCCAGTCTTTGCGACAGGAAGGCATTCTTGTAACTGTATCAGATTTAATCCTGAATTCTGGCTATAGGCCATTCCAATAAATAGTACTTTTTCTCAGAGGAAACATGTTTGCAAATGAAACCTATGAATACTAAGCTCATTTAGTGAACAGATGCTGCTGAGCAATAACACAATACCTGATGCTGTTTCAGCGTTCCTGTGGAATACTCCTCTAATGATCTTCAAATAGACGTTAGTCATCAATAAGTCCAGCAAGAGCGGCTTCATTAGTAAGCAGGACGTTTGGGATCTGTCCATGGATCCGCCTGTGGAGCGAACAGCCTAACTCTGAAGGAGAGCTGCTCTTTCTAATTACCTTCTGTCAGGCAACCCAATACAACAGGCTATATTATAAACAATTGAGGGTTTTTAGCCTGGAGCCCTATGAACTGACCAATAGGAAGCAGTTTAATACCAATAATCGTAAAGAAAACGGACTAGCCAAGGCCACATTGGGGACAATCAGTCCCACCGACTTTAACATTTCCTTTTTTTACAAATGGCATTTCCTATAAAACAAGTCAAGGAAAATTACAAACCACTTTATTTCTCTGGCTGTCTCTTTAAATAACTATGAGGTGACTTAAATTGAACTTTTCATTGCACTCGTGAGAAAAGGTGGTGAGGAGGGTTTTGCCACGATCTGCTTTCATGAGTCAAACTTTTACTACGATCAAAATTCCAGTGGAAACATTCAAAAAGCTGCGTAGCCATTAAAAAGATGCTTTGATTGTTGTAAGATTGCCTCTGCTGAATAATTGAAAATCCTTTAATTATTGTCAACGTGACACGGTAGTAATACGATGTTAACAGTGCTATTTCTTATTTTTTAATTGAGATCCATTTTTATCTTTTCCTACTTCTTTTTTTATTCATAGGCGTCAGAATAAAGGAGGTCATAGTTTTCAGATAAAAAAAGAAAAGACTGATCATTGCATGCACCTAATCTTAGACTTAGACAAACTTTGTCTATTTTTCTATTGCCTATTATCATTTTGTATACACTGATTTTAAACTCTGTGTACCTCTTAACATCCACCTCATTTTGGGAAATTCTCGCCTCTTTTGCATAGCTACCGTATTTTCACGACCATAAGGCGCACCGGACTAAAAGGCGCACTCTCAGTTATGTGTCCCATTTCTGTATTTAACACACACATAAGGCGCACCGGACTATAGGGCGCGTTTTTTATATACAGGTACATGTCCTCTACTACCTTTAAATACCTCTACTGCGTATTTAAAAATACAGCGGGGGCAAAACTGAGTATGATTGTGCTTTATTCATGTATTTATTACAAAGTATTAATCAAACCTGGCAGCTGGCCGTGAGACAGACACATCGCAGATGACACAGCGCTGTGATCACTCCTAAATTAACTTAAAATCCTGAAACCTGCCGACGGAATATGTTCGCTTTTATTGCCGGTATCCTGGTGCCTGCAGTTAAAATTATTTAGATGAAAAACACCTGCCAGCAGCCGCGGTGAGGCTGCTGTTGAAGGGATTTACTGTCGGTGCACCGCTGGTATGTGGGGGTCTGAGCGCCTCCGACAGAAATAGATAATCTGGATGAACTGACTGCAATTATTAAGTTTTCAGGTGGACTTTCTCACTTAAAAACATATTAAAACTACTTTATTCCCACTGATCACAGCAAATATAGCTGCAAGATTTAGATTATTTAGATGAAAAAACACCTGCCAGCCACCGCGCTGAAGAGGAGGAGACGCGCCCAGAGGCAGCTGTTGAATTAAGCTTTCAGGTAGAAAAATAGAGCGGGAGCAAAACTGAGTATGATTGTGCTTTATTCATGTATTTATTACAAAGTATTAATCAAACCCATCAAAGTCATCATCCTCTGTTTCTGAATTAAACAGCTGCGCTAAATCAGACATGCCAATTTCCCCTTCTGCGCTGTCAGTCACTTTCCGTGCAGCGCAGCTCCTCAGAAATAATGCCGGCTTTTGCAAAAGCTTGAACAACAGAGCCAGCAGACACGTAGTAGTCCAAGCATCTACAATCCATCCGCAAACGGTGGCGTAACTTGCTCGGCGCTGCCTTCCCATTATCCTGAAACTGTGGTCTCCGTCTGTCATCCATCACTCCCACGCCGCTTGCAGCCTTACTTTGACCGGCCGCTTCAAACCGATGTCGAGCTGTGGAAGTTCCTTTGTCAGACCCCCGGGATAACGGCGAGCACAGCGTTCATTTGATTCACCTTTTTTTCACATCGGCTGTGAGATGGGCACGCAGCAATGGTGATGCGTGGAAAAAACCACCTAGTCTTCTCAGATACACCTGCCTCAGCCACGCATCCACCCAGCCTTTTTCATCTAATATCATATGTCATCAGAGCGCTGTCTGTCTCGCTGTCAGCTCCCAGATCTGCTTCTCTGATTGGTTGATGCGGCGCGTCCAGCAGCAAAACTTCAATTTTTCCATCTGAGCAGCAGCAGCGCGTTGGCGGCGCTTCAGATGCTTAAACGCTCACGACGTGCTGCACCAAAACGCGCTGCAGGACCTTTTGCTGCACCTATACGCGCGTCAACCATTGACTTTGCATGTAAACTCGCTGCTTCTGCTGCACCTGCTGGGTCCGGTTCACACCGATGTTGAGCGGTTGAACAGCAAGCACAGCATTCATTTGTTTCCCCATGTTTTTCACATCAGCTGTGAGATGGGCACGCATGGAGTTACATATTAACAGCGATGGTGAGGGGTGGAAAAAAAACACCTGGTCTCCTTACATTCAGCCACTCTTTCATCATCTCCTCAATGAGGTGGTCTCAAAAGTCGCAGTTACAACACACATAGGGCGCACCGCACCATAGGGCGCACCGCACATTTTGAGGGAAAAAAAAGACGTTTAAGTGCACCTTATAGTCGTGAAAATACGGTAAATGGAAAAACAAATAACCTAGGAATATTTTATTTTATTTTTCCTATTTGCTTTGATTCTGTTTTATTTATGTAAAGCACTTTGCATTGTCTTTGTACTGAATTGTGCTATACAAATAAATTTGCCTTGACTTGCCTTGCCTTGCCTAGTAACTGTAGGGCCAAATTACATGTGTGATACATTATTTGAATGCTAACACCTTCTACTTTCTGAATATAAACATGAAAATTGGGTGAGTAAAACACAGCCCAAGCCGCATCAGTTCAAACATGACTCAAAGTTTTTTTTTTATTCTCGAAAATACAAGGTCTTTTTTGAACAGCAGTAATAAAGACATGCTTGCTTGTTGAGGCTGCTTTGTAATGTTTAGATTTTGACATGCTGCTATATC